TTTTTTAACAAAATACCAGTGCCTCTACGGTAAAAATAAGAAAGGTCTTCATATTTCAACAGATCGTTTTTGCCATCAAATTGAATTAGATATATAAGTCCCAATAATATATCTTTCTGCACTGCAGAGACATTAACCTTCATTGATTGTAGGAAAGATTTTACTGTGACTTCAAAATTGCCAGCATCTGAAAAATTATTTTTTAATGTTTTGATAATCTGAAGAATAATAATTTGAGCAGCAATTTCGCCAGCATCTCCAGCATCAAAAAACTTTATTATTTTAAAAAGTTTGTCAAAAAATAATGGATAATTATCCGCAAACCTATGTGCTGCAAGTGCAAGAACTGGTTCAGGTCTATATTCAGCTAACAAATCTTCTCTGCCATTTCCGATATTAGTTAGAATTGCCATATGATCTGCCACAAATAATTCAACCTTATCTGTTAATGTTCGAATGGGGAGAGCTAACATTTGGGAAGCAACTGCTTTAATATTCTAGTGTTCCAACCCACTTAAACTTCTGTAATTGGGATCTCTAGCCCCATCTACTTTTGTTAGTTTTTGGACAGCAATTTCAATAATTCTAGAGAACTCTAGCAGAGATGAATTGTGATAATGATACCACATTGGGCGACCAAAGCACATCAAATTATACGACGTACTTGGTGATAAAGTTGGATTGTATAATGACTTGAAAATGTCAAATGCATATGGAATTTCGATTATGGGATTGATTACTCGTTTAATTGAATTTCGCAATGAAGCATCTCTTACTGGTGTTGGGGCAAGTTCACTCATTTTACTGTTTGTGCTTAACAACACACCAAATATACGAATGTTTTTACCAATATTTTGAAGGGCAGACCGAAAACCTCTAAAGAAACTGACTGTTTCAGCAGAACTTTTAACAAAAATTTGGTTTTCAAAAAGTATATCAGATTCGTCAAATACAAATAAAATTTCAATCAACTTCCGTTTTTTTTGAGACTGAATTTTGTCTTTGATCATCACATACAACAGTCTATTCAATTCTTCAATAACGTTGTTATTGGTGCTCCGATTTATAAGAGCATCATTTAAAAAATCGACCAAAGTTTTGTATTCTTTTTTAATAGTTTCAAAATATACTGGCTTTTTTTGTAACTTATTTTTTAATGCCACGATGAGACAATAGTGAACAAATCTTTCAGCGTCAATTTCAGAGCTGTCGAGCCAAACCTCTTGAAAAGTTTCCGGTTGGGTTACTTGACAAAATATGGCAATTAAAATTGTAAATTCAAAGCAACTATTCAAAGATTCTCTCAGTGTTATTTTGTGTTTTTGTTCAATTAAATGATTGATGGCTCTTGCAAATCGTGAATTTGGATATCCACTTGACCCAGGTTGTCTGTAACAAAAATATATCCAATGTTTAAAATATGGAATTACTTCTTTAATTAGGCGACTTTTGCCGGTCATGGACAGATTTACAATGCTGCAGTAATTATATTCAATTTCCTTTTTTAAGTAATATGATTTTGAGTAATTTAGTAATGTCTTGAATAAAAGATCAACCTCAACTGCCTTACCATTTTTGTCAATTAGTGGTTGGAGTTTGCTGATGAACGCTTCTTCCAAATTATTAAGAGAGATATTACTTCCAATGCCAGATGCTGACTGACATTGTTTGTTATTAATAGTTCTTCAAAATTTTGCCCTTTCCAGTCTATGAAAATGTTTGTTTCTTGAATTGCATTATTAATATTTTGAAGAGATACCATTTTTCGTCTGCGCAGAAGTATTTGATTAAAACTGTATGTTAATTGAGAGCAGAGGTTGGACTGGAGATGAGAAGGGAGTTTGATAATTGATCACAAATATTGGACGAAGTAACTGATAAAGCTACCAAAAAAGAAAGGTTATTAGTTGAAATCAATTGCTGTGAAGTTGTGATGGATCAGTGCTTGTTTTTATATTCTCACAAGCCTGATAGAACTACACCAAGTTTGTGATTCACAGCAAGTTTGTGATTCTGTGCGAATTGTTTTTTTCGACTGCTAATGTTTTTGAATTTTGTCAACAGTAATTCGATTATTACTTTGCAATTCAGGATAGACAATCATAAAAGATGTTGCATTTTACTTTAGATTTATAAAATTAGTTGTTAAACCAAGTTTATTATACTATACGTTCTACATACTGCCATAAATTTGAGTTTGATTAGCAACGATTTGCTGAATATTAATGTCTTGCTGATTGACTTCGTAGTCTTCATCTTCAAATTCTATTCCTGCTTCATTTTCATCAAAGTAAACAAAAAATTGAATAAAAATAATTAAATCTAATAATAAAGTACCAGCACTGCCTATTAACCAGCTTAGGTTGATTATAATATAGTTAATTGAGTTGTTGACACTTAGAATACTTATACAGTAGGTTAAATTACCTAGACAAGCGAATAAGAAAAACATGAACGAAATTCCATCACAAGATTTTCTTCTGAAATTCAATAATATCTGAGGAATTCGTGAACCAAGGTATAAGATTGAACATAGATAACCAAATATTTGTCCAAGCAAGTTGATTTGGGTTTCACCATTATTGCTATCATTATTGTTATTATCATCGTTGTTATTATTGTCATTATGTTTATTACCAGATGCTAAATAGCCTAAAATTCCCGAGAGAAAAACAATGAAAATCATCAAGGAATTGTAAAATAGTTTTCTTGTTTTATTTATTTTGTTATTTCCAATTAATATACTATCCATTAGCGCTTCTTGTATTATGTTTTCATCGTCGTTTATTGGATTTACGGGAGAATAATGAATTGAGGAGGTGTCATTTTGTAAAGCTAAATTCTGGTTTCTTTGATCATTCAATCTGTTATATTTTAGACATTGAAATAATAAAATTAAATCGGCTATGGTATAGTAAATTGCTAATATTATCATTGTTGGCAAAACATTTTGTAAAATCGAACCAACAACGTTGAATACATCACCTAACAACCATAATATAATAAAGGACATGGATAATCCTTCAGCACTTTGTCGGATAAAATTTTCATAAATTTGTGGAGCGAATACTATAATCCAACAGGCTATTGATATTGAGCCTGTTACGCTGCTGACAGTTTCAGCGCTTAGGTATTGAGGAGGAGGAGGAGCTATCATGATTATATTATTTGTTTGATTATAGTATAGGAGAATTTGAAAAATCAGTATATGAGGTCTATGTGCTTGATTTTTGAATTCGGTATATTAAACATCTAAAAAGTTATAAGAGTTTTGTTACTGCTATAGTCATCCCTTCTTTTCGCTTAAATATGGTGCAAGACAAAATATTAACTCAAAAGAGTAGCTTGAAAATTTTTCTCAAGTTCTGGAACTTTTTTTTCTTTTTTTTTTGGACCAAAGTTTGTTCTTTACATTAATGGGCAGTGAGCAACTGTCTGTAGCAAGATAGAAATTCAATCAATAAAACCAAAGAAAACTCTCCAATATAAGAACAAAGCTGGTGTTGTGACTTATACAGACAGTTAGTAATAGATAAATAACATTTTCTAAGCTATATTTGAGTGGTTGGCAGTAATTTTCGTAAAAGTTAGCCATAAAAAAACAAAAACTATAATTAAGTTTTAGTTGGTGCTGTATAAAGCGAAAACATTTATTTTCAAAATGGTAGTCTAGCTGCAATAATAATTGTTAAAAACAGACTAGTATAGGATATCGACCAAGTTGATAGATTTTAAGACAGTTAAATAAATGCGAGATGAATATAGTGAAAAAGATCTGTATCACTGTTTTAGAAAGAATGTAGATTTATTATTATTCATGATTTTCAGTTGACCGAGAACAAACAAAAGCTTAAATGAAGCGCAAATAAAGAAAAATATCTTGATTGGTTTAAATGGGGACGATATGTGGTGGAAAATAATTGCCATCCCTTTCTTGGGACATAAAGCTCTTCTGTATCATCTGAATCTAACAGCGGTTTGATAGATAAAACAACCTCGTCATGTGTCCAATTGTGTCAAAACTCGATTCCACTGCAAATACGTCCTCAAAAGTGCTGTCAAAATCAACCTCCTCCACAAACAGCTTTGGTGAGTCGCTTTTTGTCCACAGTAAAACAAGTCCCGTTTTGGCAATGCAGAACCAAGGTGCTGCCTTTGTTTTGTCTTTCCTAAAATGATGGTGCAAAAAATGTAATCACATTACCAGTCACGTGAATGTTTACCTTGCTTGTTTTTCCAAACAAGTTCCTGGTGACCGACGGAAGAGCTCTCTTTGGGAAGCGTAAGCATTGGGCTGCCAGCAGTTTGCTAGCGCTGCCCCACTGCTGTTTCCTAGTTCGAGCCCTCTAAGAGAGTAATAATAAACAAATCACAAAAGCTTCCTCTCTTCAGAAGACACCGGAGATCGATGGTGTTACATGTTCTGGCAAATTTGCTGCCAACAGAGCTCCAGAGACCTTTAGAAACTGCTTCTCAAACTGCTCAAAAAAGCCAGCTGCTCACTCCCACTGCTCTTCTCACTTAGCGAACAGCCTTCTGGTGTTGCTATGGGGTTCTACTACTCAACCAGTTCCGCTGTCTTTCTAGCAATTTCCTTCAAATGGATTCTATCAGGCAGCGGATGTTGCTTGGTGATGAGCTTCACAGCCAATAGCGTGTTGGCTAACTTTGCTGACATGCTCGGCAGATTCAGGATTGTTATCCCCAGCACCAAAAATCTCCGTTGTCGCTGCCGTCCATATTGTTTCTGCGGCCGGCCAATTATCAGGTGCGTTATAGTAATATGGAGATAATACTTTGGGCTTTCAAGTTCCTCATCATCACTACTTGAGCAGACCCCAGCTAACTTAAATAGTTTTCTCAATGTATGCTTATGGGGCTGTTCACTCACTTTCATTCGCTGAATTATCGAAATCCTTCTTGATTTTGGTCTAGCGAACATCCGTCTTTCATTGGAAATTTAGAGAACACCTGAAAATTTTCGTCAGGGTCATCTTGTTCGGTTAAAGTCGATAAGAAAACGCACCAGTAATAAAATAAAGAAAAATATGAAAAACACCATTGCAAACATTGGAAACTAAAGATCATATTTCAATATTAGTAATTGGATATATTCAAAGCATTTCTGGGTTGGTTTTCGTTTTTATAAGTATATCTTTCTATTGTTTCAATACTTATATTCTTCCTCTGATATCTTAACAGCCTACATCTTTTGTAAGATTTCATTTCATCAGTTACCAAAAAGTTTCTACTTCAACAGAATCTTTTAATCTGGGGTTACTCAAGGTCGCTTTTCTCAACAACTTTATAATTCATATTCTTACTATATCATCCACTATCCTTTTTGTTTTTCAAGCTCATTCCATCTTTATTTTATTTTCTATCCTTTTTTGATTCCATACAAACTACACTTATACAATAGTAATAATAACATTAATAATCAAAAATGCTTGCTTTGCGTCGTACTCAACAAGTCTCTAGCTCGATAAAGGGTTTCTCAAGATTTTTTAGTTCAACCTCAAGATCTTTGCAAGTCATAAAGAACGATTCTGCCAAAAAAGATGGTAAAACAAGTCAAAATGCTGCTAAGGCAATGGGTGACAAATACCACATCATCGACCACGAATATGATTGTGTTGTTGTTGGTGCAGGTGGTGCCGGTTTAAGAGCAGCCTTCGGTTTGGCTAATGCTGGTTATAAAACTGCTTGTCTTTCAAAATTGTTTCCAACAAGATCCCATACTGTCGCTGCACAAGGTGGTATCAATGCTGCTTTAGGTATGTTCAATATATTTCTTATTTTTATTTCTATCAATTATAACTTTGATTACTAACTTACTTCTTTTCTTATTTTGCTTTTTTTTTTGTCTAAATTATTACAGGTAATATGCATGCTGACGATTGGCACTGGCACATGTATGATACAGTCAAGGGTTCTGATTGGTTAGGTGACCAAGATGCTATCCATTATATGACTAGAGAAGCTCCTGCTTCTATTTATGAACTCGAACATTATGGTGTTCCCTTTTCCAGAACTGAAACTGGTAGAATCTATCAAAGAGCCTTTGGTGGTCAGTCAAAGGAATACGGTAAGGGTGGTCAAGCTTACAGAACCTGTGCTGTCGCTGATAGAACTGGACATGCTCTTTTACATTCCTTATATGGTCAAGCTTTGAGACACGATACTCATTTCTTTATTGAATTCTTTGCCTTGGATCTTTTAATGGATGAAGGCAAATGTGTTGGTGTTATTGCCTACAACCAAGAAGATGGTACCTTACATAGATTCAGAGCTCACAAAACCATCATGGCCACTGGTGGTTATGGGAGAGCTTACTTTTCTTGTACTTCTGCTCACACTTGTACTGGTGACGGTTTTGCTATGGTTTCAAGAGCTGGTCTACCATTGGAAGATTTAGAATTTATCCAATTTCATCCTTCCGGTATCTATGGTTCTGGTTGTCTTATCACAGAAGGTGCTAGAGGTGAAGGTGGTTTCCTTGTCAACTCTGAAGGTGAAAGATTTATGGAAAGATATGCTCCAACCGCCAAAGATTTAGCTTGTAGAGATGTTGTCTCAAGAGCTATCACCATGGAAATCAGAGCAGGAAGAGGTGTTGGTCCTGATAAAGATCATATGTTCTTACAATTATCTCATTTACCTGCTTCTGTTCTTCATGAAAGATTGCCTGGTATTTCTGAAACCGCTGCCATTTTCGCCGGTGTCGATGTCACAAAAGAACCAATTCCAGTTTTACCAACTGTGCATTATAATATGGGTGGTATCCCAACAAAATGGAATGGTGAATGTTTGACCATTAACGAAAAGGGTGAAGATGTTATTGTTGAAGGTTTATTAGCCTGTGGTGAAGCTGCCTGTGTTTCTGTTCATGGTGCCAATAGATTAGGTGCTAACTCTTTATTAGATTTAGTTGTTTTCGGTAGAGCTGTTGCTCACACAATTTCTGAAAGTTTGAAACCAGGTTTGCCACATAAACCATTACCAGCTGATCTTGGTGCTGAATCTGTTGCTAACTTGGATTACTTGAGAAACTGTTCTGGTCCAAAATCTACTGCCGAAATCAGATTAGCTATGCAAAAAGCTATGCAAAATGATGTTTCTGTCTTCAGAACTCAAGAATCCTTAGATGAAGGTGTCATAAATGTTACTAATGTTGACAACTCTTTTGTTGACATTGGTACCACTGACAGATCAATGATCTGGAACTCAGATTTAGTTGAAACCCTAGAATTGCAAAACTTGTTGACTTGTGCCAAACAAACCGCTATTTCTGCTGCCACTAGAAAAGAATCGAGAGGTGCCCATGCTAGAGAAGATTATCCTGATAGAGATGATGTAAACTGGATGAAACATACCTTATCATGGCAAAAGAAATCTGGTGATGATGTTGTGATTAAATATAGAAATGTCATAGCTACAACTTTGGATGAAAATGAATGTAAACCAGTTCCACCAACAGTCAGAGCTTATTAGAATTATTATTTTTCACTCCATAAAATAAAAGTCATTCTGAGAAATGTTTTAAATGAATTGGTTAGTGTATATAATTTACAAATGATTCAAAAATCCGCATTCTTTTATTGCAATTATTTGAGTTCAAACCACAACTTGAAATATTTTTTCACTTCATTTTTATTGCCAGTTTTTTTGTTTTTTTTTCTTGTTTATATAAATCTTTCATTCTTAATACTTTTTTTTTCTTGATTTATTTCTTTTTTTTATATCATAATCACTGTTTTAAATTTAATATATGCAAATTGGTCTATTTTTGTTATTCTTGCAAGCTAAACTCAACATTCTAATATCCATGGTGTTGAGAATAATTTATCTAATGTATCCTATTTTATTTTGTTTTGTTTTCATTTTGTTGTTAGTAAGTTCTTCAGTAAATAAATATAGTTCAAAAAAACTCTAAAGATAAACAAACCAAAAAATATAATGTCAAAAATTCTCCAAACAATTTTTCTCTGTCTTTTCGTTTTAGCAAAATAAAATCATACAAAGTGGTTTTCAATAGAATTTTTTTTGCCAAAAAGGGATTTATTCCACATTCAAATAAAAATTTCATGTTTTGCTAAATTTTATTATAGATATTATATTAGTATTTATTAGTATTTGGAATATTTAGTTTCATTTAAACCATTTTTCATTTTTTAACAAAAAAAAAAAAAGCATGCGTACATTTATTGGTTCTGGTTCATTGACATCAGAATAAACTTCTCCTTGTGACTGTGCTAGATTTAACAACAAAAAGCTTAATGGATAATCGTGGGTTGTCTTTTTAATACAAAAGCATTCAATGTTGTTAGCAGCCAGAAGAAAAATTTGAAACTCTGTTAGATCTTGTATATTTTTGTGATAGCTTCCTGATATTTTTGAATTATTTAAAAAATAATCACTCATTTCAATAATCACATATATCTTTTTAAAATATTTTTTAAGATTTAATATTTTTTGATTTATAATTAAACTATTTGTTGAAATATCAATTTGGTTCAACAAAACATCGGAGATAATTAGTGCACAGGAAATTGATGAAATAATAAAATCAACATCATTTATTTGAGGGCATGTTAATTCAAATTCAAATTCATGTATATGAACTATATCTGCCATTTCTAGATTTTTAAAGAGGTTATAGTTTTTATCGATACTAGATATATTGAAAATTATTGTTCTCTTTTGAATGGTATGTACACAATTATCATTTAGCATATCTTTTATATTTGCGATATTATTTAGATTATTTTCTTTAGTTTCAAAGATATTTGAACCGGAAGACTTGTTTAAAGAAAGACTATTATCATTATTTGATGGTTTTCTATTTAGGGTATTAGTGGAAAAATTCAATAGATCCAACAACGGGAAATTATTAATATTATTTTGAATTTTCTTATCAAAATCATTAGATGAACTGATTTTTCTTTTTTTTGCAATAATCAAAGATTCCAACTCTTCATCATATTCCTCATCATATTGAGATATATTATTTGAAAGAAGTGAATTATCTTTAATTTTAGAACTTTCTAGCATATCATTGATGTGCCTTTTTGATTTATTTAAAGAGTTTATAAAAGTTGAGTTTAGTATAATTTCATTATTATTAAATTCGATAGAATTGCCTATATCTATATTTTGGAATGATTGAACAGATTCCAAATTCAGTTTTTCAGTTGAATTTGTCAAAAATTGTGAATTTCTTAAACTATCATAATTAATTTCTGGTTTTAAATTTTGCAATGAATTATTTTTTGTGAATAAATTAATATCGGAAGTTTTAAAAGATTCTTCTTGCTCTTGCAGATTGTTTAGATTAGAAGATAAAATTGAAGAATCGACGGAAATATTTTCATTAGATGAAATAGTTTGATCATTTTGATTCTGAATTAAGCTTTTTGTTGTCCTATCAATGTCGTTGCATATTGTATTAATTAAATCAATTTTTTCATAAGGAAAATTAGGATTTTGTTTGATTTTTTTGTTATCAACTTGAGATTTCTTTTGTAATTTTTCTATATTTACCCAATTATGTATATGAAAATGACGAAGAGTTTTGAGATTATTCAAAAGTAAATTGAATTTTTTTAATGATATATATTCATTAAGATTTAAATTGATTGAGCAATTTAATGGTTGATATAAAAAATTATCGGGAAAACGAGTTATTTTTGAAGATATTTTAAATGGAACCCAAGAAATATTTTTTAATAATTTTTTATTGACATGACAATGATTTGGTAAAAGATTATAATTTGAAATTAAAGATGAAATGAAAAAGGAATCTAAAGATGGATTTATATCTGAGTCATTAATAAATGGTAGTTTTAATTTAAAAAGTGAAAATTCATGGTTTAAAGATTCATCAAAAATATTTGAGAATTGGTTAAGATTTTGAAATAAACTTTCAATGTAACGATCATTTTGGATTTTTTTAATATTAGGAAAATCGGTTTGAGTATTGTATGGATAAGATGGAAAAACCGACTTGTAAAAAGATAAGGAATTTTCATAATTCAAATCAGAATCTTGATAGTGAGACTCTGAGGGTTTAATATAAAACTCTTTTAATTTGAATTTGGATTCCAAAGAACATTTATTGAGTACTTTTGTGGTTATTTGATTTTGCGACATTGAAAGCATTTGATTTTTGATTGATTTTGAGTTTTTCAAAACAGAATCATTGAAAAGAGATTGCAAATATTCATCGTTTGTGGATAGTAATTTATCAATATTTGTGATCATTGGTAGATTAACTAGTAGTTTTGAGTCATCTCTATTAGCGATATTTGTGGGTTTTTCAGATATTTTCAAGGAAAATTCGTTATGAATTTTATATTTGTTAATATTATTCTGACCATCGGATTTATTGAAAGCCAATTTGTCGTGGATAGATAAGCTTGTATTTCTTTTCAAACACAATTTTAAAAAATCAGTTGTTACTTTTGTAATTTTAATTGGTTCTTTTAACAATTTTTTTTGGATATTATCGAATTTTGAAAAATCATTATTTATAGTTTTATTATTAATAGTTAATTCTTTAGAAACGAGATTTTCATAAATTTTCATCAAGTTTTTTATTGGCGGTAAGTTTATGTTAATAATTTTAAAATTGTTGTAGCGGTTGTTGAATGTGGTGTTAATGAAAAAATCATTGTGATTGTTTATAAAACAGTTGTTGAAGGGATTATTAAGAAGGTTGTTGGACGAGTTTTGAATAGAATTGAAATCAATATTAATTGATGATTGAACAGACCTTCTTAAAAACGCAGCAGTTTGTTTACTTATCTGTAACTTTTCAGATGTTTTTTTATTGCTTGTAGTTAGAAGCCAATCAATTTGTTCGTCGAGATTATTATTTTTATTATTAAGAGGAGTAGTGGGAATAGTTTTGTCGTCGATGTTTGTATATTTTACATTAAGCAACTGATCAATTGAAAGAGGTTTCATTTGAATTCACTTTGATGGTGTTTAGTGAGAAACAAAGGAAAATGGGCGTTTATATGAGGTAGAAAGGATAAGGTTTAAGGTTTGGACTAGCAGATCTTCTAATTAATAGATATTATATTCAATAGATGTTATATTAGAGATATAGACATATGTCAGATATGCTTATGAGTTTCAATTGATAAAGAATAATAAATATAAACAAATAAGAGACGTAACCAAGAGTGAAAAGAAAAATAAAAAATAGAGAGAGAGAAAAATTAGTGATAGATACAAAAACGATATTATAAAAAACGATAACCTAAATTGATACAAATTGATAAAAATTAATAAAAATTGATACAAATTAATAAAAATTGATACATTTTGATGAAATTAGATATCGAGGGTAGGAGAGCCTAAGACAAGGCCTGTATCTTTAACTAAAATACCATCAACAGCTTCAGCACTTCTTGAGAATGAAAGTTTTTTATTTGAAGGGAGTTTAGCTTTAATTTTAACGTCAGTGGTTAGGATTGAAGACTTTAAGGAGACTTCATTTTTCCTTGAGAATTTCATTGGTTTTGATTTATTTACTTTTACAGTTGTTAAGGCCTTTGATTCGTATTTAACTGAGGGTTTTGAGAAGGGGTTGAAAGGAATGCTTTTGATTTCATCCAATTTGACGGAATATTGAGATTCTTTAAGGATTGAGTAAATAGGTGAGGGTGAAATTGAAGAAGGGAGCAACTCTTGAATGGTGATGTTGACCAAGTTATCATTATCGCTTTTATATATTTTAATTTGATTCAAGAATCTTGAATTTTGAACGTTAACAGCGGCGGTTGAGGTGTTTAGGTTGTAGGATATGGAATGGGTTAGACCATCTATAAGAGTGATGTTGAATAATGAGAACAAGTCTGAGGTGATTTTTGATTTAGTAATTTGAGTGAGACCATTGGCGGGGATGATTATACCTCTTGAAGAGATTGAAGAATTTGTGAAGATTAATAAACCAGTGGATGATTTAATTTTAGAAGATTCCCAGGATAATAAGTTTGCTGAGAGCAACCAATCTGAAGAAGGGAAAAAATCTGCAGAATTGGAAGGAGGAGGTAAGGGAGTAGGTAAAGGAGGTTTGCTAATAGGAGATGAGACTTTTATGGGGGAGATGATTTCAATGGTCAAAGAGACAGGGGCATTCCATAGCAAAGGCAAGATGACTGAGAGGTCGACGTTGTAGGACAATGAGTTGAAGGCATAGGTGGAAGCTAAAGGTTGGAAAGCTACCGAGTTGTTGATATATTTTGAGATTTGGTTTTGGGTTAGTAGAGTAGGATAAGGAGCAACAGATTGGATAAAGATGTTGTCAGCGTAAATGTTGATGACTCTTAAAGGCCCGTTTTCGTTATAGGGAGGATCACATTCATCGGGAGGAGAATCGGAAGAAGAGGGAGGGGATTGCAATAAGTTTTTGAAATAATTGATTTCTTCATCTAAAGCAGTTGCAAATAGGTCAATTGAGATTTTGGTTGTGTTTGTTGGCAATTGGGGGATACTAATCAAGTAGTTATCATTTGGCAATTGGAAAGAGTCACCAGAGTTTGATAATGGGATGACTTTATTTGGTGGATAATTGTAATTGAAAATATCTGAGATATTAACAGTAGATACATTTGAAAAGAAGGAATAGTTGTTGATACTTTCAGGGGAATTCTTTTTGGTATTAATATTTGGGTTTGAGTTGAAAAAAAGAGGGTTTGAGATTAGAGTGTAGGATAGAGTAATGTTAATATCATTTAAAATGACACCATTGATCAACTTGAGTGATACCTTATGAGAATCAGAGAGAAGGGATAAGTAGTCTGTGATATTCTTGGAGGATGTAGAATTGGTAAAAGTTTGGTTTGAGTTTGAAGTTGGTGATGAAGATCTCCAAATAATGTAGTCATCGAAATAGATATCAAAAATGATTGGGGGTTGAATGGGAGAGTCGACATTGGTGATATTGGTGGAAACGTTAAGAGTTAAAAAGGCGTTTGTAATATTTAAACTTGAAAAATCATTTGGGGGTTCATAAATTGAGTCAATTGAGAGTACATCAGAAGTTAAAGAATCGTTTAGCAAGAGATCAGTGGTGATGTTTGCAGTTGATGGGTAGGTTATAGGGAAATCGATTTCGTAGACCAAAGAAGGGAGAGAAACGGGAGGGAGAGGTTTCTTCTTTTTAAAGGTGGAAGATAAAGACGAAAAGAAGTCGTAATCAGGCAAATCCAAGGAGTCAAAACAGACAATTGAGTCAATTGGATCGATTGAGCTGAAGAATTGGAATTGAACAAACTTTTCAGAGAGATAATACACCGAGAGCAAAAACAACGAGAAGGAGAACAAGAGCTTGAAGGATCTGGAACCCGGTTTGGAAGGATGCTTGAAAGCAGAGCTCTCCAAGTCTAGAGCAGAATCTTTGCAATCACCCTTGGGCTCGTCGTAGTAGCGAGGCATATCAGAGTATTGAGAAGGCATTGTGGGAGTGAAGAACAAATTGAACAAACTGAACAAACTGCAGCATTGCAAGCTGGAGAGAGTCTCTCTTTATATACCACACAGCAAAGGAAGAAAAGCAGCAATCTCGCTCTTCTCTCCAGACCTGCTCTGGCTCGCCGGCGCTCTTCGGCCGCCCGACGTCTGCAGTGTGCTGCACTCTCTGGCCAATCACAGACCGTTGTTGCCAATCAAATGCCTAGACGCTCCCACCCGTGCTCCTCGCATTGGCTGCTCACTCGCCGGCGCACGGGCTGCTGCGTTCTGGGTGCGCCGGTCTTAACTATGTGCGCCGCAGGGCTGGCTCCATGCGTGACAATGCGTATACTACATGGCTACCGCAAAACTGGTTTTTCCACCAGTAGGGATCCATTAGTCACAGCTTACGTCAGCCATTTTTATTTTGATGATTCTTTTTGATGCTTAACATGAATTATTGCAGTGGGATCTTTTTGCTCTACACCTTCTTCCTCTAATTCTCAACAACCTGTTATGCCTCCATATCACTCAGGCACTTCGGTCTGGACAAACGTCGAGGACGAGGTTCTACGTGCTGCCATCTCCAAGTATGGTCTCAACCAGTGGTCCAGATGCAGCTCCTTGTTGTCTCGAAAGACTGCTAAGCAGTGCAAGTCAAGATGGAAAGAGTGGTTGGATCCTTCAATAAAGAAGATTCAATGGTCGACTGCTGAAGACGCCAGTCTTCTTCGTTTGGTCAAGATCCTCCCCAACCAATACAGAACAATTGCTCCCATAGTGGGAAGAACTCCCACCCAATGCATCGAGAGATATCAATATTTACTAAACAATAACCTAATCAATAACAACAACAAAGACAATGAACAAAAGGCCATTCTAGATAAGAAAACAGACGATTCTCTCAACCTCACTGGAATCAACGACTCTCATCCATCAAACGATCCATTAAACTCAAACAACACAAATAACTACGTTTTCGTCAACCATGAAAGCAGAGCCCCAAGACCCGATGCAATTGATATGGACGACGATGAAAAGGAAATGTTGGCAGAAGCAAAGGCCAGATTGGCAAACACTCAGGGCAAAAAGGCGAAAAGAAAAAACAGAGAAAGATTACTACAAGAAAGCAAAAGAATAGCTTTACTCCAAAAGAAAAGAGAGTTGAAAAATTCAAATCTAATTAATTCCAATAACCATTCCACAAACATTGTCAATTCAAAATCTAAAAAGAAAAAAAATAAAAATCTTCTTGACTACAACGAAGCCATTCCCTTTTATTTAAAACCAAAATTAGGCGCTCACGACATCGATGACGAATATCAAAATAATCAACTACTATCAAACGACATTCAATTTCAAATCAACAATAACAATAACCTACTACTTAAAGATAACAAAAAATTGGAAAATGACCGAAAAAATGATAAAGACCAAAAAAATGAAAAAATTAAAAAAAAAATGAATGATTCTACAAACCTAAAGAGAAATCTTCAAATCTCAATTCAAGCCTTGGAAGATCTCAAAAACTCTGATAATCAAATTTCAAAAAGAAGGAAATTATTCTTACCTTTTCCAAATCAACAAACTACAAATCAAATTACAAACCAAATCACTACCCAAATCTCTCAAAACCTATCAACAGCAAATATAAAAGCTACAAAATCTCAAATGAAACAAATTCACAACCTTTTTGCAACACTACCGAAACCTAAAAACGATTTCGAAATAATAATTCCTGACGATAATGAAGACCTCACAAAAACCAAATCCAAAAATAAAAATAAGAAAAAAAACTCTCATTTAGACGATTTGGGTGAATCTGAAAGACTAAAAAATGAAAATGATCTTTTAACCACTCAAAAATCCCTATTATTAAGATCTCAAGCAATTCAAAACAATTTACCAATTCCAAATATTTTACTAAACTCTACAGATTTATCTCTTCCAATTTTTAATTTTACTCAAACTCCCAATTCAATTGAAAACTATAAATTCATTCAACATCAAATTGATAAAGAAATGCTCAATTTAATTAAATCGGATTACTATAAGTTAAACAACTCCACTTCTAATCCCAGTTTCAAAAACAAAAATAATAACGACCCATTATTAAACCATTATAATATAGAAATCCTTGACGATTTAAATCAATCTGAAAAGGATGCTGCAACAGCTTTGGTTCAAAGAGAATTGAATAATTTTAAACATAGCAATTTCAAAAACAAAAAAATTGATTTCCATTTCAATTTATCTGAAAATGAAGAGGATTTGCTTAAAATCATTGATGACTTGAAAATAATTGCAAATGAATCAAATTCAATTGAAAAAAATTCAACAATTATTTTAAATCCTTTTATATCGGAAAACAAAAAATTATCTCAAGAATCTTTAGACTTATTTAAAATATTGCAAAATGAAAAAATTCAATTGTTTTCTTATAGTGAACTACTAAAAGAAGAAAAATTAATTTTAAATGAAAGATATAGTGAATTATCTCGTTAATTAATAAAATTTATCATCACTGTCATCTTGATCGGAATTCACGAAATATATTTACCATACTTATTCACTTACAAATAAAAAAGTATATTCAAATTTAAAGAGGGTAAATTTTGGCATAAAATAGATTTATCTCAATATCTGGAAATTATGCTTATATATTTCTTTTGATAATTTCACAATATTAAAATTTAGATTTCTTATAATTTTTATAAGACATTTTCAATTACTGTTTGAATATTTTTTAGTTTTCTAGAACGAAATTCTTGCTTATTTTGGAGAGGTTTTCAAATTGAATTATCGGTTCCTTATCTTAATCCAAGAATCTTCTATTTTTAAAGTAAAAAATAAAACTGAGTTCAATTTTTTTACAAAGAGGAATCTTTTCTTTATTGAGATATTAAAGTTTCAAATGCTTGGTGAAGAAGTATTTTTTTCAAGAAATTAAACATTAAATGATTTATCATATTAGTTTTCAATTGGTAAAGATAAGACATAATATATATCATATCCAATTTTTTTATTAGTTAAATATTCCATTTCATTGAAATAAATTATTTACTTCTCAAAATTTCGGTCTGAATTTGGTTATAGTTCCATGATTATTTGATATTGGAATCATTTTTTTTAAATTAGTCAGTGATTGAAAGTGGATAACGGATAATAGATAATGGATAAAAGATATGTTTCAAGTATTTGAAAAATTTTGTTTTTTCAAAATCAATAAAATATTTTATACATTTTTGAAGTCTTTTTTTGCTTTATTTGGGTTATAAAATGAAGTTTAATTAAAAGTATATATAAAGTTTCTTCTAAAAGCAAAATTCTATACAATCAGATTAATTTTATAAGTATTGACGAGAAAAAAAAAATAAAAAGGTAAGAAAATGTATCATCTATTCACCAAACAAATATTTTGATAGATAGTTATACCATTTTTTAGGGTTATCTTTATTTAATTCCAATTTTTCATAATAATCTCTTTCATGCTCTTCAACTTCATCTAGACCAGTAATTAGATCAACTTCAAGTGGATTTCTTATTTTAGTCTTTTTTATTATTTTGTAACCAATAAAAAGAGAAATGTCTAAAAAGACCATGATATATGAGAATAGGAAATCTTTGACCGACCACCATGAGGGAAGAAATACAGTATAACCACTAACAAAGACCATGAGAAAAGCAGCAGCTAAACCAATATATGCCAAATATGGTTGATACCAACCTTTGAAGGCAAAAGTGTTTCTATCAATTCCTTGGGCAATAACTGCTTTATGAAAAAAGATATAAGTTACACATAAGACACAGAAATTAATCAATTGAGATGCAGTTACCAAATTAACAATCCAGTCCAATACAGTTGCTGAATTTTCACCCAATTGTAAGAACGATAATAATGCCCAACATAATGAAACAGCAACACAGAATATGGGAACACCGGTTTTGGTACAGTAACTTAAGAATTTTGGAGCTTTTCCATCCAATGCCATACCGTATAAAGAACGAGAAGAGCAATAACTATAAGAATTACCTGCAGAAAAGGCAGATAAAAGCAAACCAATATTGACGATATCTGGCAATACTTTGATTTTCATGTTTTGCATAGCAACCACGTATGGAGAGGAACCAGCACCAGGTATTGATTCAGTGATTGCTCCCACCAATGTTGGATCTCTTGAAGAAACAACAGTGCTGATACAAAAGGCACCCATTACAAAGAAAAAGGTCAATCTAACAAAGACTTGTTTAAAGGCCTTTTTAAGAGTGACTCTTGGATTAATTGTTTCTCCTGCTGCCATTGAGACATACTCGGGACCAGCGATAACAAAACAACTTCTGATAGCACAAGACAAATAACCAAGGAATCTTCCAAGGTCACCAGTTTTATAATACTCGTTCATAATAGCGGGATCAGTCCAATATCTGAAGCCATAAGCGTCACCAGCAGGATTACCACCACACATTGTGACAAAAGTGAAACAGATCAAGAGAAGAATCAAAATGACCTTTCCAATAGCGAACCAAAATTCACTTTCACCATAGTATCTAACAGCAAAGGTATTGATTAGGAAATACAAAACCATCTGGATAGCCAAGGGAATGGCTGCGGAATAGTCATCTCTCCAGTAGTGAATAATTGTGTTAACTGCAGTGACTTCGAAGGGAATTAAAGAGCCTTCTAAGAACCAAAAGTTCCAACCAGCCATGAATTCAAAAGCTTCATCTACACATCTTCCTGATAATCTGATAAAGGGCGAAGAAATAGGCAAATAGCAGACCATTTCAGCTGTCGAGACCGTAATCAAACAGATGGGAACACACCAGATTGTCATTGCTAGAAACAAAGATAATGGACCTCCAGTGTAAAGACCTCTACCAAGAGACACAAACAAAGCAGTTCCAATGGTACCACCAATACCAATCAATTGAATATGACGATTTTCCAATCGCCTGTGTGTTTTTGAGCTTATTTGGACCCTTGAGGCAACCGAAGAGACCTCATCATTATAATGTATAATTTTTTCATCTTTTTTGGTTTCAAGTTGAAAGTTGTCTCCTTCAACAGGCCCAGATTGCGTTGAAGAGCTGTTGTATGGAGTTTCCTTCTCGATGGTGAAGTTATCCTTAAGATACCGACCGAAGCTTTGTAGTTTTGACGACATGACTATCTAATTATAACGAATAGCAGGTCTAATTGGTTTCAAGATAGGAATGGACCAACTACTCTTCCCTTTCTCAAGCACTGGGGTCTCATATTATATTTATACTGATATACCTCTGAATTAAAATTGCTCTTTCTGGCTATACCGACATACAGATAACAGAACAGTTAGATAACAGAACAGTTAGATAATAGAACAGTTAGATAATAGAACAGTTATCTCAATGAATGTGCTTTAGCTATTTATCAAACAGAGAGTTTTCATTAGCTATCAATGCAGAGGAAAGTTTTTCGCATCATAACTGCCTTCAGATCAGAAGCCCACCTAATACCTTTTCTTCAGACATGAGAAGCTGTTTCCAACCGAGAAAAATTCAGTATCTCAACACTAGAAACTGTAATCCTCTATCTGCTGAACGAATCTGGAAACAATTCCACAAATTACAGTTTCCAGTTGACGAGATAAAGCTGAAACATCGCTGATATTTGTGTCTTTTTGGCTGTTGCTGAGGAAGCTCAGGACCCAACTGTCAATCGATCTTTTGAAAACTCTTCCTTCTTCTGGGACTCAGCTACCTGTACTTCTCTCTTTATCGCTGCCCCTCCACCACCTATCGCTGAGTAGTGCTCTTCCAGACGTTCCATTTAGAACTGCAAAGCTAAACCACTGACCAAAGTCTATTTGAGCTTATCTTCTAGTGCAGTGCAATTGGCTAGTTTGTATTCTTTTATCCTGCTGCCTTAGCATGGATTCTGGGTGAAATAGAGCCTTAGCTGCTGAACTTTTCAGACTAATCTGTTCAACCACCCAGACCACTTTTGATTGTATCCACAAGCTGTTGCTTATGTTGCTGCTTAGGAACTTATCAATACATTATATAATCTTATACTATCTACAAACACACCTGTTGTCTCAAAACTATATACTATTCACAAGACCTATGGTATCCCTATAAAACTTGGTAAATTTAGGTTGTGTATAAATCGCATTTCTCTGTTCAGTAGTCTTGTTTTCAACTAGCCCTTCTTCGGTTATTTTCTCTGTTTCTTCACTGTCTTTTTCAGCTATAGAATTCTCATCTTCATCTATAAAATCTGCTTCGCTCTCTTCAGATAGATCGTAGACTAAAGTGGCTTCGATTTTTTCACCACCTAGCTGGCCTGCTGAAGTTTTTGATATCTGCAACAATCTACCCTTATACTCCAAATCTATCTGTCTTCTTAAATTAATGTAAACATACGAATAATTCACAACTTCACCATCAATCACAACCTTGAGCTCCCTGGGAATCGTGGGCAATTCACTTCCATCAAATATCAATTTAGACTTTTCTAAAAAAGAGGTTACATATGGCTGTTTTTGCTTGAGCAAATTAATACTTTCTCTGAAATTGGCTAATGTTTTCGATGTGGTTTTCACAAATGACACATCTGACCCCTTGTCAGGTAAATTGACAAAAACAGTTTTCTCCTTTTCAATAGCTTCCAATCTTAATGAATTTGTATCGGCAATATCCTTGTCATTCACCTCAAACCACATCTCTAAGGGAGGATAATTATGATATGCTTCTTCAGGAGAAACCAACTTTGACTGTAGTCTTTTTCTAGCTTTTAATACCTTATCATCGCTCTTTTTTATTTCATCTTCCTTTTCAAATAAAATATTTAATGGAGAATCATCTGTTGACCTAAATGCTGAAGGAACAAAACGTATTTGAGCATAATAAGAATGGTTATCCTTCGAAGATGTATCCAAATCACTCTCAGCATTAAACAATTTTAATTTTTTTACTATATTTTTAATATTTGGAATATTTGCATCAAACATTTTTAAATCGGAATTTTTATCTAATAGTACTTGACCCAATGAAGCAGTTAAAATTGTATTTTCATCGTGGATGTAATTGACATTTTTCACGTTGCTATCTTGACATTCAGATTTCATCAATTCATTAAATATATTTTCGGATTCAATCTCAATATTTTCCTCGCTATTGATCTTTTCATTCTCCTCGGGACTATTCAACAAAAAATTTTGCTTTAATCTTTGCCATTTGTTGGTTTTGTGGATTCTTGGTATACTAGAATCGTCCATGTAATCAAACGCTTTTATGTTTTCTTTACCAATTAACTTATCAAAATTGTAAAAAACCTGAGAAAGATGCTTATTATTATCAAAATCTTTCCACAACAATAATCTCTCGGCTCTTTGAATAACACCAAGATTTATCCCAAAAGCAAAATATTCGTGATTTTCATTATCTGGTATTTTATGTAAACTGATATTTCCTATATTTTGAATAAAGTCCAATAAATGAGGGAAAAACTTTAAATTCATTTCTCTTGTTTTTAATTTTGAAAAAACATTACTATAACTCACTTCAAACCATGCTATAGCAGATCTAGTTCCCGAAACTTTTAACAAGCATTGATCTTCTTGATTATTCACTTTAGAAATTTTTACCAAATTTCCTTTGGTAAACTCATCATATATAGTAGTGCTAAATGTATTAAAAAGTAAATGATTCATAATCTTGTTAATTGGAATTATTTTTGTTGAAAATACCTCCTCATCAACAGTCGTCGCTGATTTATGAGGATTTACTATTTTCCAGCAAACTTCAATTATTGATGATACTACTTGTGCTTTTAGGTGCTTTCGGTTTATTGTAACCTCAGGATAATATTGTAAGATATAAAAATTCAAAGAATCCTTTTGATATTCCAATAATGAATTATATAAAGTCTTAAATTCATATTCTGATAAATATCTATCAGATGGTTTGAGATCATTAATACTAACAGTTACTTCATCAATCGAAGCTGTAGATCTAAAATTTAACAATGTTTTAGTTTTCTCTTCAAAATTAAAAGTTGCTAGATTTGTTAAACTTGTTTTTAAACGATCTTTTATTAATCTTTCTTTTTGAGCCTCAAACAATTCATTTTGTTTCCGAGTTAATTGTTCATAAATTTTATCCAAATTGACACCATCTTTCAACAATCTTTTTTGTGCTGCTTTATCTCTTTTCAATTTTTTTTCATTTAATGATTGAAATAAAATCTTCCTAGAATTGTAACGATCATTGTCTTTCAAGTATGTGGGGACCCTTTTACGAAATTTTGACTCGTCAGGAGTTAAAATAAGAATTTTTTCTGGAGCAGGCTGTATTTTGACTGACAGTTTAGACATTGTGTTAAATTGATTGACATTGACATTGACATTAATATTTTGACCGGCATTTAACTTGTCATTTGATGTTTCTTTTGAGTTATAAATTTTATCATAATTTTGATCGTTATCTTTTGATTGCTTTTGAAAATAATCCAAAAAGTTTTGGAAAGTTTCATCTTCACTGGATTCATTATTTGAATTATTTAACAATTTACTTAACTCAAATTCAGAATTATTAAAGTTAGTGAAACCATCTAATAAACTGTTATCGGCTGACAGAGTATTTTGATTGAAAATATCAAAAGGATCTTTGCTTTCATCAATATCTTTGTTATCACTTGTAGATTGGTTTTTCATTTGAATATCATCAATTTGAGCCGATTCAGGTGCTTCAGATGCTTCAGGTATTTCCGGTGGTTTGGTCGTCTGTGTATTCAAAAAAGTTTGTGGTTTTGAGTCATTATCTTTCAACATGTCTTCTATCAATGTATCAGAAAGGTTTTCTATATTACCAACGAGAGGTTTTGGATCCTTCAAATTATTTTCATCAGATTTCTCAAGAAGATCTTTTAAATTTATCTCCTGCGAAACTGAACCAGGAGTGCCTAGATCATTTTGGAGGTGATTCGGATTGTATGTTGTGTTGAAACGAGTAAAGTTAATTAATCTGACATGTCTCTGAGTTATTGCTATTCTCCTACAGTGGGTATTCAAGCGACTGAGCATTTTTGTGTAAAAGTCTTGAAGTTGAGCTTTAAAAGTTTTCAGACTCAAAAAAATTCTTTTGGGGAAAATGAAAAATTTAACTAGCGCTCCCGTGATACAGAATAAGTTGCGCGCGCACTTTAGTAGCATGCGCGCGCAACTTATTGCTATAAATCTGCAGAGGAAGCAGAAACAGCAAAGTACGTAGAATATTTAACAGCAGTCGCCAGAAACACTAACTAAAGTGCTGCTACAGTGAGAAGCTGTGTGTCCAGACTCTTGAACAGCACCAAGCTGGTCTTGCATGTTCAGTTCATCGAATCATCGTCGATTTCAGACTCAATATCAGCATCATCTTCAGGACTGGCATCCAGGTTGTTGAAGAAATCCTCATAGTCTGATCCCAATTCTTTCTTTAGGATAGAACTCAATTTGTAGATTTCCTCTCGTTTCTTTGCAAGAGCAGCGTAAGATTTTTGCAAGATTTGGGTTGCTCGAGTGTTGGCCTTGAGATTGTTCTTAGGATCTGAGTTTAGTATTTGTTTGGATAGCTGAGCACATTCAATTGCTTTATCCTTATACTCTTTTTTCAAGTTTAAGAGCAGCGTTTTCAATGAGTTTTCAACGTCTCTGTAGCTAGGTGTTGGCTCTTCATTCCAGATATTATTGTTATTCGTATTCAAATCAGGATTAATGTCAGTATCGATATCATTGTTAACTAAGCCAAAATCAAAATCAAAATCAAAATCAAAGTTGTTTGCAGTAGGGTTTATTGATCTTAATGTTTGTAAATCAATGTTTTTGGTATTGGTCTTATTGGAGTTCTCGTTTGTAGGAGATTTTGATTGTAGTCCTAATCTTTTGAATAAGTCAATATCTAGCTGATTGTTTAATGGATTGTTTGAATGATTAATTAACTTGTTTTTCAAATTTTTATTTAAAGACCTTTTGGTAATGTTCAAGGGATTTGTTTTAATTTTTTGGTTTTTATTGTTATTATTTTTTTGAATTACAATTGATTTAATTTCTTCAAGATATTTTAAATACTCATCATTCTCAATTTCATGAAGTTCTTTTTTCAATCGATTTTTTCTAATATATTTTTGTAAAATTGATTCAACGACTTTTAAATCTTGTGCAAAATTTTCATTATTATTTTCATTATTATTATTATTATTATTATTATTATTATTATTATTAGCAGTAGTAGTAGTAGTAGTAATATTTTCATTGTGATTATTATTAATTTCATCTGTGGTTTTATTTGTTTTTTTTTGTATTGGAGTTGATTGTTGAATTGGCTTTTCACTGATCTCTATATTATCTATGGAATCAACTTTAAATTTTATATTTTCTTTATTTTTAAATTTTTTTTCATTTTTATTTTCATTTTCTCCTTGGTTGTTGTTATTATTGTTATTAGCTACGGGAGTATTTTGGTTTAAGGAATTCTTAAATTGTTGGAATTCTAACTGTTGGTTATATAACTGGGATTGTAATTGAAAAATCATTTGAATTTTAGTATCTTCTGACGAGTATTGATCAGGTAATAAATTTTGGTTATTATTTTGTCTTGAGTTCAAAGGAGAAGATTGAGAGTATTTTCTATTTTGATTTTGACTTTTATTACTTTGATTTTTATTTTTATTTTTATTTTTTTGATTATTTTGATTGTGTTGAAAATTGTTTGGACTGAATGATTGGTTAATAGACGAATTTAAACTAATATCTGAATCTAGGTCTGAATCATTATTATTATTATTATTATTATTATTATTATTATTATTATTATTATTATTATTATTATGGTTATTATGAGTATTGTTATTATGAGTATCGTTATTAGTGTGATTTTGATTATTTGAATCTATTGAATTTATTTGATTTATCTGACTTGATTTTAATTTTTCAGATAAATCGTCGATTATATTTTGTTGATTTAGAGAGATTTTTTTATATTTTTGAAGTTTAAGAACTAATTGATTATTTAAGTTATTTACGTCTTCTAATTTTTTCTCTAGTTGTTTGTTTAGCTTTTTATTAAAAAGTAATTCTTTTGTAGCCTGATTAATCGAACTATTTAAGTATTTGATTATTTCTGAATTGGCATGATTTATAGGAATGTTGTCCTTGTCTTTAAGATTGTTGTTTAGGATTTTCTTATAGGTTATATCATTTGTATCTGTCAATTCGGAGATGTTGTATAACGAACTTGTGTTGATATTCAGATTTTCCTGATTGAATAAATTTGATTTCCTTTTTTGATTCATTGATCTTGGAGTCTTTGAGTTGAAATTAAGATTGGAGTGTTTCAAAGGAGTGCTAGTCAACCTGCCAGTGTTTAGTTTATTTTTCATATACTTATTAGAGGGATTATCCATTGCTAGGAATTGTCAAAAAATTTGTTTCTGTAGTAGACAATTATGACACTGAAATTAATATCAATAGCTAGGTGAGCCAAAGCTGAAAGAGTTAGAAAATAGAACTTTTTCTCGATAAAATAGCAAGAAAAGTCAAGATAGAGAACAGAAAAACAAAAATAGGCCCAAGCAGCAGCGAGTTGTGTAGAATTGCAAAGAATTGATAGAGGTAGCTGATACCAATACAAACCAAATCAGATATACAAAAAAGAGAAGAACAAAAAGAAAAAAAAAAGATGTGTATTGAAACTGTTTTCGTCCTTCAAAAAATAAACAAAAACAATAAAAGCAGCCCAAAAAGGCAGGTTGCGTTTGTGCAAGATACCTGAAAGGGGAATGCTCAAAATGGAATGCACGTGAGCAGTTTAATTGTCCAAATGAGGAAGTTTCCTTTTTTGGAGAAGACGATATAATGCCCATTCATTTTCGATGGGTTTTTGGTAATTTTCGACAGTTTTTGATGTGTTTTTGTAGGCAGTGTTTTGAGATTCTACCTTTGGGCTCAGTCTTCAATTGCTGTGTCTGTCTGAACTACATGCTTGTGTCTGTCGTTCTCCTGGGTATCGGGCTGGGTGTTCCCACTCTCGCCAGCTGAGCTTAGGTTGTCACTGCTCTGTTCAGCATCAACATCAAGAGCCTCCATAGTGACATCCTCGTCTTCTTCCCCCTCCATATCTCTGTCATCTTCAGCTTCGTCTTCGTCTTCCTGGTTGAGATCCTCGTCTTCATTACCGTTGTCATTATTGACTTCCTCTTCCATTTCTTTTTTTCTTTGATCCTCGCTTGACAATTCGCTGTTTATGTAATTGATTTCTTTATTGAACTTGATCAAGTCATTATTCAAAAACCTTAGTATCTTATTATATCTTTCAAACCATTTCTCATTTTCTTTTAACATTGACACTTTTTCCTTCAACAAAATATCATTTAACAATGCGTATTTAATTTTCTCTCGTTGATGGGATTTTAGCTCGTTCAAATAGCGTTCATTTCTTTTTGTGCTGAGTTCTAACAACAACTCTTCTTCATTTATATTGTTATTATCATCTTTCTTATCGATATCTTTATTGAAATTATCTGGAATATCATCATTTGAGATATTATTTGAGATATTATTTGAGATATTATTTGAGATATTATTTGAGATATCATTCGAGGTATCATTTGGGGTATCGTCATTTATAATATCTTCTACTTTGATATCAATACTTACATCATTTAGACTTGGAATATTTTGTTTATTGGAGTTTAAAGATAAAAGTAACGAGTTTTTCTTTTTCTGTAAAGGTTCAATTGAATTTTTTTCAAATAAATAATTATCATAATTTAAAATCTCAAGTTCATTATTCTTTTTTGACGTTAAAACTAGTTTATTTAATTTTGGAATATCAATATCGTTAATTTTATTAATTTTATTTTGCAATGAGTTATTAGGGTTGTTATTCAATGAATTGTTCAATAAAAACGATTTTAAAAAAATTTCTCTATTTTTTGATATTAATTTTTTTTTAAATTCAACTTTTTTATTTTCACTTGAACTGTTATTATTATCTTTTGTGCTATCCGTTTTATCCTCATTTTTAGCTTTTATCTCATTTTGAATATCTTCAAGCACAAAATCTAATAACCCTATTGACGTATTAAATGAATCATCCAATCGTGCTAATTGAGAGTCCAATAATTCATCTTCATTCAATGATTTAATTTCCTTTTGAAGCTTATTAAAATATTCAAGTTCATTGTTTTTATTCTCGCTATCATCTTTATTACTAGATCTATTTTTATCTGACATTAAATCACTATCGTTCATTGTTGCATTAGCAGTTGAGGGCTTTGAATCAATCACCATACTAGAACTGCTAACTGCATCATTATCAGCACTAATACTTGCATTGTTTGCATTATTAGAATTGGTAGAATTATTACCACCGTTATTATTGTTGTTATTGTTAATGTTGGAACTAAAAGTAGTATTATTGTTACTACTGGGGCCCCTGGGTACTGGTTTATGTTGACCTGAATCCTTATTTTGGCTATTATACCCTTTATATGGATAGTTTTTATAATTGTTCGCTGGATAATTTCTATTACTATTGTTGTAATTATTGTTATAATTGTAATTGTTTCTCTGGTGCTGATTGGAAGAACCACCAGGTTTGGAAGGAAGTGTAGGAGCCATATTATTTAACAAAACCAGATCAGTATCTTATAACTATTTGGCTTCAATTGTCGATATTGTCGTTTCGAAATAATTGTGGTCGACCTTCAAAAACAGCAAAAGAAGCTGAAAATAATTTAATCTGACCTCTGGAAAAGGTGTGGTCGAAACTTGTTTTCACGTGATCTGGAACTATATACCCTCGGTTTTGTTTTTAATTGTTTAGGCGAATTTTTCTTTGATATTTTTCCAGTGAAAGATTGCAATCTCTAAAAAATAATACAGATCGAAATGGATAAAAGTAGGAAATCAGGGGAAATATTGGTGAAACCCTCTATTGAGAATATAGATCCCTTTAAGACCTACCAATTTCAAACACCAAAATTCTATTCATTACAAGAAAACCCTATTTTATATGGTGGTAGTAGAGACTGGATATTGAATATCAACACATTTCAAGAAAAGAGCATTAAATGCGATTTATTCGTATTGCACACTTCATTCATAATATGGTTCAACGATCTAAACAAAGGTCTCGAGTTGATTTATCAGGATATCATATTACATGCAGTTCAAGGGACTTCAAGTTTATATTTACAAATCGAATTTAATAACGAAATAAAATCGTTGTTAGAACATTTGGACATTCTAATTACAAATGAAAATGATTATGAATACAATTTTGTTGAGTTCAATTTTACAACAAGCCATGATAAACAGAAAGATAGTAGCATCAAAGAGGACCTATTTACAATAACAAATTTCGATGAAGATGTGATCAATAATCCTGTTCAAAGTGTTTATAACGCTTTGTCCAAGTGCACAGCATTTCACGGAGATCCAACAGAAGATTCTGACTGTGATTTTATGGAACAAGATGAAATAGATAACGATGTGGATATCGCTGGACCTTCATTGGATCAGTTGAAATACAGTCTCAAGAACTATGGCCAAGCAGACGATATCGACGACATTGAAGACATTGATGATATTGCTGAAATTTTTGATAACAACGATAACAATACACACCAAAACATGTTCAAATCTGCCTTGGATGTGGAAATCAACAGTGGCTGTGAAAATGCGAAAATAAGACCCAGGAACAGCGAACTGCAATTGGATAACGTCAAAAAGGCTAAAATTGTGGAAAACGGCAAGAAATAAATCAAAAGATTAAAAGACCAAAAGATTACATCAAAAGTTTACCCAATCAGAAAGAAACGCGTAATAATAAACGCGTTTTAAACACGAAACAAAGCCTCACAACGCGCAAACTCAAAAAGAACTAGATATTTCCCCATTAGGGCATGTATAAACAAAGGCTCTTAAGAATGTCGATATATTCATAGTCATATATATTTCTTTTAACATTGAAGTCTCTCCAGTTTTCGCTATTTTCTCTGTCTGTATTGTTAATTAAATAGCATATTCGTCTCTCTTTCACTATTTTTTTGCTCATACCATTGCATTGTTTATTTATTTTACTATTCTTCATTTGTATATTTCCCATTTCTCATCATGACAATCGCACAAATAACCAACAGCGACAATTTAAACCTACTTTCTCCAAGATCCTTAAGACACTTTAATTCCAAGGCTAACAATAAAAAGATAAAACTCAGAAATGTTTCATCCAAGATGATTTCCAATAGAGTCAGGTCAAGTTCAAGAAAAAGCCTTATTCACACTCCTCCTTCAACTCCCAAAAAACTCAAAAAAATTGGCAAAAACGTCAATTTGAGGCGAAAGAGAAAAAAAACACACTTGTTTGATAATGAAATATCAACTCTTGATACCATCCAAATTATAAACATATCGAGTGATGAAGATAACAGTGATAGTTATAGTGATACTGAAATTGAAAATATTACACTGGATAATTTTATACTGAAAAAATACGATGCATCAATATCTCAAGCATTAAATACTTCATTTGAAGATAAGTTTAATGAAACCATCATCTTGACTGATTCTTCCGATTCTGATTTTGCTTCTGATTTTGAAAATACTGTTAATTCATTCTTAAATGATGATCAGTTTGAAATTGAAAAAATTGTAGACACTTTATCGAAAACAGATGATGAAAACGATAACAATAATAAAAAAAGTATAATAAACCAAAATAATATTATCAAGAATTCTTTGCCTACTCTGAAAAAAGATAGTGAATTACCTGTTTTCACCTTAAAGGAATCAATCTATACAAAAGCTAAAAAGTTATTTCAGAAAAACTCTTCAATTTATACATTGAATTCAAACACCAATTTAGCTCTAATTGGTAGAGAGCATCAATTTAATCAATTGAATTTTTTCTTCTCTAGTAATATCCAAAATTTAAAATCAGATTTCTTGTATATTTATGGTCCTCCAGGTACTGGTAAAACTGCTCAAACATTAAAATTTTTGAATTATTTTGTCAACAACAATAAAATTGAAAGCTCTAACGGATTCAATTATTCTTCTAATATTCATAAAATTCAAATCAATAATCTTTTTAGAAAAATCACAATAACAAACATTAATTGTATGACAATATCAAATATTAATAAATTATTTATTAAAATTTTAAATAATTTTGATATAGATTTCACAAATCCAAAAACCTATCGCAAATATTTCAATTCTAAAAGACCAATGTTTTCGTCTCCAAAGGATTTGCTATTAAATTTATTTTCAAGTAGAAACTTTTCAGATCATAATATTTTATTATTGGATGAAATAGATTCATTGTTAAATTCAAGCTGTAATTATCATCAAAGTATATTAGATTTATTTTCAATGACCAATAATTATCAATCGAATTCAAATAAATTAATAATAATTGGAATATCTAATGATTTAAAATTTTTAGCAGAAAGAAAAAATCTTCAGCTATTAAAAAAAACTAGTTCTTCAAGTGTTAATTCTATCAAGTTCTCTCCATATGTAGAACAAGAAATATACGATATCATTAAATCTTTAATGAACAGCTTAAAAGACAGTGATAATGGTGATAATACTGTACCATTATTTAATTCATTTGCAATGAAATTGATATCCAAAAAATGTTCCAATACCGGGGACTTAAGAAGAGTGTTTGATATATGTTTTAAAGCAATTGAAAATACAGAAATACTTGTTAAAAATTCTAAAGATACTAATATAGATGAATTGACATGTTCAAATGCGCCAAAAGTTTCAATAGCAAATATCGGTAAACTATTCAATTCATGTCAAAGTGATCTGTTGAAGATTAAGTTTAGATCAATAAATCTTCAATCCAAAATATTATTATGTTGTTTACTCAATTTTGAGCGTATCAGAAAAGAACAGTCCCAGAAAGTCATTGAATCAATTGCTAATACCACTAGCAATGTTAATATAATGAATATTTTAGTAGATAGTCATCCAGATAATGGTTATCATATTGAAAATATCAATTCTACTATAAAAGACAATAAAAAATTGAATAATGAAAATGGTAGCAATAGTACTATTGAATTGATCAGTGTTGATGAATTTTATCATTTTTATAAAAAACTAATCAAAATTCAAAATCTTCAAATGGTATCATCACTAAGTAAATGTGAATTTATCGAGATTATTAGTAATATTGAAACATCGGGCTTAATACATTTATCAGATATAAATAGAAATAAAACCATGAATAATAGTTTCAAGTTTAAAAACAGAATTATAAGTTCTAATGGGATTACTACTCAAGAAATTGTGAGTTTTGTTGATGAAAATGAATTATTATTTTTAAAAAAAATATTAAATAGTAAAATATAATTTTTTCAATTAAAGAATAATTTAATTTAATTTAATTTAATTTAACCTAATTTTTAAGAATATTAAATAAATTGACTACATGAGATAAATCGACTAATTTAAATCATAATATCTTTGTACACGAGCATCCAAGTCTTCTCTATCAAGATCATACTTCTTTTGCTGGATAATGGAGTTTTTATCGGTTGAATGTCTATAATCTTCAATGATTTTTGTTGAGGAAATTGAGATACGATTATATGGGAATAGAGATAGATTTGAGTTCGGCTTTTCTGAATCTGTTTGAGATGAGTTATCATATTCAGTGAGCTTTTTTGATAAAACTGAGAAGATTCCGTCGCATAGTATAGATATACTACAAGTATCTGAACTTCTAGTTAATATTATATCTGAAAATTGTTTCGTTGGATTGATAAACTGATTCATCTCTGGTCTTGCGTAATTTAAATAGTAATCCAAAATATCTTGTAGTCTGATATCGCTTTGTTCGTTTTCGATGATATCTTCATTAATCCATCTAGTTAGTCTGGTGTCAGCATCACAGTCAATAAATATATTGAAATCTGAGAACTTTCTTAACTCAGCATCATAGAGAGCATATAATCCATGGACCAAATAAAGTAAAGGGTGATTTCTTTGCTTATAATCATCCAGTAGATCATTCTTCAATTTATCAAAGTCAAATCTGCTGGGAGCTAAGTTTTTGTTTTCAAGATTTTTCTGCAAAGTGGACCTAGTTTCCGGAGCCAATTTTTCCTTGTTGATGGAGTGCCTGAAGTCTGTGAAGCATTTAACTGTACTGTGGGAAGAATTGCCACTATCTTTGCTGTCCCTCAAGTAATCATCCATATCGACAATCTCGATCAAGTTGGTGCCATGCTTCCTGAGACTTCTGATCTTCTGGACCCTGGAGAGCAACTCCTTTCTGAGCAAGTTGCACACAGTTCGCTTGCCAGAAGCATGGCCTCCTGCCACAAGTACGATGCTGGGCTTTGTAGCTGAAGTCCTGTTCAGTGTCATTTTGTCGTTAGAAACAGCAGAAGAACTAGAAGAAGCAAACTTCGAAGGTCTCGAAAAGGCGCTGACCATTTTTTGCGATGGAAGGCTCCGTCTGGGTTCGAACCGGCGATTCAGAGCATATTTATAAGGCTATCAGAGATAGAGAAAGAAGATATACAGATATACAGAGATTACAAGAACAGAGGTTGAAACAGATGTGCTTACGCCAATGGGACTCTATTTCGGATTGCTTTGGGAAGACCCTTTACCCAGCTTTTGTTTTCCTTTTTGTCGACAATCAAGAAGCATCTTCCACTCTGGTTCATTCTACCAATTCTTCCTGTTCTGTGAATCAAATCGACTGATGTCTTGGGAAGATCATACAAAATGAGGTTTCTGATGTTGTTAAAGTTGATTCCCCTGGCTAGCACGTCTGAGGTTATCAACACTTTTAGCTTGACATACCCTGGGAATTTTTGTTTCTCATAACTGGGGTCTTTTTCATGTTTGAGAGCCTCTTGAACTTCAAAGGAATTTTTCACATCGTCGATTGTTCTTGGGGAACTGACAAATGGTGCTATCTTGGCCAAACGTTCTTCAATTGTGTTTTCACCTGTTAGTGTTGTAATATTATGGCCATAAACATTTGCTAAATCTTCTTGGATGGGTTTTATATCTTTCTTGAAATTGACAAAAACAATGCATCTTTTCTCCAAGTTTGGTTCTGTTCCATCTTTATAAATTGCGTATAAACATTGAGCTAGAGTTTTAATCTTTGAGCCATTATAGGGTGGAATGGAGCAATCAATAATCTTGAGCTGGATATTTTTAGGCAATTTATGCAAATTCTTTGTTACAATTGGTATTAGTTTACTTTTACCAAACATTTTGACTAAAGTTTTATTAAATTCCATATTAATTGTTGCACTAACAAATATCAAATCTTTTAAATTCTGTAGATATCTTAAGGAATGGTTTGTGTCATTAATCCAGGAGTGGTCCATTAAAGTATCTGCTTCATCTACCACGCAATGCTTTACATTTGTTAGTAATTGTTCGGGATGTTTTAAAGAATATATTGTTGAAATTGAATTGAATTTTATGGGTGTTGTAATCAAAATATCCAATTCATTTGTCGCTATAGATTTTTGATTTTCATTATTGTTATCAAGATCTATGTTGTTATTGTTGTTGTTGTTGTTGTTGTTGTTGTTGGGTTTAAAAAGTTCAGTAAAATCAGGAATTGGTACGTTTGAATCAAATTTAAATACAGATAACCCGATTTTATGAACATCTTTGATTTCTTGGTAAACTTGATCGACCAATTCATGAGTTGGTAATAGAATTACGGAGTTAATCTTTGGTAAGGCAGGAGTATTTGGTGATAAAGGGTTTTGAATTTTATAGTTTGATAATTTATTTAATAGGGGAATTAAATAAGCCCAGGTTTTCCCTGAACCAGTTTCAGCAGCCATTGTATAAATTCTTAGGATGTTCTCATCTTTTCTTCTTTTAAGAATGTTTTGAACACAAGAGATTTGAATTGGAGTTGGAGTTAATAATTTGTCTAAATCGGAAGATGATGAGTTATTATTCGTGTCTTGATTTGTGTCTTGATTTTTGTCTTGATGTTTATTTTTAATATCGGTGATTGAATTATCATAAATTTTCTGCATTACATAATTTCTTACATCTGGTAAGATTTTCAAAGAATTGAAATTTTTAATTTTTTCAATGGAAGAAAGATCTTTTTTGTAGTCATCTTCGTTGTTTGGTTTCAATTGAAAACTTTCTCTGATTAGATGATTGACACCATAACCATATCTTTGTTTTTTTTGGTTTTCCAATTGTTTTTTTGTTTTTTTCGTGCTTTTGGGAGATTTCAAAGATTTCAAAGGTGATTTCAGTGGTGATTTCACAGATGATTTTATCGATTGTTTTATCGATCGTTTTTTTATATTAGTATTAGCATTAGTATTAGTATTAGTATTAGCATTAATATTAGTATTGGTATTTAATTTGGATGGTTGTTTTGGTTTTGATTTTAGTAGAGACAGTTTTATATCATTTGAATTAATTTTTTTCAAATTTGAATGAATCTTTTTTGAGCGCTGTATTAGAGGAGATTGTAATTTTGAAGAATGATTTGTAAAGGATTTGATTCTCTTTTTGGGAGATAGGGTTATGAGTCTAGAAGTGAGTTTTTTATATTGAAGAGAAGAGGAATTGAAGAAGGATTTGTGTATATTGTTGATGAGAGGTTTATTCAGATGAAGTAAATAAGTATTTGAAGCCTTCAACATTTTCTTAATTTATTCTATTTTAATTTATTTTAATTTATTTTAATTTGTTTTATTTTATTTTATTTTATTTTTATGAGAAAGATAAAAATTACAATGGTATGGGAATGTAGAAATCCGAAAATAGATAGGATTTGAATGCACTGAAGTATTGAAATACTAAGTTAATAAACTTGTAAATCATTAAACTATTGAAATATATAAATATATATATTGAAATATTGAAATGTTAATTATTATAAAATTTTCAGAAATTTCAACAAAAAAAAGAACCGTGGTTCGGATTTTGACAAATCCGCGAAAGGCATGCGATAAAAGAAGAAACAAGAAAGAGATGAGCAAAGATAAGAAAACAAGAGTAGGATTGAGAGTATAGTATAGTATAAAAGAATAATATAGGACAATATAGAATAGTATTGGTAGTATAGTATGATGTTGATGATGGTGATGGGTTAACGAGTAGTATTCTTAACTTGAGCAAAGTATTTAGCCACATCAAAATCAAAGGTTGTTTCTCTGCAATCAGAACAAAAATGATGGTTGCAGACACCACATTTCATTCTTATTGGTAATTGAAGGCAATTGCAGCAGCAGCATTGCCATGGATGTTCAGCATAGGCTATTCTTGCGAAGCCCATTGTGATGAGGAGTAAGAGTAGGTGAGAGAATTGATAGCGTGTAATTATAATTGTAAATATGAATATAATTGCAAGTATAGGTATAAACAAAGGAGTACGAATAAAATGAAAGATAGTAGAAAGCCTCAAAAAAAAGAAGTGGAGTTAATTTATATCAATAAAAAATGGGTGATGATTATGAGTAATCTTTGTGAGTAATCATTTGATTTGTAACAAAAGGGTGGGAGATGGAAAATGGAAAATGGAAAAGCCATCCAAGCAAATAATAAGTAGGATATAAAGGTACGAAATGGGAGATAACTTTAAAATGCTTAAAATAATAAATAACACCTAAATAATAATAATAATGATAATAATGATAGTAATCAACAAGCAATAAAGGATGAAAATTGGCAATAGCAAATAACCACGAGAAAAGTTGAGCACAGTTCAAAACCACGAAAAGCGTCAAGTGTGGGCCCAGCCGCAGATAGGGTTTTCCTATCCTTGTACCACCTCCACTCTTCCACAGCCCACGCTGCCCAACTGCCCAGGCACAAACGGCAGCTGCCTCTGCTGCTTCTGCTGCCTGTGCTTCTTCGGCTTTCCCTGTTCAAAAGCTGCACCAACACGCATACCCTCGTAAATATCACGTGTACTCGCAGAGGACGCGTTTCTGTCGGTGTCTGCTGCCCTCGTTGGTGTTAGGCAGATGGATGCAGAAATAGGCGCTTGCTATTGTGGAGGTGTCAAAGGCTCGGCCTGTTGGAAAGCCGAGCTGTGGCTGCTTTCTGTGGCGCCTGTGAAGTTTTTGGGACAGGAGCTGCCTTTGCTGCGCGACCCCAGAGGGTGCCATGGCTTTGTGCTTTAGGTACTGTAAAAAGCGCCTTCTGCACCTGCCCTGAATCGTGTCATAACAGCAATTTGAAATCAACCCAATTCTGGCTAGTGCAAGTTAAACCACTGAGAATTCCTTCTGGAATCTGTATTTAGATTTATGATTTAGTCTCCTCCACTGACAGTACTTGTCTTGCAAGCTCTGATCGCTCTGTTATACAGACAAACCTTTGGTCCTTTGAATTGGACAATAGCACTCGTAATAATCACACCATCGCAAACCGTTTTATTATTTCCTATCGGATATCAGATTGTATCAAATCATACCAAATCATATCAACCAGATTGCAAAATAGCTTTTACCTGTCAAATGTAATGTCGCACAACATCTTTTTATCAAAAGATTGTCCTATCGGCAGGAAAGCTAATTCACAGGACAGGTTAGTTATCAAAATGACTAATCTGATTTTTCAGGTTTTTATTCCTTCATTCTAGCTTGAGCTGATTTCCCCTTTATAACAACTGAAGATTTATATCGTATACTATTCTACTTTATTCTATTAATATTAATATCAAAACAAAACAAAACAAAACAAAGCAAAATTATTGCTTGTTATTTGAGAAATATTCCATATTATCAACATAATTCCTGTCTTACTTTTTTGTTTCCTTTTCAAATTCATCTTAATCTAAACTAATTTCTTCTTCTTCCACTAACACTAAGTTTATTTAGTAAATTCAGTTTGAAAATGTCTCAAATTTGTTTATCATTTTTCAATTTAAAGTTAATTAACTATTAGCAATTCATCTATTGCACTGCTTCTTACCACTTTTCATTGGCTTTTTTGTTTTTATTCTTTTATTATTCTTTTATTATTCTTCGATTATCACTTACTTTTCTTCTATTTTTCTTTTTTATTTTGTTTTGATAAATTAATTGAAATAATTATATATTATCTGACTTGATTTTGAAATATACAAAGTGATATAGACTATAATATATATAATATATATAATAATATAAAATAATATAAAATAATATAAAATAATATATAATATATAATATATAATAATAAATAAATAAATAAATAAATAAATAAATAAATAAATAAATAAATAAATAAATAAATAAATAAATAAATAAATAAATAAATAAATAAATAAATAAATAAATAAAAAATTCCATTTTAATAGCAAAACTATGTTATATTGAAATAAGCAGCAAAATTCATTAAAAAATAATCAGGAAAGTTATAATACAATTCTATAATACGAGTTGATATTTCTAAATCTTAATCATGTCACTTTTATAATACCATCATCATCATCATCATCATCCTTCTTTTTCTTTTTGCTCTTGTTCTTTTTCTTGATTATGAATCTTTTTCTTGATTATGGATAATTATTTCTATAAATGTCATAGAAATGAGGTGTTGGATCAAAAATTCTACACTTTCCACATTTCTTATGAGAGCAAAAATTACACATCCCAAAAAAAAGATCCAATTTGTTCTCGCAGTGACAACATTGCCACTTGAATTTAACTAGCGAGGTATTGTTATAATTAACTAATGTCATTGTTGATAAAAAATAATAAAAAATAATATGCTATAGTAGAGTATGATTTAGTATAGTGTGTCTTGAAGTTGCTTTGTATTTGCTATTCAAAATCTTTTTCAAGTCTAAAATTGAGAAATTAGGTGCTATTTATGTTGATTTAATTTTCAAAATGAAAAGTTAATTTGATATATAGAAACCTTTTATTCAAGTTAATTATCTTGATATTGATCGCCAGTAATAAAGAAACCGTTAAATATAATTAAATAACTATATTTACATTTACATATAAATATATATATATATATATATATATATATATATATAAACTTCACTTATAGATAATCTTCAGTATCTTTTTAGTATCAATTCGGTATAAATTTAAACAGAGACTCATATTAAAGTTCAAAACGTTGTCTATTCTTTATATTTATCTTTCTCTTTTTCTTCAACTAAGTTAATTCAATTAAATTTGTGAATCTAATTGAATTTTTTTCAAATCTCTTGTTTCAATTTTGTTGATTATTCATCAATCTGGTAATTTTATTTGAAAAAAAAAATTCTAAAATATCAACTTAGAATTTTGATCTGAGAAGAGTATATTAACAAATTTTACTACACACTATTAGGTTACTACGATTCCAATAAACATTTTTAGGTTGTTATATTAGGTTTTAAATTATTCAAATTATTCATTTATTGAGTCAATTGAAATTATGAAACCATCAAATAATAATACAATAATTAATAAATTGCTATTTTTTGTTTAAAGGAAAATCTAAAGAATTGCCGTTTAAAAGAGAATTAATGAATTCTATCTTATTATTTTACATTATTTTATTTTATTAAAAATTGGGTTTTTATTTAGTTTGTTTTAACTCTTTTTTCATTGTCTTACTGGCTATATTCCAACGGAAAACAAAGCATACTTTTGGGAATTTCCATTTGCCAACGAATATCCTAGACTCATACAACTGAAAAGCTGCTGTTCATTCCACCTCAGCACTTCCACTAGTTACTCTGCAAACAGCAATTGTAGTTCAACAAATAGACAGTCTACCATCCAGAAAATAACATGCCAATATCACTTTTTCCTCTAATACTCTCTTTCTTTCAACTTCTCCACCACTTTCTCCAGCAATTTCCAGCTCCCCAGTTTCTATCGCCATTGGATCCATCTGTCGGGAATTTACCTGCATACGCGCCAGTCTGCATCCACAGGCTGGGGCGCATACGTTTTTTTCTTATCAGGAGCCCTTGGTATTAGGCGCACATACCTCCTTCATCCCTCCGTGAAACGGGAGCACCTCCATCGCTTGAATCCCACTTCCCTGACGTGCGAAAGCAGGAAACAAGCCAATCGGGAATGCACCTGCAACACCCGAAGCCACGCATCCTACCAGGACATGCCCGCTCCTGGGTAATCAGCAGACCGCTGTGCTATCAGGATTGTTCACTCCCAATCGGGAAATCTCTGGACCTGATTTTACTTTTTAAATTGAGTCAGCTTATTGTTTATCTCTGAATTAAATTCCAAACGAATATTTTGTGTCTGGTAATCACCAGTTCTATAACATTGTATTGCTGTATTGTTGGATAGCACTATTATTGTGTCGTCAATTCCTCTTCCCCAGACCTGGTCTGAGCAAACCTTCTCGCGAAATCGAGTAAGGCAATAATATCCTTATAAAGAAAATCCACAATTTGCTGCAAAAACACACCGGTAATTAGACACTTCTCAACCCACACATTTCTCAACTGCAGAGTCTCTGGTACTTTGGTCAGATGAAATTTCACTACAATCCTTTGCAATCCTTTGCAATCCTTTGCAATTTGTCTTGATTTTGGGTTTTATTGGTATTGGTATTGGTTTCGGATTGCAAATCAAATTTTGTTACAAATCCTTTTCTTGCCGCATACTTCCCGATTGGGCCATCTCCATCCTTCAAATTTTTTTTTTTTTCACTGAAATTTTTTTTCAATGGTAAACACTCGTTCAAAATTCGATAATTCACATAGCTAAAATGATCAGAACTGCGTATGTTTCAATGGTTTTTTTTCTACTTTGTTACTCGATTCTCAATTGCTGAATTACTTTGACTAACTTCTCTCTCTTGTCTTGATTCAGTGGTCCACCAAAAAATGCTCGCTCAAAGAGAGCCTTGAAAAATAAGGAATCAAAAATAGTTGAAAATGTTAAACTGGCTTTATTTATTCCTGGTAAAAATTCTAATAAGATCCTCCATGATGCAATGGTGGATCTAAGTGCTCTCAAAAAGCCATATATGATAAGATTCCAGAAGAAGAACAACATAAGGCCATTTGAAGAGGAATCTCAGTTGGAATTCTTCTCTGAAAAGAATGATTCCTCTCTACTTGTCTTCTCAAGTAGCAATAAGAAAAAACCAAATAACTTGACCTTTATTAGAACTTTTAATTATAAAATCTATGATATGATCGAACTACGAATCAAGAACAACTTCAAATTCTTGATGGATTTCAAAAAACAAACTTTCCAAATCGGTTTAAAACCTTTATTCATATTCAATGGGCCCATATTTGATATTCATCCTGTGTATAAACACATCAAATCTTTATTCTTGGACTTTTTCAAAGGCGAAATCACTGAGCTACAAGACGTCGCTGGCTTACAACATATCATAGCTATCTCTGCCAATGATCAAGATGATTCAGCTTCAGCTCTACCCGACGTCTATTTCAGAGTTTATAAACTAAAGACTTTTAGATCAGATCAAAAACTATCAAGAGTTGAATTGGACGAAATCGGCCCCAGATTTGATTTCACCATTGGAAGATATCGCCATCCTTCGCCTGAATTAGAGAAAGAAGCCATGAGAAAACCAAAACAAATAGAACCAAAAGTTAAGAAAAATGTTGAAACAGACCTTATCGGTGATAAAATTGGTACCATCCATGTTGGCAAACAGGATCTTTCTAATCTTCAAACAAGAAAAATGAAAGGCTTAAAAAAAAAATATGATCAAGTGGATGATGATTTTGATGACCAAGAAATAATTCCTAAAAATAAAAAAGTGAAAGCCTAATTTGGAAACTTGAATTAAAAATTTGAATTAAAAATTCAGATTAAAAATTATTCCAAAATTTTCATTATGTTATATAATTATAAGTATGCTTATATTTCTAGGCTTACTTTTACTTATATAATTCGTTTCTATATTTTCATTCACACACTAATTCATCAACAAACTTATTGATATCATTTGACTTCATCAATGCTTCACCAACAAGAAATCCATGAACTCCTTCTTCTTTATATTTAGCAGTATCTTTACCACTTGATATCCCCGATAACGCGCACAATATAGTATCTTTTGGAACGATTGAAACCAAACTTGATGTAGTATTTAAATCAACATGAAATGAATGTAAATCTCTATTATTAACTCCTATAACTTTTGACTTAAGTTTAATTGCCCTTTTCATTTCATCCAATGAACTGACTTCAACTAATGGCTCCATTTTTAATAATAACGAATAATCATACAATCTCTTTAACAATAAATCATCTAACATTTTAACAATCAATAAAACTGAGTCGGCTCCAGCCAATCTCGCTTCAAGAATTTGATATTCACTAAAGATAAACTCTTTTCTTAAAATCGCTGGTCTACTTTTACCACAATCTTTTTCATACGATACTTCCAATATATTTCTCACATTTCGGAGATCCTCGATTGACCCTTTGAACCAATGAGGTTCTGTTAGCACTGATATAGCAGCAACTCCAGTATTTGCATATTTTAAAGCCTGTGAAGCAGAATTTGCTTCCAAGTTGATTGGGCCCTTGGAAGGCGATGCTCTCTTTATCTCAGCTATTAAAGCAGACTTTGGTAGCTCAGCTTTTAATCTATCATAGAAGTTTATAACGTTAGGAGCTAAACCTAAATCATATAATTCATTTAATTGTTTGAAACTATGACCTGGAACCAACTTTTGACTTTCAACATCTTTCTTTCTTTGATCATATATTTCATTGAGAATACTCTTTCCCGTATTCTTTGTTACTTTTTTGTTATTACTAATTTTATTTTCATGAATTAACTTATTCTCTTCCCATGTTTTTCCACAGGTATTTAACATGTTTTTAATCATCAAATGACCTTCTTCAGTTAAAATCGATTCAGGATGAAATTGAACACCTTCTACAGTATATTTTTTATGTCTAACGCCCATGATTATCCCAGTTGGAGTTTGTGCAGTGATTTCTAATTCATCAGGTAAAGTTTGAACAGTTCCAGCTAATGAATGGTATCTTGTGACTGCGATATTTTGTGGGATACTGGTAAACAAACCTTTTCCATCATGGGTTATAAGAGTGGTTTTTCCATGAACGATTTCACCAGCATATTCAACAGAGCCTCCAAACACTTCGAAAATACATTGCTGACCCATACAAACACCAAATACAGGAATTTTGCCTGTAAAATGTTTAATAACATCCCTTGAAATGCCGGAATCAGTCTTTGGGTGACCAGGACCAGGAGAGATCAATATGATATCAGGATCTATGTTTTCAATCTCGTTTAAGGTGATCTGATCATTACGATAAACTTCAACCTGTGCACCTTCTTGACAAATGTACTGGTAGAGATTCCTTTAGGCAGACAAAATGGGTTAGTCTAACAGAAACATTCACATGATTGATAAGACTTGCTGGAGGAGTACATACCAGGTAAAGGAGTCATAGTTATCAATTAAAACAACGTGCATCTTTGATCAATTTTCCTGTAAATAGTTTGACTTTGCAATCAAATTTAATCAGTTTATATGTTATTTCACATTTCCAAAAAAGAATTACTCATTCTGTGAAATATCCGCCGGAAGACTGTGGATTTCCGTGCACGGACCACCACGGTTATTTTTACAAAATGTTGATTTTGCTGATTTTGCTGATTTTGCTGCCGATTTAAAGAGATTCGTGTTGATATGGAGACAGAACTAAAAAATATTACAGCAGTAATCAGTTGCACTTCAAAAATACTGCAACAACCAACAGGAAATACTGATCAACAGAAAGAAATCAGATACAAAAATAACTAAATAAGTACATAAGCTGTTTTGTTCTACAAATTTATTTATTTATAAAATAAAGTAAGACCAGTGGGCTAAAAATCGGTTTTTATGTCAACTAGAGAGATTGTAAAGTTTTCCTTGATTCTTTGCATCCATTCTCCTTCATAGTCAAAATATTTCCAATCCTTGGTCTTTTTCAATTTTTCTTCAAGATTTTTAGTGCTATTTGTTGAATCACTTTTCAATATACTATTAGCTGAAACATTATTTACAGTGTCTTCGTCTTCAATGACATGAAACCATTGCATTAGTTTTGAATGATAGATCCATTTTCTTTCACACAACTCCTTTGCAGCCAACAACTGAATATATGATCCCTTTTTATTATTTTGTAAAGTAGATATATAAGAATCTTCAACTTCGTTTATTTCATTTTCCATAAATGGATTTTCTGGATTTGGTTTATAGTAATAAATACTTGTGATATCATCCCCATAATAAAAAAAATAAAATAGCGTTTCAACTTCCATTCTTTTTATAATCACATCTGGTATATTATTAAACAAATCAGTCACTGGTTCCACCGGATAATATAAAGAAGTTGGATTTTTGTTACTAGGAGTATATGGTAAGGGTTTATTTGCATCTAATGAATCAGGGCAGTTTAATAGCGAGTTTTGCAAATAACTGTTAATTTCGCTCAATGGTGGAGGGTTCGTTAATCTTTTCTGAGCCGATTCATAAAATGGTAATAGGTCTTGTAATCCAGGCATTAATGTTAAAATTGGATCTGGGGAGTTTTCTGTAGATGAGACTGATATGGCTGTATCTTTTTCCAAAATTACGGGAGTTTTCTTATGAATTATGGGACTGTCTATGGCTGTATTACTTCTAGATAAAACTTGATTCATAGGTATTTTTGTTATCTTAGGAGTGTTAATTCTCGTGGATGTCTGAGAGCTAAGTTTGGTAGCTAAATTTTCATGTACAGAAACAGTTGGTGAGTTTTTAATTAAATTATAAACATTGCTATTATTCTCATCATTTATATTCAAATTACTGATACCATTAGAGATGGAGTTTGTAGTTATGTTACTATCTTTTGGACTGTTATTATTATTCAGAAAGTTTGATAAACTATTGCTGTTATTGATATTGCTAGCACTTGCCACAGCTGAGGAATACTTTAAATCAAACACTCGCTGTGGAACAGGGGCAGGCTTGAGATTTAAAACCTGAGGAAAGGATTTTGGAGTACTAACATGAGGGCTTGAAACGGCAGAAGCGGATAATCTCTTGACAGAGTTTGTGTTTGAAATTTGGTTTGTGATATTTGAAGAATCAGAATTGTTATTGATTGCTAATGGTTGATTCTCATTAGCTTCTGGTGTCTTCCGAGAATTGTCAGAAGAATTGGAATTAGAATTGGAATTAGAATTAGAATTGAAATTGGAATTGGAATTGGAATTGAAATTATTATCACCATTGGAAATACTATTTGAGGGAGTTGAAGAAGAGTTACTAACATTGATATTATTGTTTGGTAATGGAGTATTTAAAACAGAGGAATGATTACTAGCACCCACAGAATCCTTCCTAGAAATGCTGTCGGGTATACCTTCAGGAACAGGAGTATTGTTAGATGTGAGATCGTCTTTAGCAGAAATAATTGAAGCAGAAGAGTTTGGAGGCAAATTAGGAAAGTCACCTACAGTGCCAAAGACTTCTTCAACGTCATCTAGATCAAGTTCATCATATAAAGAGTCATCTTCCCTGAACTCAGGATCCTGATTACTGTCAACATAATAACTTATATCATCTTTTATATTGTTGATATCATCGGGTTCCAAATTACCATTTTCCAAGTATCTTAAAATGGTTTCAAGTTTTGATTGGTGCCAACGATTTCTTGAAATAAATTCGTTGTATTCGTCAATTTGATCTTGTTTTGAATGGTCAGATCTTCTATTTTTTTTAATCGTGCCCTGAATCTGCACTATTTTGGCTTCATGATTTTCATTTTGTCTTTCTAATTCATCAATCATTGATTGTATAAATATGGATGATTCATTTTTTTCCTTCTCTCTTGGATCAATTTTTTGCATGTTAAGACCTTCTTTAGAAAACGCTTTTGTCTTCATGTCTCGTTCCACAACTTTAAATCTCTCCATTTCTTTTTCAATTTTTCTTCTATAGTCAGTTAAAAAAGATTTGTCCTTAACATCATTACCATTTAGCCAATTTTTAATTTGTTCTCGATGTCTTTGTAATTTTTTGATTTCCTTCTTTAAATCTAATTCCAATTTTTCCTTTTGAGACTGGTTTTCACAGCCAGTCACTTTGTCATATAATAAGTCAAACGATGCTAAACCCTGGTTCACCTGCTTGACAACACGATCTATTTCTTGCTGCAATTTTCTGGCTGCCATCATTTTTAGTAGTAATATAATATAGTAAACAATCCAAATGGATACAACGATAACAAATTTCTTGGTTGATGCTCAAAAGTGTGATTTACCTTTCAGAACCAAAAATAGGGCGACAATTACCCGGAGGCCATGCAGTATTAAACACTAACACGAGTTCGATTTCTGCGGAAGGCGCTTTTTATTTGCTTTTATTTGAATTTTTTCTGTTTTGTTTCGGATTATTTCGAAGCGCTTCGATTAGTTGCGTTTGTGTTTCGGCACGATTCGTCGTGCTGCGGTTCACTGTTTTGCCGTGATACGGTTTAGCGTTTCGACCAAAGATGCTTACGGCTACGTGTGTCGTAATTGTGTTTCGAGTGCAGTGACACCTTTTTTCGGAATTTCTCCAGCTTTTGCATTATTTTTAGATGACTTGAATCGACTTATATCTGGTTCTATTTAGCTCCAATTTAAATTACACTGAGCTTCTGCTATACTTTATTATATCTTGTTGTTTTTATTGATTATACTTGTCTTCTTGGTCTGGAAATTCACTACTTTGCTTTCATGAAACACTCGGCTTCAACCTTTTCAAGTGTGATAAATCTTCTAAACACTATTGTTGGTAGTGGTCTATTGGCCATGCCATTTGCTATAAAGCAAAATGGTATATTATTGGGTGTGTTGATAATATTGTTTTCTGCATTCACTGCTTCCTTTGGGCTCTATTTACAAGGCAAATGTTCCTTGATTTGTTTTGATAATGGCCATAACACTTCCTCTTTTTTCACGTTGTCTCAATTCACATATCCTTCATTGTCCATTTTTTTTGATCTCGCTATAGCTGTCAAATGTTTAGGTGTTGGAACGAGTTATCTTATTATAATTGGTGATTTAATGCCCAAAATTTCTCAGGATTTGCTAACCGAACAATTCTTGGACACATATCCCTTTTTGGTGGACAGAAAATTTTGGATATCGGTTTTCATGATAGCTATCATTATTCCTTTGTCGTTTTTAAGAAGTTTGGATTCTCTCAAGTATTCTTCAATGGTTGCTTTATTGTCTATAGCATACTTGGCTATACTAGTTTTACTTCATTTTTTTAGAAATGATTTGGATGGTAGCTTGAAAGGCGACATATCAATCATTAAACCAAAGGGTTTCACTTCGACTTTATCAAGTTTTCCAATTGTTGTGTTTGCCTATACATGTCATCAAAACATGTTTTCAATCATAAACGAATTACCCTCAAAGAAAATGTCCATAATTACAAGAATAATAGCAATCTCAATTGGTATTGCAATGCTGTTATACATTTCTGTGGGTTTAACTGGTTACTTAACATTTGGCGATTTAGTTTCTGGTAATATCATAGTGATGTATCCCAAATCAATTTCAACAACGTTTGGAAGATTTGCAATTGTTATTCTAGTCATGTTATCTTATCCATTACAATGTCATCCATGCAGAATGTCAACTAATCATATCTTACATTATATTCAAACAAGAAAAATTGAATATAATTCCTTAACAAGATCAACTTCTTTTGCTTCTTCAGTTTTCAGCAAATTTAATCAAAAATTCAGAACATACTCAACGTTTTCATTTAATGGGAATAACACCAACAATAACACTGGCACCGCTAATAATATTCCTGGAAGCTTGGCCACTTATAGGGAGACATTGTTGTCTCAAAGACACCAACCTTTTTATAATCCAATGAATGAATCTGCTGTATCTGACGATGCTTCATCTCAATTCACCGATAATTCATCTGGTATATTTATTCGTGCTGGTTCTCATTCTCATCTGATTTATAATAATTTTACAGCAAATTATAATAGCATAAATCCAAGTGGAAATGGAAATGATAACGATACTGCTAGTAATATTGCTGCTCCCTCAATCCACAGTTTAAACCCTCCACAAAATAATGTTACTATTAGTTTGCCAACAAGAAAATTTGTTATTATAACCACCTCAATTTTAATTGTTTCATTTATAATTTCCATATCTGTTACATCATTAGAAAAAGTCCTAGCATTTGTTGGTTCAACTGGCTCAACAACAATTTCCTTTATATTGCCTGGAATTTTCGGCTTTAAATTAATTGGAAATAAACAATTTTTGAATACAACAGACAACGATATCAATCAAAATATTATAATTAATGATAAGCAATCTAAAAAAGATCAAATAATTAAATATGCTGCATTATTTTTATCCATTTGGGGTATAATTGTGATGATAGTTTGTCTAACATCTTTGATATTCTTAAAAAAATAAACTATGTAGTGTTTATATATACAATGCATTAAATTTAAAATTTAATATAAGAGTTCTTCCTTATTTTTACTGTGCTATTTTTTTTTTATATATAAAATGTTTCAATGAAATATACTATAATAGAACTAAAACAATGCGAATCACAATAATTCATTTCTGAAACAAAAACACAAAAAATACAAAAACAAAAAAAATGAATTTTAAAATGATATTATAATAAAGATCAATTGACCTTTAAATATAAGGTAATAATATTAATTTTAATAATAATAGTAATAATAAAAATTGTAAAAACCAGAAAATACACACAAAATAAAAAAAAAGGGGAAAAAGGAAAAGAAAATTAGAAAGAAAATTAAAAAAGTTTGTTTGCACCAACAGTAAAAAAGGGAATATTTTAACAAAAGAGTTCAAAAAAAATCATGAAAACTTTAAAACAAACAAAGATTTTAAAAAAACAAAGCAACAAAAAAAAAGAAATAAATAAACTGAATAACAAAATATAACAAAACAAAACTACTTATAACTGAAGAATTTAATAATTTAATTTTTTATTTTTTATTTTTTTATTGCTTCTTTTACAAAACACTTTAATTAAAAAATTTATAAAAGTTAACAAAAATTAACAAAAAGATATATGAGATAATTGAATATGCTGAGTATTGTGAAATAATAATCAAGGAATATTTTAAAAATTATTAACTAAAAGATTGGATTGAGTAAATTAGATTACTAAATTGCTAATTGAAACTTAGGAAGATAAAACCATAAGCTTAGGGAAAGAGGAAAAACTTTATTTTTTTTTCTTATTTTATTTTATTTTACTTTTCATTAAATCCATTAATTTCTAGTTCTATCTCTATACAATTCATTATCACTATCATAACCGTAGGTTGTATTTCCTATAGAAGAATTATTTCTATTATGATTTGAAATGTGAAAATTATTATTATTATTGTTGTTAGCGATAATGTTATTTATATTATTACTGACATTATTGTTCATTATGGGAATAGTCGAGTGATCCATAGTTTTATGACTTATATTTGTATTCGAGTAAGATTTTGATATCTTTATTGATTTACTTGAGCTTGAGATACTGGCATTATCTGGGTTCATGATTCTTAGGCCGCCAGGAGCTACTAAAGAATCGATATCTGAACCATCATAGTAATCATGAGAGGTATTGTGAATGTTATTATTGTTTGTATTGCTTGTATTGCTTGTATTGTGGTTATTAGGCTCTATATTATTGTGATAGGTATCATTTATAGAATGTAAAGGAGGAGCCGGGCCTAATATTGGAGGGTGAGGCGCTGGAGGAATGATATTGTTTAAATTATTTTGATTATTAGTCAGACCATTATAGTTATTGTTATTGCTGTAGTTATTAAAATCAGGATTGAAGGACATGATGTTTGGGTTGTAAGTTTGAATGATTGGAGAAGTTGGTTCGTCAGCAAAGTTGTTGATGTTAGACTTTTCATCTAAATCATTTATATTGTTTAGTATGAAGTTTGGGTTTTCAAAGTCGAAGGAATCGTTATTTGTAACATTGGTTGCATTTGTTCCAGAAGACAAGTTATTTCTTGGATGTTCGTAATTTAGATCTCTATTTAGTGGAGAGAGACCCAAGCCTATAGCAGTTTTATTAGTACCAGTTGTGTTGTTTCTAGTGAAGGAGGCACCAGCACCAACACCAGCAGCAATGCTAGTGTTGGCACTTTGGTTTGTATTTATAAGATGAGGAGTGTTTGTATTTGAGGATTTTAGATTGTCGTTGTTCAAGCCAGTTGAGCCGATTACTGGGGCGTTTATATTGTCGTCAAAGTCATTATCGCCTATTCCACCGAATTTATCAATGCCATTGGGAGGAGTGAAGGAGTTTGGGAAAGTGTTTTTGTTGTTTGTGTTGGCATTTGCAACGACAGCAGCAGCAATGGCAGCATTTGAGTTTTTCTCCAAGTCTTTTGCTTTCTTTCGTTGTCTCCAGATGAGGAAGAGGATGGCGAGGATAATGAGGATACCTGAGATTACACCAGTGATTACGCCAGCAAGTGCGCCAGTGGATAGGTTTGAGGTTGTTGGATTTGAAGAGGTTGGGACAGTTCTGGTTTCAGTGGCTAGAGCAGTGTCTGAGTAGGTTAGGGTGATGACGACGTTTTCGATGGGTCTTGTTGTTACAATGATGACAGCAGAAGTTATAGTGACACCATTTTGAATGTTGATGTTCAAGGAAGTGGTTGTCAAGATTGATTCGGAGAGGTCGTCGTCAGTATCAGAATCAGAATCAGAATCAGAGGCGGTATCTTGGTTGAGATCAGAGGATGTATTTGATAAATCGGTTGTAGGGGAATCTTGAGTGGCAGTTGTTCTGGTTGTTCTGGTTGAAGTTGAGGTTGTAGAGACCGAAGAGGAGGTTGTTGGGATTGCAGCAGGTCTTATGATGGAGGTTGTTGAAGTGGAAGAAGAGGTTGAGGTTGAGGTTGAGGTTGTAGTGTCTTCATCGTTGTTATCATCAGAGTAATCGTAATTATCGTTTAGATAGACCGAGAAATAATTTGATGAGCCACCACAGGTGTCATCAGGATAACCATCGCAGGAAGTAGTACAGAAGGAATCAGAAACCTTTGAGGAAGATGGGTCGTTGTCTGAGCAGTAGCACCTATTACCATCAATTAAACCAAAGAAATTTGAGTCATCGCAGGAGGATTCGCAATAACCAGAACTTTGAAAGGTGTACTGGTTTTTGAAAGTAAAAGATACAGAAGAAGTTGAGTAGCAGCCAAGGTAAGCGTAAGATGCAATTGATAAATGGAAGAAATTAGTAAAGAATAAAAAATAGAGGGAAATGGATGTGGAGGATATGGGCATTTATAGACTGAGAAAGGAGAGGAGTTTGCCAAAAAAAAAAGGAATGAATATGAAAATATCAGGACAGTAAAAGCAATAAGCCTTGATATGATGATATGATGTGATGTAATAAGATGTGTTTGATATGAATTAGCAGGATATCTTTTGATATCTTTTGATATCTCTTGATATCTCTTGATATCGCTTTAATATAGTTTGATTTAGCTTGATATAAATTGGTGTGAGACAATAAAAACAAATAAGTTGAATCAAGACAAGATTTCGAAGTGGGTGATGGATATATCGATTATGAGGTGGAACAAAAGACAAAAAGACAAAAAGAAGAAAAAAGATAAAAAGAATAAACACAACAACAAATAGTGAAAGATAGTGCAGACAAAAACAATAAATGAAGTGAAGAAGATGGATAAAACAGTAGGATAATGAAATAGAATCGACACTCAAGCAGATAATTGAAATGAACAGAACAGGCAGTTGAAGCGAGAGACTGGAGGACACTGGAAGAAGGCTGCTACAACCGGAGACTGGAAGCACTGGAAGCTAAAGAAGGAAGCTGAAGACGCTGAGGAAGCTGAAGCACATCCACCAAAAGCAGCAGAAGCAGCAGAAGCAGCACAAGAAAAACATACCACCTAAAAATAGCCACCGCACAGGACCAAATGCAACGGGCCGCCACCCGCGGGATTGTGCAGGAACAGGCAGACGAAGACTCAGACTCATGCAGGGTGAGGTTGAAACCATGCCAGTGGTCCACCTCACAAGACATGTTCAAACTGCTGGCTGGCCGGAATTCCTGAGGTACTGAATTCCAATTTCACAGTCTTGTTACTCTTAGCTACAGGCATCCTTTTCTTTTCTCAGGTCTTGTCTTTCTTGTTATTTTCTACAGAATTTGAGGAATCGAGTGTTACGCTGCTGTATATCTTGAATTAGATATTTGATTTTTTAGTATAAATGTATATATTACTGGTGCTCCTATCACGGGTATTTCCTATTACGGTCATTACTCTGCAGCTACTTTTGGATGTAGCTCCGACGTCTCAGATCATCGGATCCGCAGTGGTGGTAGTTTAGTTATCACGTGCTGTATATTCACGTGCTTCCTGTGCTGCCTGTGCTGCCTGAGACATGGCGCAAGGGTGAGGGAACCACAGCCAGGTGAGAGCAGTAGCAGTTTTTGTGGCCACAGAGTGCTGCACCCGCCATACAGCGTCTGCTGCGGTCGTCTACCACGCCCTTGAACTTGCCCATCGCGAACACCTTTTCTCTGGGAAATGTGCTGCACACTTTCTCCAACACTCTTCCCTTAGCTTCTGCTTCCCCTGCTGCTTTTTCCTCTCGAGCTGGTTCTTCTATCTGATTGCGTCTTTGCTCAGCCGTCTCTCTCGCTTTTTTCCTCCTTTCACCATTTTTACCAGTTTTCTTGTTTTTATCATTTGAAACATTGTCCATTGTCCATTGCTTCTTGTAGTCGTAATTATAGCAAGAATTATAACTGTAATCATACTGGTGATCATGTCCATTTCTCGAAAACTCTTTTCTCTCATACAACCCTTCTTCAACTTGTTTCATCATTTTATTGTACTCAAACATCTCTTTTTCATATCGATACCTCTCTCGTTGATCATCAATTTCATATTCTTCATAATATTTTCTATCGTTATCTTTATCGCTATCTCTGTCTTTATCTTCTATTTTTTGGGAGGGTTCAATCAATTTACCATTTTCATTATACTTTTTCTTCTCTGACAGAGTAAATTCTTTTTCTTCTTTATTATTATTATTATTGTTATTACCATAAATTAATCCAATTACTTTAAAAAATTTCTTACCACCAAAACACTCATTCCCATTACTACTTGGATTATTACATTCATCAATCTCATTTATCTCATCCATACTTTTATCACTATCTTTATCAATATCTAAAACATCTTCCTTCCTTTCTCCTTTCTTATCGTCTTCAATTATATTCTTAATTCTCTTTTTCTCTTCTTTTCCATCTTTATAATTAATAATAGATATCCCTATACCATTAAACCCTTTGTATTTTTTTATCATTTTATTTTTATATCTATCTTATCAAATTAAAACAAAAAATTTGAAATAATATTAATATTAATAATTAAATATGCATAATAATTAAAAATATTTTATAGTATATGTTTGCAATTTTTGAATAAATATGAATAAATAGATATATGAAAATGAACAAATGAACAAATAAACAAACAATTACTGTAATTGAGTATTAAGTATATATACCAAAAACACATTAAAAGCAATATCAAAGGAAATTCCCCAAAAACATTTCCTTTTTGTGTAATCTTTTTCTCTTCTTTCCTCTATTGATTCGGTGCTATTTTAAATACCAATAATCGAACTTGTTTAAACCCAAACAATTTTCGGCACAATGGACAATTTGCTTTGATTTTCTTTCTTTCCATTGACATATTAAACGATTTAAATAAACATTCAAAACAGAAAAAATGTCCACAATCCAACGTTAACGTTGATTCAGGATTATCAAAACAAATCGGACATTCCAATGAATTTAATGACAAGTTTTTTTCATTTTTGTTTTCTTTCAATAGCTCTTCACTCATTTCGTGGTTTTCTAAATCGGAATCAGAATCGACATCAAATTTATTAACATTATTACTATTACTATTATTATTATTATTATTATTATTATTATTATTATTATTATTATTATTATTATTATTATTATTATTATTATTACTATTATTATTACTATGATTTTTTTTATTCTTATTGAGTCTTTTAGGATTAATAATTTCCTGAACAGCATCATCATTATCATTCAAGATATTAGTAGTATCAATAATTTCTAAATCATTACTACCAATGATTTCTAAATCATTTTGAGATGTTTCAAGATCAATAATATTATTTGGAACAACTTCTGAAATATCATCACCATTATTATTATCATCATTAGTAGCAGTAGTAGTAGTAATAGTAGTATTATCATTACTTATATCAAAAAAAGATTCATTTATTGAACGAAGTCTGGAACGAGTTCTTGATGTAATATTAAATGAAGGGATAGTATTATTATTATTATTATTTGTACGGTGATTCGGCAAGGCAAGCTCAACGTTATCATTAAATTGAATAGTTGAATCATCGTTTTTATCGTCGTCTGTATCATCATCGGTATTATCATCGGTATCATTTTCAATATTAAGATTTATGGTCTCAGTATTAATATAATTACTATCAATGCTGTTATTAATATCATGAAGATTATTGGAAACTTGGTTTTCATTAAAATTTTCATTTCCATTGGAAGCATCGATTTCATTATCTAGATTTCCATTATAGTTAGCATCTTCTTCATTACCGATAGGGGTATACGAGACAATTTCATTATTTCTATTGTTTATATGGCTATTTATATGATTGCTGATATCATTTCCATCAGCAACTAAAAGATAACTTGAATTTCTATTGCTAAATCTGGTTGGATTTCTAAAACGATTATTAAAATGACTATGAAGCTGATTGTTTTCAATCAACAGGTTATTGATACTAGAAAGATCAGCAATAGATTCAATAATACGGTTTGTAACAGAATTGGAATTGGTATTATTATTATTATTACTATTATTATTATTATTATTACTATTATTATTACTATTATTATTATTATTATTACTATTATTATTACTATTATTATTATTATTACTATTATTACTATTATTATCATTATTATTATTATCATTATTATTATTATTATTATCGTTGTTGTTATTATTATTATTATTGCGATTATTGCCACTGTTATTATTGGTATAAGTTGTTGTATTTATGTTTATGGTTGCATTTGAGTCTGTATTATTTATATTTAAAATATTGTGAATATCATTATTAGTCCGACGAATAGTTCGACTAATAGTGGTGGCACAATTATTAATTGAAATAGAATTTCCATTGACATTGAAGCTATCACTATCACTGTTATTTTCGCCTTCATTATCAGAAAGCAAGCTTACTATTTCCACTTTCTGTCTTTTACTTCTAGTTATTCGAGTATTATTATTTCTATTGCCATTAAATTCATTTTGAATTACATTTTGACTTTCTAGTTGGCTCCTTGATCTTTTATTATTTCGAATATTATTTTGATGAGATGTTTCGACGAAATGATTTACTTCTCCGTCATTTGATGTATCTGAATCATTTGGATTATTAAACCCATTCAAAGTGATTGAGTTATTTGAATCATTAGGTGTATTTAAGCAATTTAAATTATCTAAATTGGAAGTATAGTAGGTATTTAACTGAGAATTCAATAAAGGAGTATTTGTGTCAGAATAGTTGGGCAAATTGCCATAGTCAATAGAGGATGTATCAGCATTTGTGTTGTTTTCGCCATTAATATTGTTAATATGGGGATCATTGTTATTGTTGTTGTCGTCGCTGTTGTCAGTTGAAGTGGAAGTAGTTGGAGGATAAGCAGAGTGGTTGTAGGGGCTGTTGAGAATGTTGTTGATATTATTAGTGAAAGAACGATGGTTTGCCATGACAAACAATGCTAGACACCAAAGCCAATTTATCAAATAAAGCCGAGAACTTAAGGATGATCAAAAAGCAGCAAAAACAGCAAAAGCAGCAAAAGCAGTGGAGAGAAACACCTCGTAAACAGAGCCTATTGATGAGCCCTATTAAATCGAGCCCTATAGATTGTGACTTTCTCTAAGTCAACACGTTATCGAGAAGGAAGTGTTTCTCCGTCCTTATTGAGAGATAATAGTGCTCAGATAGGTCTTATCTTTAACAATAATACATGTAGTATTTAGAATGTAAAAGTTAATTTATTCACTATATAGTTTTTTGAGAGCTCTCTCGTCTCTCATCTTGTCTATCGATCAATGAAGAATAAGAAGTAAAAGAGGAATCGTAAATGGAATGATTATCTAATCAACAGAGTATTAATTAATCAAGAGTGATAATATCACAAGATAAAAGCCCTCGTACAGGGCTTTAATGAATAGGGCTCAAATATTGCTGCCCTATATCTGCTCGTGTATGTGATAAGGGCTCTTTAATTACTGATTGCGTGCCCTGCTGCTTTTACTGGCGATGCGGGTAAATTTTGTGACTGTTGTCTGTTTTGGGCGGGGTCAATTTTTGATCAGTGTTCCACTGAGTGTTTTGATATAATAAAATTATTCAAGATAGTTTATCTTAGAGCAACCAAATATACCTATAATATCAATAAATCTATATCAAAATGTCTGGTGCATCTGGTAATAAATATCGTGTTTCTGTATGTTAGACCAACTATTTATCAATTACATTAGTATAATGGCTCAGTGAATTTAAGCATAGTATAATATCGAATAGTAGAATGTTGTCAAATAAAGTGGTGAAATATCAGAAGAAAAATATTTCGGCATCTAAACAGATAGAAATATTGTATTTTCGAGTTCAGTCCAAAGCTTTAATTGCAATTTAAATATATATTCAAGGATATACACAATGGATACCTGCAATTCAAGGACAATTTTATTCATTATATTTACAGTATTAATTTGAATCTGAGTTTATATTTATATTTCATTTCAAATTATATCCAACTTAAATACAAGTTAAATTAATTAAATCAATACAAATCATTCATAATTATGTGATTCATTGAAAAGTAATCTATTTTAAAGACAATGATAAATATCAATTGAAGTAAAATAAAAAGAATCAAACATTTTCATTGAAATTCCCAAAATTACTTGAAAAATTAGAACAAAAATTAAAATTAAAAACAGTTTAATAATGGTGAAATAAAAATTGTTTATACTTAAAAATTACCCATTTTTTTCTGAGATTATCAGATTAAAAATTTCTATATCTGACTATTTTATTGTTACTTATTGAAAATTGACCTGATGACAAAATAATTGATTGAATCCAGAAAAAAATTGATTAAAATGAGTCAAAAGAAACTGAAATATGTGAAAATAAAAATTATTAAAAAGTATTAAAAATGAGTGAAATTTCAACCATTCATCTTAACATTTCAACAGATCTGAAATTGATAGTGGATTCTCTAAATTAATACATTATTTATAGGCAATTATGCTATAGATTTTAACCTATCACAAAAGTTGTCACTATTATATCACATTATACTCTATCATTTTTTTTGACCATAGCAAATGTCTATTTGAACTGTGAAACTAACCTTTATTTTTTCTTGTTAGCTTGGTCTTCCAGTAGGTGCTGTCATTAATTGTTGCGACAACACCGGTGCCAGAAACTTGAACATCATATCTGTCAAGGGTTTTGGTGCCAGATTGAACAGATTGCCTGCTGCTTCTGTTGGTGATATGGTTATGGCCACCGTTAAAAAGGGTAAACCTGAATTAAGGAAAAAAGTTATGCCAGCTATTGTAGTTCGTCAAGCCAAACCATGGAGAAGAAAGGATGGTGTATTTTTATACTTTGAAGATAACGCTGGTGTTATTGTCAACCCTAAAGGTGAAATGAAAGGTTCTGCCATCACTGGTCCAGTTGGTAAAGAATGTGCTGACTTATGGCCTCGTATCGCCTCCAACTCTGGTGTTGTAGTCTAAGTAATATTTTTCAGCCCCTCTCTGCGTCCTGATAGCTCGTAATAAATACATTTCTTCTGTACCATTCCCCTTCTATTCATTAATCACCTCACTAAAACTTCCTTTATAACTTTTGCATTCTGTGATTATATCTGCGTCCCATTTGGGTAATACCTCTCGTTAGGGTAACGTCTCCCCTGATCAAACTCGCTCTTCCTCTTCAAACCCTCTTTCTTCTTCAAGCAATGTCGAACAACCCTCACTCCTCCTCCAACGCAGCCTCCATGTCCTCCTCCAACAACAAAAATGTAAACGCCTCCAATTCCATCAAAAGACCCAATGCTAATAACGGCATCAACACCTCCAATGTGAATAGACAGCAGCAAAACATCAACCCAAATGCAGCCTCATCCAATGTTTCTTCCAACTCTGCTTCCAACACCAATTCTGCTACTTCCACCCAACGATCTAGTCAGGGTTTTACGCCTGCTGACTTGAACAAGATAGTTTTGGAATATTTGAATAAAAAGGGTTATCATAAAACTGAATCAATGCTCAGACTAGAGTCTCAAAATTATCCAACGCAGCAACAACCACAAAATGTTCCCTCCACTTCATCCTATTATACGCACAACAATAGTAATCAAAATAACATTGGTGGTTCCTCCAATATATCTTCTTACCCACCAAACCCAATGAACAAACAAAATTACACATACAACAATCTTAACAAAAATAACCTAATAAACAGACAAAATTCAATCAATAATACCGGCCTTGATCAATCTAATTATTTTGATAATACCAATAATGCCAACAATAAATCTTCTTTATTCAAAAAATTTAATATTGACAATATTGATCCGGATCTATATAATCGTGCCTATCGTTTGCTAAGAAACTGGGTTGAAAATTCCTTAGATCTCTATAAACATGACTTGAAAAAAATTTTATATCCAATTTTTGTTCATTGTTTCATTGACTTGATCGATAAAAATTTTTTGAATTTTTCTAAAAACTTTTTTAATACTTATAAGACCGACCATTTAGTTTTACATAATGATGAAATATTAAAATTGTCAAAAATTTATTTGCCTGAACATTTGAAAAATAATTCATTAATTTTGGCTTTTAAATCGGCTAAATATAAAATCCTAATATCAAAAACATCTTTATATTTACTATTATATTTCTTGCATGAAAATCAAGCTGTTGGCGGTGATTTATTAATTAGATTAATTAATCAACATTTGAACCCATATTTGATTGATTCATCTAATGTCAACAACAATTTTAACAGTAATTTTAATAGCAATTTAATTATAAACAACAATGATAATAATTTTGATAACTTAATTGATACAATTAATGGGCTAAATCCTGAAGAAGGTTTGCCTGGTTATTCTACTATAGATCAATTGAATAAATTTAATCAAAAACCTTTGAAATTAGGCTCTTATCCAAATGATGATGACTTCATTCAAGAAACTGAAGCTGAATTAAAAGAAGAAGATGAAAAAGAAGCTAATAGTAAAAAATCAACCAACAAAATCTCTTTATACAATGTATATCAAAAATTGAAACAAGATAATGGAAATCTTAGCAATATTGATGATCTTGCTCTTAATAATAATAACAGCAACAATAATAACAATAACAGTAACAATTTAAATGAAAATGACGAAAACTCCAATGATAATAACCTCAACAAGCCTTTGGATAATAATGAAAATGGCTTTATAAATGACAATCAAAATAATAAAGATATTTTTAATAATAAAATAGATAATAATATCATAATTCAAAATGAGATTGAAAGTGATTCAAAAAACAATGAATTGAAAATAAATAGTGATGATAATAATATCAAGATGAATGATGTAAAAATGGACAATAATGAGAAACCTGATAAAAATGGCTTATTGATTTCTCCTGAAAAAAAAGAATTTTCTGCTAGATTAGATACTACTAATAGCAATAATTTAAACAATAATAATAATAATAATAATAATAATAATAATAATAATAATGATAACAATAATACTAATAATACTAATAATATTAATAATATTAATAATATTAATAATATTAATAATATTAATAATAATAGTAATAATAATAATAATAATAAAAATATTATAACACCGACATCAAAAGTAACCAAAAAAGATAAAGAAGAACCAAGTATGTATGACTCTCCCGCTAAAGGTATATTACCACTACCTAAAAAGACTTATTTTGATATTAAAAGAGAAATATTAAAGGTTCAAGATGCAAGAGCGAGAATTCATTTAAATTTCAAACAACCATCTGCTCCAAGTATTTGTATGTACACTTTTCATAATACAAATGATAATTTGATTTGCTTAGAATTTAATGAAAATTGTAACATTATTGCTGGTGGATTTGAAGATAGTTATATTCAATTATGGTCCCTTGATGGCTCTCCATTAAATTCAATAATTAAAGGCGATAAAAATAACAATCAATATTCTAGAAAATTAATTGGGCATAGTGGTGCAGTTTATGGGATTTCTTTTAGTCCTGATAATCGCTATATGCTATCATGTTCAGCAGATAAAACTGTGAGATTATGGTCATTGGATACTTATACATCATTAGTATGTTATAAAGCTCATATACAACCCATTTGGGATGTCAAGTTTAGTCCATTTGGATATTATTTTGCAACAGCGTCTCATGATCAAACAGCCTGTTTATGGAGCTGTGATCATATTTATCCATTAAGAATTTTTGCGGGACATTTGGATGATGTTGATTGTATTGAATTTCATCCCAACTCAACATATGTTTTCACAGGATCAGCAGATAAATCGATTAGAATGTGGGATGTTACTAGTGGTGAATGTGTTCGAGTATTTTATGGACATGCTCAAGGTGTTAGTTGTTTAGCTGTTTCACCAGATGGTAGATGGTTGGCTTCTGGAGGACATGATTCAATTATTAACCTTTGGGATATTGGAGCAGGAAGAAAACTTAAAATTTTAAGAGGGCATGGTAGATCATCTATCTATTCGTTGAGTTTTTCAAGAGAAGGAAATATACTTGTTAGTGGAGCAGGGGATAATTCAGTTCGAATTTGGGATGTTAAAAAGGGAACAACAGAATACGTTTCCGAGCCTGAAGCATTTCAACTTAAAAATGAAGTAAATAGCAATATTCAAAATGCCGCTGATAATAAAAATGGAAATGTGAATAAGAGAGGTGATAATTTAAATGGCAAACGAAATGAGACGATTGGTGGAGTCAAGAATGATGTTAATGTTGAAAGACGTCGTAAAGAGGTTATAACATCATTAGACCATATGGCAGCATTTTTCACTAAAAAGACACCAGTTTACAAAGTTCATTTTACAAGACGTAATTTATGTTTAGCAGCTGGTGCATTTACAGGATGAGAAAAGAAAATTGAAGAATTTTGGATAAAACAATTCTTGAAGATAAAATTAAACTTTTGAGGGTTGTTTTTTCTTGTTTTATTGTTTAATTTTTTCGATTATCATATTTATTGTTTTAAATTCAGTTAGGATGTGTAATTTAATAAGTTAATTTAATAATTTAGTTTACTAGTGTATTTTTATCAATTGAATACATTGAAGTGTATAAGTAGTGTAAGATTAGATAAAGACGTGTAATGATAAGATGACTGAAAATAAAAACCCAAAAAAAATGAAATACATATGTCAAAATAAAACATCTAATGATTGTATTTTTAATTATTGATCAGAAGAGCGAGATCTTGGTTTTTTCTTTTCAGACTCAATCTTTTTTTGTTTTTCAATTTCTTCAACATATTGAGCGACAGTTTGATTTTCTAATCTTTCATAATGGCCCGGTCTCATTACGGCTATTTCGATATTTTTAGCACCAGTTTGAACAACTTCTAATAGAGACTTTATGGCCAAGGAGATGGTTTCTTGTTCATCCATATCTGGTTTATGGTTTTTCTCTAAGAATTCGCGTACGGTTTTGCTGCTTCTGCCGATAGAATTTGCCTTCCAAGCAGAAAAGATTCCAGAGGGTTCAGTTTGATATAGCTTTGGAACGTTGTCATTATTATCAAAACCAGCAATGAGAGTTGAAATACCAAAGGGTCTCACGCCACCGGATTGAGTATATCTTTGTTGAACACCAGCTACATATTTAGTTAGATATTCGATTGTAACAGAATCTTCCAAGTTCAATTTATGAGATTGAGCTTCGACTCTTGCTTTATCAATTAGAATTCTAGAGTCGGCGTTTAAACCAGCGTAAGTTAGAAGGACATGTTTATCTATTTTATTGATTTTGCTTGGGGTGGTTCTGGGATCTTGTAGTTTTAAAGTGCTTCTTCTTTCACAACCGAGAACAACTACATTTTTTCCCTTGACACCAACAGCGCAGGTTCCTCTTTTAACGGCTTCGGAAGCATATTCAACCTCTAAAAGACAAATGAACAAAAAAAAGAGGAAAAGTGAAATATGTTAATAATTGAGCAAACTCTGAAAAATCATTGAAAAATCATTGAAAATTGGACGCATATGAGCGAGGAAAAGACAATTGGCAAAAAGACCAAACATACGAAAAACATGGCCATCGGGACTAAAGGAAAGAGTTAGTATACTTGAGCTGAGGCAAAGAGAAGACGAGGTGGATCAGCAGAACCAGCTGGGGTGGCAACTGCTGCAGAGCTGGCGACGAGCTGAAGCAATTGCAATGCAGAGCTGGTGCACAGACAATAGAATACATACCTGAAGATGGATAAAGCACGATCGTAACCACTCATTGTTGGCGAAGGAAGCAGAAGAAGGGTGGAGTTGAGTTGAAGAGAAAAGCGTTTCTTCTTCCTCTGCTGCTTTTGCCGTCGCACCAGGGGCGGGTAACGCGCTCTGACAATAAAATACTAACACGCTCGAACCCAATTTGGAAACACGATATAATAAAACAGAGCACAGAAGCTGATGATGGGCAAGGCCACAAAACACACTCTCGACGTCCAATGGATTTGCACAAAACCCCCAGGCTCTGTTTCCTTGAAGGACCACTACATTCGGACAAACTACCTCTACCAGGCCTCGACCTTGATGGCGTTGTCTGCTTCTTCTGATTCGCCTGACTCGAATTCCCTTAATGATCTTTTGTCTAGATCCTATGTCCACAATATGAACTGGGTCGTCAAAAAGGCTCTAATCAAGTTGTATGTCTAACCTCTGAATCTCTAAACTCACTTTGCTCCTTTTATCACTTGTTGTTTATTCACTCTGTTTTTTCATCGAACATTTAGCAAATCTACTAACCTGCCTGTAACTCTTTTTTCTCAATTTTCCATTTTCATTCTCCAATTACAGGAGCCCAACAATTAAGAGAACAGTTTGTAAAAAATGCAACAGAAGACTAATTTCAGGTAAGAACTGCTCAGTTGAAGTAACCAACACTAGCAATTTGAAAACTCCAGTTAATGATATATTGACTGTTTCTTGCATTTGCCAAAAATTTAAGAAAAACTATCCTATTGGCAAAAACTTAAATTATAAAATTTTTGCTCACAATGATAATCTTCTACCAGTAAAGTAGCACTATAGAAAACTCACAAGTTTTTATTAAATTATCTTAATCATCTTACTTATATACTGAAAACAAAAATAAAATATTATTTTAAATCACAACTCTAAGTTAACATACAAAAAACTACAAAAGTTTGTAAAGAAAAGAAAGAAAGAAAAACAAAACGTCCAAAAATAAATTAAAAGTAAATCAAAAGTAAATCAAAAGTAAATCAAAAGTAAATCAAAAGTAAATCAAAAGTAAATCAAAAATAAATTAATAAATTAATAAATTAATAATAGATTAATAATAAATCAAAATATCAACCAAATAAAAAACAAAACTAAAAAACACGTAAAAGAATGCAAATTTTATATAATTCACTTTAAATAATAAAATAAAACAATAAAATAACAAAATATATTAATATTAACAGAAATGAATTAAAAAAAAAAAGCAGTGAAAGTACTGAAAAGCAAAAATAAAAAGACGAAAAAACCGAATTGAACTAAAATAATATAACTTTTTTATATTTTACTTTTTTTTTCTTTCCATTCTTCTTGTTTTCTGTCACTTTTGTATTTATTTTTTATATTTATATTTATACTCTTTTAATTTGACTAACGACTGAATTGATTCAAATATTGATAATTATTATCATATATATCTCCTGCTCCATTGACTAAAACAACATCTGTTACAATATCAATTTTCCTGGAATTAAATGAAAAAACTGTCGACAATAAATCCCCAGTAATCTGTAGTTGATAATTCTTAATGATATTACATGTTAATATTGATGGTATTTCATTTTCAATCACTGCGTCGTATAGAAATGGTGGAAACTCATATTTATAAAACAATTTGTTATTGATAATAACCTTTCGGAAATCCGAAAATTTAAATTGGAAATTTCTCAATCTATTACTGTTGAGTAAATCTAATTTTTCACAGACAAATTTTTGTGTATCTTTAATATAATACGTCAAGTTTGATATCAATCTAATATCGAAATTGGACAAGTTGAAATTTTCTGTCAAATTTCCTTTTTTCAAACTATTGTTATTTTCATTCGCAAATTTGGAATTTGGATCAATTAATTTCAATAAATCATCGGAAGATAATGGAGCAATTAATGATATTTTTAAACAATTTTTCAAATTTTCAAATGTTTTAATTATTCTATTGTTGTAATTTGAATTGTATAAATTTCTTTCTTTTGATATGAATTCCACTTGGAAAATCAATGGAACTTGAATTTTGTTGTCATCGGCAGATATAGTCGATTTGATGAAATTTTTAAAAGTTGCTGTAGCTGATAATTTCATTGAGCTTCTTTTCGAGTTGTCTGAACTTATTGTGGAAGCAGTTGTAATTGGGGTATTGTCATTTGATCCTGAATTTGAATTTGAGCTTGAGTTCATTGCATTTACTTTATATTTAAATGTGAAACTTTGATATTCAAACATTGTCTTATCGTTAATTCTTTTTAAACTAAAGTGGGAAAACTCAGGCTTGGGCAAAAACTTGAAAGGAATTGTTTTTTTAAGTACTAGTTCTGATTTTTTGTTTTCAACATAAACTTGTAAGGAATATTCAACTTTGACATAGGAATTTTTCAACTTGTAGCCATAGGAAGCAGGAAGATAACATGGAAGAGATATGCCATCTTTATTAAGAGACTTGATTAATGGTTTATAGCCCGGTTTATGAAGATTATTTTCAACACAATTGAAATTGAAATTGGGGCCAGGTAAAGATATTTTGAAGGGAAACTGATAAGTGTTTGGAACTAATTCATAAGAATGATTTTTTGGATTTAATTTGTAAAGATAGTTTTTGTCGTCTTCTACTGGAAATAGGATAAAGTCCTTATTTAAAATGCTGTGTTCTTCAACGAAGTTTGTCTTGAAACCATTGTCAAAGTAGGAATAAAAGGTGCTGGAGACGCCAGATAGAACCACTTTAATTGATTTTATATAGGTCTTTGAATAAGTCTTGAGATTGACGTTTCCAGTTATTGTTTCCAAGTTGGTGAAAAAGGGATCGTTTTTCTTTTCATCTAGAGTGGCATCTAGTTCGTAGGCTTTGCTGAAGAGACCCATGCTGGTTAAAGGAGATGGTGGGCAGGTGTAATGGAGTAGAGCTGAGTAGAGTCGAGTTGAGTAGAGTCGAGTAGGATAAGACGATAGTCGAGTATAGTATAATATAATAAAATGTAATGTAATGGAAATAATAACAATATCTGAAGAAAGATAATGAAAAGTAAAGAAATTAAAATAGAGGAAAAAAGAGAAGGTTTGATATGAGTATTTATACTTGGAATCAATAATGTAGAAGCAAGCTAGAAGATATGAGTAAGTGAATAAATTCTAAATTCTAAAAATTTTGGATAGTTAAATAATGTTTTAATTAAACTAAACTGGTTAATTTTAGGAGTTTAAAATAAGAAAAATAAAAAAAAAACAAAAAAAAGAAGAAAAATAGACAAAAATTGACAAAAATTGGGATGATTGGCAATTATAGTTATTGGAGACTGGGGCTATTGGGTCTACTGAGCAATGATGATTGAGAAACTGGACAGATAAATTGAAAGGACAGTTTTACTACAATCGAGTAAGTTATTTCTGCTAGTGGTCCAGAGAATTAGTTCTTCAATGGATAGGTGAATCATAGGTTTACTTCTACAGCTCAACACTGAGGTATTCAAGTGATTAGTATCAAATCAGGAAAGTGTTCGAGTAATACAGTGAGAGTCTGTTTAGGAGCCAATTCCTCAAAAGTAAAGTTTATGGATTTGTGATTGAATTAATAATAATTTACTTTAAAATGAATTTAAACTGGCTGGAAAATGGTTTAAGTCCAGAATAATATAAAGTGTGGATTACTAACTCAGTGGCAGTGAATAAGTGTAGCCCTCCTAATTTGTTTTTTTAGTTAAATAACATATTTCTTGACGATAGTCTGATAGAAATTGACATGTCATGAAATGGAAAAAAGTAGTAATTAGAGATAAATAGAATTTGAATTTTAAATTCAATTTCGTGAGCAAAAGCAAAGGGCAATAAAATGATTATATAATAAATGATAGACATGAGTGAAATTGATAAAAGTCTCAACGAGCAATCATTGCTGGAGAACAGAAACGCGAAATGGAAGCAATTACCATTGGAAGCAGATAGCAAGAGAAAGAGAGAAAGAGAGAGAGGGAATACTAGACTACTTTTAGTGAAAGCCATAGAGATTATACAATCAGCACAGGCAATTGGAGAGAGAATTGGCTTTGATGGTGGTTTAACAAAAAGAATGCGAATACTTTGAAGCTGCGAGAAGTTATTAATTGATAAAATCAGATTCACAGCAACAGTCTTAACAGTTTTTAAACAGTTTTTGTTGTAATTAACATTTAGAATTTCAATTTCAATTCAAATTGAAATTTAAATTTGAATCTAAACCGAAATCTAATCTTAAATTGGATTTATTTGAAAATGAAAACTTCTCTTTATTCAATGCAGTGTTGCTTATGACATTCACCACGAAAAAGAACATCGTCATGAGAGATATTGGGATGAAATGAGAGATAATTGAGAAAGCATCTGGATTGTTTGGCCATTGGGTCTACAAAACGAAGAGCCATCAGAAAATCTCAATTTCTGATTGGGCATTGGATAGGAATTTGGAGCAGATAAAATTTGTAGGATAAAACATTGATAAAAAATTAATAAAACCATGGACAAACTAGACAATTATCAAATTGGTTGCAATAGGAATTTCAAGGGGGCTACTTTTACTTGAAAGAACAGGAAAGGATAGAGCAGATCAATTTCCTTCAGCAAGAACATTAGGCAGCTGTAGTTGATTGAGTCGTAAATATTCTATTATTCTGCTAGCTTAGTAGTACCCAAGACACTAACAGATGAGAGTGGCACTATTATAACATAACATTTAGTGGTGATTAATTGCTACAGCACTGCAATATATACTTGGATATTATTTCAACATCACCTTAACATCGCTTTGATAGTACTGCAATACACCATTTTCCAATTGTTTTACTGTTTTGTGGGTGGGATTACCAAACAGCTCTCAGGCTGAGTCTTTTGGCAGTTTGGATAAAAGACTAAGAGTGCAGAGGAAATGGGACATTGACCAACCTTTCATGGGGAAATTATGAGAATGTCTTCAATGTCTTTCAGAATGTCTACTGTACTGAAAAAAAAAACGAATTTTTTGGATAACTTGCAGTACTATCAAGTCGACCAACGAGCCATGAAAGGTTTTGCCAGGCATTTTCAAGTTGTTAACTTGGATAAACTATTAGCTGGAGCGTTATTGCTGTTGCTATTGCAGCATAAAACAATGATAATAAGTTCATAAACTAAGAATTGCACTAAATAAACCAGTAAATACCAAATAGATCTGTGATCTCGTATGGTAGGAATTGTGAAACAATACAGCATTAAAACGTTCAAGCATTCAGAGCAATAAATTGGCCCAAAAAACCGTAATTCAATTGCACTGAGTCATTGCTGATAGGTAAATGCTTTGTTTAATTCTACATGAGGGCATTCAATTTTGGTTCAGTTGATAATCTGCAAAAAAGCCAAATTCTTACCTAAAAAAATTGTGTTTTAAGTTAGTACCTCGATCAAATCGTTAACGTTATCAACCTAATTCCTAAGAGGCTTGAGGAGCATAAGGATCTTAAGGAACTTAAATAGCATGACTGCTTGGTATTCAAGTTTCTAATAAAATATTACAAGTGAAATAATAAAATACAAATACAAATACAAATACACAGCTAATCCAGTTAATGATTAACAACATAATTTAATTGAGTAAGACAATAGTTTCAAAACAAATCTCCGGTGAACCCAGAGACTAAATACATTGTTTATAGCAGAATCAATAGCAGCAAATCCCTATTATCCCTCTAGCTGAAAGTGATCAGATTCGCTGCAATGCCAAAATAATTCAACGTAACATGGTACCAGTGAAATCAGCAGTTTTAACTGTAATTTTTGAATTATATTCACTACATTCACTATTCTCGCTGTATTTGGGGCAATACACGTGATGTTTATATTTTGTTTGCTGAATCAGCGCTTACATAACCACCCTGCTCTTCCCGGGAAGCTGTTCTGCTTTAACAGCGGTTGCTGATTGGCCAATAGCTGTGGTGGTTAGCCCCACCACAGCTGGTGTAAGATGAGACGAAGATGGTGGTCCTATCACACACCTGCTTCTATATATATATATATATATATATATCTACAGCCATCTCTTCGTCTTCCCCAGACTGCTCTCTTGTTTGTTTTTCCTGTTTTAAAATCCTTCTTTTTCGTCGCCAATTCTCTGATATAGTATCACCATGAGCAACTCTTTTTCAAAAACCCTTGCTTCTCAACCAAAAAAATTGATCTTAGTTCGTCATGGACAAAGTGAATGGAACGAGAAAAACTTGTTCACCGGTTGGGTCGACGTTAAACTAACTGAAAAGGGTAGAAGCGAAGCTCAAAGAGCAGGCGTCTTGTTAAAGGAATCTGGCTTAAAACCTGACATCTTATATACCTCTAAATTATCAAGAGCCATTCAAACTGCCAACATCGCTTTAGAAACTGCTGACAGACTATTCATCGACGTTAAAAGAACTTGGAGACTAAATGAACGTCACTATGGTGACTTGCAAGGTAAGGATAAATCTGAAGCTTTGAACCAATTTGGCCCTGAGCTATTCAAAACCTACAGAAGAAGTTACGATACTCCTCCTCCACCAATCGCCGATGACAACAAATTCTCTCAATTTGGTGATGAAAGATACAAAGAAATCGATCCAAATGTCTTGCCTAAAACCGAATCATTGAAATTGGTGATTGACAGATTATTACCATACTGGCAAGATGAAATTGCAAGGGACTTGTTAGACAACAAAACCGTCTTAGTTGTAGCCCATGGTAATTCCCTAAGAGGTTTGTACAAACATTTAACCGGAATTACTGCCGAAGAAATTTCTGAAATCAATATTCCAACTGGTATTCCTTTGGTCTTTGAATTGGATTCTACTTTGAATCCAATCAAACCCCCTTACTATTTGGATCCAGAAGCTGCCGCTGCCGGTGCTGCTGCTGTTGCTGCCCAAGGCCAAAAGAAATAAACCTCTTTTATACATAGCATCTCAATATATCTTTATTTCAATCAAACTCAATTCGAGTTAACTCACTTTTCCTCAATTGAACTCATTTCTATCCATCTCACATCATTTATCTCACTCGTGCTATCTCTTATCCAGCCCGAGATTCCTTTTTTCAAAACATCACAAAACGTGACATTTCACTATTCCCTCACGCGCCATAATGCGTGTTTCTGCACATACCGCGTATGTGGAACCCCAGAATTGCAATTATTTCGCTCCATATATAATACCCACTATCTACCCAATTTCCTTCATAACTCCAGATTGTAGTTCTTTATCTCGACCTCTGAGATATTTTACATACCTTAAAATATCTTCAAATATCCTGAAGTAACTTCAGATATCCTGAAGTATCTTCAAATATCTAAAAAATGATCATAAGGTCTTCTTTAAGACCGGTGCTTCATTCATTCCCCATAACGGCTTCCCTCCACCAAAATCCACTTCTAAATCAGATCAATATTACTCTAAAAGTCAGACTATTCAATTCTTCTACATCTGCTAATAAACTCATCTTAGCAAACTCTAATCAAAATGTGTCCTCACCATTAATACCTTTTGTGAAAAAAAACTCAAAAAATATCATTATCAACAATAGTCTTCCCTCATTTTTCAAAAATTCGGCATTTTTCACTTTAAACCAAAACATTAATCTCAGTAAAAATTTTAATTCAACTTTTTTTCATACAAATTCTTTTATAAGGCTTCCTGCTATCAATAACGTCATTAAAAATAAATCCTCAAAAATCGTCAGTAATGAACAATTCGTTGCTAAATTATACGAAAACATCAAAGTCACTGAATGGGAAATTCTTAAAGAGCTAGCTTCAAAATTATGGCCAAGGGACAACCCCTGGGCAAAATTTAGAGTCATAGTAGCCTTTGGTCTATTAATACTGGCCAAAGTCTTAAATGTTCAAGTTCCCTTTTATTTTAAACAAATTATCGACGATATGAATATTGATTGGGTAGGGGATGTTGGCACCGTTGCAACAATAGTTGGTGGAACTATTTTTGCTTATGGTGCTGCTAGATTTGGTTCTGTTTTATTTGGTGAATTGAGAAATGCTATTTTTGCAAGAGTAGCTCAAAATGCGATCAATACAGTGGCTCATGATACTTTTGTCCATTTATTAAAATTGGATTTAAATTTCCATTTATCAAGACAAACTGGTGGAATGACAAGAGCTATTGATAGAGGTACAAAGGGTATTTCTAATGTTTTAACTGCAATGGTTTTCCATATTTTACCCATTTCTTTTGAAATCACAATGGTTTGTTCAATTTTAACTTATAACTATGGCTCTGCTTTTGCGTCCGTAACTTTATTAACAATGTTAACCTACGCCATTTTCACCATCAAAACCACTACTTGGAGAACTCAATTTAGAAGAATCTCAAATAAAGCTGATAATCAAGCTGCAAGTATTGCTTTGGATTCTCTAATCAATTACGAAGCCGTAAAATATTTCAACAATGAACATTATCAGGTATCAAAATATGATAAAGCATTGAAAAAATATAATGATGCAAAAGTTAAAGTCGCAACCTCTTTAGCATTTTTAAATTCTGGTCAAAATTTTATTTTTACTTCGGCTTTAACTTCAATGATGTATATGGCTTGTAATGGTGTCTCAAATGGTTCATTGACTGTAGGAGACTTGGTTCTTATCAATCAATTGGTGTTTCAATTATCAGTTCCTTTAAACTTTCTTGGTTCCGTTTATAGAGATTTAAAGCAGTCCTTATTGGATATGGAATCATTATTCAAATATAATAAAGTCCCAATCAAAATTAAAGATTCATCTGATGCAAAACCTTTGATTTTAACAGGTGGAAATATAGAATTTGTTAATGTTTGCTTTGGTTATCATCCCGATAGACAAATTATTAAAAACATGTCCTTTAAGATTCCTGCTGGTCAAAAAGTCGCCTTGGTTGGTCCATCTGGTTCTGGAAAATCAACCATCTTAAAATTGATTTTCAGATTTTATGATGTTGATAGCGGCGAAATTTTAATTGATGGCCAGAATATCAAAAACGTCTCATTGGACTCTTTAAGAAAAGCAATTGGTGTTGTTCCACAAGATACCCCTCTATTCAATGAAAGCATTATTGAAAACGTTAGATATGGTGACTTGAAAGCAACTGATGAAGAAGTTCAAAAGGCTATAAAGGATGCAAAATTAGATAAATTAATAGAAGATTTGCCAGATGGAGTCAACACCATCGTTGGTGAAAGAGGTATGATGATCTCTGGTGGTGAAAAACAGAGACTAGCAATTGCAAGATTGTTATTAAAGAAAGCTCCAATCACATTTTTTGATGAAGCCACTTCGGCTTTAGATACTCATACTGAACAATCTTTATTAAAAGAAATTAAAACAATATTTCATGAAAATAAAAACACACAAGTTTCAATTGCTCATAGATTAAGAACAATAGCTGATAGTGATAAAATTATTGTTTTGCAAAATGGTCATGTTCAAGAAGAAGGTAATCACTTTGAATTATTACAGCATCCAGATTCCTTATATGCTGAATTATGGAATATTCAAGAAAACTTAGATCTTGAAGAACAAATGTTGAAAGAGGACGAATCAAGAGTCAAAAAATTAAAAGAAAAAATGCAACAAAAACTTGGTGTTTCAGCATAATGAATATATGCTTTTTTTTTTACATAACATCATATTTTTCTTTTCAAAAATTTACTGCATATAGGTTAGCTTATTCAAAATTTAATGTTAATATACTGTTTTTTTGTTTGTTTTTGTTTGTTTTTATTGACCCGAAAACCCTCTATTAAATTCGTTTCAAAACACAAAGAAAGCTGACAGAATATTGTTTTTAAGAGAAGTTGTGCGATTCTTTTAATGATTTTTAGTTTTCAAAATCAAAGAATAAAAAAAAGTTGCTTCCTATTTTAGGAAGTTGATTTCGATCCACACTACTGGATTTAAACGTGACTATTTTTTTTTTGGAAATTTTTCAGATTTTTTAGATGTTTCAGACTCAAAAACAGGTTGAAGAAAGTGATTTCAATTAAATCATTGTGCAATTACAAATATAAATGGCCTCAACTATTAGAAAATCGAAAAGGTCCAAGGGAAATGGCAAGAAAAGCCATACAAAGTCAGCCAAATCTATTGTTCACAACAATATAAAAGCTAAAAGCAAGAAAAAGAGTCATGGTGATGATGAAAATGAAGATTTGGAATCAAATTATCTTCTGAAGTTGTTGGATGAAGACAATAAAGAATCTAAAGACAACAGCAAAAGTAATGATGCCAGCAATAATAAAATTAAAGAAATTGAAATAGAAACGGAAGTAAATCCCTCAGAAGAACAAACTGCTTCTGAAGAAGAGAAGGCTGATAATAATCCTCACAACGACAGTGACAGTGATAATGAAAATGATAGTGATAATGATACAAAAAAAGAGAAAAATCAAGAACCAAAAGAAGTTAAAATAGATGCTGAAGCTGAATTGCAAAAAGCTGAAAGGACTATTTTTATCGGAAATTTATCTTCATCAGTTGTCACCAACAAGAGTGATTACAAACTTTTAAAAGAGAAATTTCTGAAATATGGTGCAATTGAATCGATTAGATTTAGATCAATTTCTTTTCAAGATACTTTACCAAGAAAGCTAGCCATTAAGGCGCAAAATTTTCATAATTCGAGAGATACTCTAAATTGTTATTTAGTATTTAAAGAATACGACCAGAAGAAAATCAATGATTCATTATCTGAAAATAATTCATTTTTTTTAAATAATCATTTAAGGGTGGATTCAATCTCTCATCCAATTAAAAAAGATAATAATAGATCAATATTTATTGGAAATATTAATTTTGAAGAAAAAGAAGAGAATTTGAGAAACTATTTTGTTAATAAATTGAAAATCAAACAAACTGATGTTGAATATGTTAGAATAGTGAGAGATCCAAAAACCAATGTAGGAAAAGGTTTTGCATATCTTCAATTCAATGATTTTATTCATGTTTCCAAGGCTTTGTTGCTCAATGATAAGGAAATTGAATATTATGATGGTGGCGAAAGTAGCAAAAAAATTACAAAGGGAAGAACACTTAGGATTAGTCGTTGTAGAACAACTAAACCTTCAAATTCAATTGCTGGAATTAATAGTTTATTAGTTCAAAACAATATTAAAATTGATAAAAATAAATTTGGAAGAGCCAATAAAATGCTCAGCAAGAGTGAAAAGGCTAAGATCAATAAAGATATTATAATAGAAGGTTCTAGAGCTCAAAAAGGTAAAGATATATATGTTAAAAATGGTAAGATTAAAAAAAGTAGTAAAGTTAAAAAGCCAAGAATAAGTGAGAGATCAAAGAAATTTCGATTAATGAAAAGAGAAGAAGAGAAAAAAATTAAGAAAATAAAAAGTTGAAACTTCTCAAAAATAATGCCAATACTAGTCGATTTTTACAATTATTGTTACGAAAAAAACAAAACTGAATAGAATAAATTTTACCAAGGGAAATATTTTGAGACTCCACTACTATTTTAAGAACTTTGGAATTTATGAGATTCTTTAAGCTGCATTTAATTGGTGATTATGGATTATATACAAGATTTTTAGCATATATATAATGGAATATGATACCGTTTTCTTTTTTATTAAAAAGAGTTTTTTTTTTCTTTGCAATAATTATTTATTTATTTTTTATGAGTCTTGTGAACGTTTCTTCAAAAACTTTCGGTTGAATTCTGCCTTGACAAGACTTCATTGCCATACCGATTAAATATTTTATTCCTGTAGTCTTTTCACCAGATTTAATATCTTTTACTATATTTTGAAATTGGTCCATTATTTGTAAACAAATCTGCTCAATTTCAGTATTAAGGTCATCAGTTAAATTTTCAGGGGCATTTAAATCGAATTTATCGATAATTTCATTGATTGAAAGATTTTTATTTTGATGGTTATTATAATTTTCAACCAAGTAAGCTAGTATTAGTTTGCCAGTACTTGTTGTTATTTTTTTATGAATGTAGATTAAATTTATCAATTCAGCAAATTTTTCAACTGATAATATATCAAATACAGTTAGAGTACTATTATCAAGGCCGATGGGAACATTGAATTTGGTCAAGTTTCCCAAAAAGTGATGAAATAGCCAATTACTTGGAGTTTTAGCATCAATTTGAGTATTTTCGGACAAGAGAGTTTCAGTTGATACAATTGAGTGGAATAATTTAGAATAATAATCTAATAACAATGGGTATTTTTCACTTATTAGTAGATTTGCATCTTTAACTCTTAAATTATAGGGATTTGAAGTTAGTTTATCAATAACGTCATCAGGTAATTGTTGAACAAAATTTGATTTTATACCGGATATGACGTTCGAATGCAATAAGATTGGGGGTAGTTCAGGATCCGGCATGTATCTATAATCGATTGCAGTTTCTTTGTCTCTTAGTTTTTCAGTTGAGTAGCCATTCCAGCCCCTTGTTTCTTGATTGATTTTGTTGATTTGACCATTTTGGATTAGGTCGACTTGCCTGAGGTACTCATATTTGATAGCATTTGCTATTGCAGAAGTGGAGGATAAGTTTTTGATTTCTACTCTTTTGCCATTATTGATGGAGATGTTGACGTCTACTCTCATTGCACCAGTTTCTAGGTCAGCAGTGCAGATATTTAAAAATTTTAAGATGGATTGATATTTTTTTAAAAAGGCTCTTACCTGTTTTAAATTTTCGAAATCTGGATTGGTGACCAATTCAATTAGGGGGATGTTTGCTCTATTTAGGTTGATTTTAGTTTCAATCAAATGGTTTTCTAAAGGAGAGTGCAAGGATTTTCCAGTATCTTGCTCGATTTGAATCTGATCGATGGTGATAATTTTTTCCAATTCGTCTATATCATCTTTGGATTTTTGCAATTTCACAAAACCATTTTTGGCAAAGGGATTGTAATGCTGAGTGATCTGATAGCCTAAAGGCTGATCAAGATAGAAATAATGTTTTCTATCAAAAGTCGAATGCAAGTTGATATTTGAATTTAAAGCTATTGCACACTTCAACGACAATAGAAGCGCTTCTGGGTTCAATAGCGGTTGTGTTCCAGGCAAACTTATATCAAAGTAGGAGACATTTGAGTTGGGTCTTGTGAGGTTGTCAAACTGATGGTTCTCAGAAAGAGAAAATAGTTTTCTAGTAGTCTTTAGCTGAGAGTGGATTTCCAAACCACATTTTAGTTTATAGTCAGGATAAATCTTAAACTTCTTGTTGGCTCGTTTCTTCAAGGGCCTGTCGGTCTTGGTGAAACTCCTTCTGCCAAAACAGCTGAGAGGAGCAGAAAAAAAAAGTTTAAAACAAGACGAGGAGAAACAGCAGCGCATCATTGTCGCCAAACCCAGCAGTGGCTCTGTTATTCTTCTGGCGATGGTAGTGGTGGTGACGATGGCGTCTGCTGTCGCTTTGGCTCGATTTTCAGTCGCCAAACCAGGCTCCAGAAACCATGCATGTCAATGCACACCACGTGAACAGCGCATGCGTACACTGCTCACGCGTCAGCCGAGGTCCGGTTAGACCCCAAAGTCGAAGCGGCATTGGGGTCTAGTGCTGTCACCTACCACACGTGACTAATCCGAGGGTGGAGGTCCGTGGCAAGGACCTGCCGCTGTTCCACTGCGACTCGGATCCTTTTTCCGCGCCGTCTCCGCGGACAGGACCGCTGAGCAATAGGAGGACGCCAAAAGGTAAGCTGCCTCTGCTTACGTTTAGCGTTTTTTCTACTCATCCTTTGATCTCCAACCTGTCTGATAATATAACTCCCTTGATATAACGTATTTTTTGTCTTTTCCTTCAATTGACTTGTATTTTTGTTGTTTTTCCTATATCTTCACTGAATTGGTCTGTCTGATTTGTGCTGTGAGAAATTGACAATTGGCTGTGGTTTCTGCTTGTAATATATTTCTGCTCATTCATATTCTTATCATATCTGCCCTATAATAATGTTGTCTGCTCGCTCAATCTTGTCAAGAAGTGCTAACCGTACTTGTTTGGCTTCCTCCTCAATTCGTGGTTTGGCGACTGCTTCTTCCACTTTATCTCCAGATGCTAAAGTTCACATGAACTTGTTGGAATCTCACTCTTTCATAAATTATAAGAAAAACTTGGAAAATGTTAAAATTGTCCAAGAAAGATTAAAAAGACCTTTAACCTATGCTGAAAAATTACTTTATGGTCATTTAGATAACCCACATGAACAAGAAATCGAAAGAGGGGTCTCTTATTTGCAATTAAGACCAGACAGAGTTGCTTGTCAAGATGCTACTGCTCAAATGGCCATCTTGCAATTCATGTCTGCTGGTATGGACCAAGTCCAGACTCCATCAACTGTCCACTGTGATCATTTGATTCAAGCTCAAGTCGGCGGTCCAAAGGATTTAGCTAGAGCTATTGACTTGAACAAAGAAGTTTACGATTTCTTAGCCACTGCCTGTGCCAAATATAATCTTGGTTTCTGGAAACCAGGTTCTGGTATCATCCATCAAATTGTCTTGGAAAATTATGCTTTCCCAGGTGCCTTGATGATCGGTACTGATTCTCATACTCCAAATGCCGGTGGTTTAGGTCAATTAGCTATTGGTGTTGGTGGTGCTGATGCTGTTGATGTCATGGCTGGTTTGCCATGGGAATTAAAAGCCCCAAAGATTCTCGGTGTCAAGTTAACTGGTAAAATGAACGGTTGGGCTTCTCCAAAGGATATTATTCTTAAAGTTGCTGGTATCACTACCGTCAAGGGTGGTACTGGTAAAATTGTCGAGTATTTCGGTGATGGTGTCTCCACTTTCTCTTGTACTGGTATGGCTACCATCTGTAATATGGGTGCCGAAATTGGTGCTACCACCTCCACTTTCCCTTATAACTCTTCCATGTCTGCTTACTTGAATGCAACTGGTAGAGGTGAAATTGCCAAGTTTGCTGATGTTTACTCTGACTCCTTCTTAAAGGCTGACGAAGGTGCTGAATACGATGAACTCATTGAAATCGACTTGAACACTTTAGAACCACACGTTAATGGTCCTTTTACTCCAGATTTAGCTACTCCAATTTCAAAAATGAAAGACGTCGCTGTTGCAAACGGATGGCCAACTGAAGTTAAAGTAGGGTTAATCGGTTCTTGTACCAACTCTTCTTATGAAGATATGACCAGATCTGCCAACATCATTAAAGATGCTGCTGCTCATGGCTTGACCTCAAAATCTTTATTCAACGTCTCTCCAGGTTCTGAACAAATTAGAGCCACCATTGCAAGAGATGGTCAATTGAAAACTTTCCAAGATTTCGGTGGTGTCGTTATGGCTAATGCCTGTGGTCCATGTATCGGTCAATGGGATCGTCAAGACATCAAAAAAGGTGACAAAAACACCATCGTCTCATCCTTCAACAGAAACTTCACTGCTAGAAATGATGGTAACCCAGCTACTTACGCCTTTGTTGCTTCCCCAGAAATGGTCACTGCTTTTGCTATCGCCGGTGACTTGAGATTCAATCCAGTTACTGATAAATTAAAGGACAAGGATGGTAATGAATTCTTATTAGAAGAACCACATGGTGAAGGTTTACCAGCTTTAGGTTACGACCCTGGTGAAAACACTTACCAAGCTCCTCCAAAAGACAGATCTACTGTTTCAGTTCAAGTCTCCCCAACATCTGACCGTTTACAATTATTAACCCCATTCAAACCATGGGATGGTAAAGATGCCGAACGTTTACCAATCTTAATCAAAGCCGTTGGTAAAACCACCACTGATCATATTTCCATGGCCGGTCCTTGGTTGAAATACAGAGGTCATTTGCAAAACATTTCAAACAACTATATGATTGGTGCTACCAATGCTGAAAACGGTGAAGCCAATAAAGTTAAGAATCACTACACTGGTAANTACGATGGTGTTCCAGAAACTGCTCTTGCCTACCGTGGCCAAGGTATCAAATGGGTCGTTATCGGTGATGAAAATATGGGTGAAGGTTCTTCCAGAGAACATGCTGCTTTAGAACCAAGATACTTGGGTGGTTTCGCTGTTATCACCAAATCCTTTGCTCGTATCCACGAAACTAACTTGAAAAAACAAGGTTTGTTACCATTAAACTTTGTCGACAAAGCTGACTACGACAAGATTAACCCAGATGATGAAGTTGACATTCTCGGTTTAACCACCTTTGCTCCAGGCAAAAACTTAACTTTAAGAGTTCATCCAAAAGATGGCAAAGCTTGGGAATGTGAATTATCTCACACTTTCAACGCTCAACAAATTGAATGGTTCAAAGCCGGTTCTGCTTTAAACAGAATGGCTGCTGCTCACAAATAGAAAACCTTAATGAACTGACATGAATATTTACTTTTCTTATTTTTTAAACCAATCAAAAAAGATTTATGTTAAATATATATTTTATTTTGCTGCACTTTTTTCTTTTAATTCCCACTACTTTTTTATTTAGTTTAATTAATATTCTATGATATTTAATTCCTAACGATATAAAATTACATTGGTTTTTTTTTCACAAAAAATCTATAACAATAACAATAATACAAATAAAAGAAAATAAATTAAAATAAAATAAATTAAAAATTAAAAAATTGAAAGAAAAAAAACAATTTAAACAGAATTATCATCCAAAAGCCAGGATGCAACCTCTTTGGAATTGTGTTGGAAATCAACAGATTTTTGACCGGACGTAGATTTTCCTTCCATAACAACTTGTTGAACATGTTCTTTTTGTTTTGCTCTGTCTCTCATTCTTTCTTCAATAGTACCACGAACCAAAAGCCTATACACAGTGACCTGCCTTGTCTGTCCTAGTCTATGAGCTCTATCCATAGCTTGGGAATCAATAGTTGGATTCCAATCAGAATCATAAAATATAACTGTATCAGCTGCTGTCAAATTAATACCTAAACCACCTGCTCTTGTTGATAAGAGAAATACAAAAATCTCAGGCTTTGTTTGCCAATCATTAACTAAATCTCTTCTATCATCCAATTTAGATGATCCATCAAGTCTGATGTAAGTATACTGTCTATAAGTTAAGTACTCCTCCATCAAGTCCATCATTCTAGTCATTTGGAAATACAAAAGTACTCTATGGTCATTTTCTTTTAATTCAACAAGAAGTTCATCTAGTCTTGATAATTTTCCCGAATCTGTAACAAATCTGTGCATTGATGGCATGGATATGGTAGAAAATCCAGCTTTTCTAACAATAGGCGTTGGTAACATTCCCGTCTTTGGCCACAACTCTAAAGGAACTCTCTTTGATAGTAAAGAATATTGGTTATCAAGAGAAAGATCCATTAGTGAATTTCTAATAAATCCATTAAACAAAACATAATCTTTTTCAGTAGTAAATGAACGATCAGAACAAATTACATTAATTGGTGGCGCAACAGCTGATGATCTAGCTGCTGGCTCAAGAATTTCAATATACATCTTCTGATAAACATTTTGGATTATTGAACATAAGCCCTTTCTCGCAGCAATAGTATTGGAAAAATCATTATTTGGAGTTTTATAAATTAAAAGCATTCTTTTTCTAAGAATGTTATCCAATGCTGGTTTATCCTGGTCATATGTAGAAAGGAATCTCTGCAATGATTCATCAATATCTTTGTATTGTCTTCTTTGAACAGCCCTTTCAAAGATGCCCAAATTGCTTACTTTAGAGGCTTCTTGGGGAGAAGTATCTATAAATTTTAACCATCCAAATGATTTTCGATCCCTCTCTTCTCTTTCCCTAATATACTGAGGGTCCCATATATTAAATAATTGACTGACTGTCTTTTCAGTTGACTTTATATGATTATTAAAGCTAGGAGAAATCAAATCTCTGTATATTAACTTAGGCAAGTGATAATTTATAGGGTTTCTAGTAGAATAAAAGAATTCTGTATAAGCACTGTCGCCGCTAGTGCTTGCTTTTCTGACTGATCCAGTTTGAGCAAAATCTGCAAAAGAAAAAGCTGATTTCACATCAGCTCTTTCAAATAGATCAGGATGATTGCAAACTTTTCTAAATTGCATAACCAAATTCATTAATGATTGACGACCATCGTCATTGTTGGATTTTAATTTATCTAAAATATCTTGTATTGATATTTGTGATTTTAACATTTGATATAATTTCTTCTGTCTATTTGTCAATTCGCAAGTGATATCAATCTCAATTTTATCATTTAATTCACTTTGAACATTCTTTTTAACACGTCTTAACATAAAAGGTTTTAAAATAAGATGTAATCTCTGTAATTGCTTTTCATTCAATTTGGAATTAGTTTGTGCATGATTTTCAATATCTTTTGAAAACCATTCACTAAATTCATCATGTGAATCAAAAAGAGAAGGCATGATAAAATGCAATAACGCCCATAGCTCCTGCATCGAATTTTGAATTGGAGTTCCTGTTAATAATAATCTATTACGACATTGAAAGCCAAGAAGTACCTTCCATCTGGAAGATTGAGATGATTTTATTGCTTGAGCTTCATCTAAAATCATATACTGCCATTTGATTCTTTGGAAATATTGAGCATCACCCACAACTAATTGATACGATGTTATTAAAACATGGAATGGAGAATCCTTGGTGTAAACTACATTTTTTCTATCCCAAAATTTTCTTAAAACCTTTCTATCTTTGGCATTACCCCAGTAAGGAATAACTTTGAAGTTTGGAACAAATCTGGAAATTTCTTGTTGCCAGTTGTGCAATGTAGAAGCTGGAGAAACAACAAGAAATGGACCCCATATATTGTGAGTTTCGGCCAAGTAAGATAAAACCGATATAGATTGAACGGTTTTACCCAAACCCATTTCATCAGCTAAGATACCATTTATACCTCTTTCATATAAATTTGCTAACCAATTCAAACCTTTAACTTGATATTCTTTTAATGTGCAAGTAAGCATCTTTGGTTGTGGAATAATTATATCCCCAAAAGAAGTAGGATTTTGAAAATTCATTTCTTCATCATCTATATTAATTCCTTTAACATCTGCATTATTAAACTGTTTTGCTCTGTTTTGTGCGTCCATCAACGCACTTTGAGCGTTTGCAGCGGCAGCTTTTGTTAAAGCGTCATCATCTTCTTTGTCAAAATCAATCTTACTTATATCGGTTCTTATCGCATTTGTAGGTATTTCAACATTTTTATGTTTTTCTTTAGCAGCAGCTTGCAAGGCAGATATCTGAGTATCAGAGCTGCTTCCTTCAATTTCATCTGTTTTAATTTTTCTACCAATAAAATGAGAATATAACTCGGTTTGAGTCAAAAGGAAATTTAATTTACGTGTTTGTCTTTTAGCCTCTCTAAGTTCCTCTTGTCTTTTATTCTGTTCAACGGCCAATTTTTCAAATCTCTTTTTTTGTTCTTTTTCTTGTTTTTCATACCTTTTCCAGAAATTTGACATTTCTCTAACCGATCTTCTGGCCTTAGCTTGTAAATCTTTAATATTTTTATTAGTTTTATACTGCCATTTTTTAGCTTCTCTCATTGCTAAAGAAGCGGTTTTTTTAAGATTCAAAACTTTGGCTTGTTGAGCTTGAGATAGTAGTCTATAAATTTTAGGACCATCTTTTCTTGCTAAATCTTTCCAAATTGATATAAAAGTTGAATCGTATTGTCTTTTTAAAGCACGAGCCTCCTTTTGAGAAACCTTTGAAGGTTTTGGCAATGTTTTGGGCTTTGAAGGTTTTTCTTTATCCAATTTTTCTTTATCTTGTTCTTTCTCATCTTCTTTTTTGATTTTGACTTTTTCTTTGTCATCGTCTTTCTTCTTTTCCTTTTCCTTTTCCTTCTGCTTTTCCTTCTGCTTTTCCTTTTGTTTTTCCTTTTCCTCTTCTTTTTTTTTTTCTTTTTCTTTTTCCTTTAGTTTTTCCTTCTTTTCTTTTTCTTTTTTCTCTTTTTCCTTTTCTTTTTGTCTTTTTGAACGACGTCTTCTTTTTAGTTTACTATCAGAGATTTTTTCAGATTTAGCGGTAGAATGAGATAGTGAGGGAGAATCGTCGTTTTTTGTAGAGGCAGAAGATTTATGTTGTTTTTTCTTGGGTGGGTGAGACAAGTCTTGAGAAACAGCATCGTCTTTTGAGGAGTTAAAGGCATTTGCCAAAGGCTTTGCAGCAATTGGAATTGGGTTTGTGAGAGGTTTTTTGTTGTAGTAGTCCAATTTTTCGTTGTTGAGTATGAGATTTAGATTTGAAGGGTGGTCATTTAAAGGATGTTTGTTGTTGTTGTTGTTGGTGGTGGTGGTGGTGCTTGAGGAGTTTTGTTTTGATTTTCTTTGTTTCTTTGTTTTTAGAGGGTGGTTTGATAGGACATCTTGACCAGTTGTTAGGTCGAAAGTTGAAGTGGTAGCGTTAATATTGTTTATGGGGTTATTTGTGTTAATTTTGAGATCAAGATTGATATTGTTGCTTACTTGGATATCGTGGTTCAAGTCTAGTTTTATACTTGATAGGGAGTCGATGCTTGATCTTCTTCTTTTTCTCTTTGGGATTGAGGGAGTTAGTGAGGAGTTGTTGGGGATTGAGTTTGTATCTTCAATTTTGATGGAAATTTGATGAGATTTTTGTTTTGATCTTCTTTTTGAGGGTTTTGAGGAGGGTTGCTTTGAGAAGGAAGTTGGGAGTAAGAGAGGGATTGGTGTTGAAGTTTTGGAGATGTCGTTTGTGATAAAGTTATTTTTTTTGATGGGAGTTGATTTTAGTGATGAGTGTTTATTTAAGGAAGAAATGGGAGATAGGATATTTTTAGGAGAGTTGATTAGGAATTGGGTCGAGGAGGAGTTTGAGTTTGCTGTTGAGTTTGTGATTGAATTTAGAGAAGAGTTTGAGTTTGAGATGGTTGAAGAGTTGTTATTAACAGTAGTAAGAATAGTATTGTTATTATTATTGTTGTTGTTGATATTATCAAGAACTAAATTTTTCAATCGAAGTTTCGATGTATCATTTTCAGTGATAAATCTTGAGTTATTTTTGAATAGTAGGTTGTTTTCAAAAATAAAATTTGAATTTGATCTAGTGGAGAGTAAGTCAAGAGTTGTTAAAATGGATAAGTTTTGTTTCAAGTTGGATAAAAATTTTTTCTTTTCAAGTGAGTAGATAGGGTTGTTTATATAGTGAATATCGTTAGAATCAGAATCAAAATCAATATCCAAGTTAATGTTGTTAGTGTTGTTAGTGTTGTTGATGTTGTTGATGTTGTTGATGCTAATATTGTTATTAGTAGTGGTGGAGATTTGATTTATATTTGGAATATTTCTTTCAAAAGATTGATTGGAATTTTTGATTTGAATTAAATGTTGGTTGTTTTGTGTGTTTTTTATTTTGAGATTCAAGAGTTTTTTGGAATCATTTAACTCATTGAAATTTGCAGAAGTGATAGCATCATCCATGGCTGAAGATAGGACAGATGGTTAAAGAGTATAAAGCAGGATATTTGGTATACAATAGGATGTGTAGGTTGGTAGGAGAGGAATGTAAGGAGAAGTATTTGCAGCAATAACTAGAGGTGTCTTAATGATAAGAAAATAGATGAGATAGGTTGTTTTGGTTGTGGTTGGGTTAACGCTGTAGTTGGAGAAAATGGTGGAGGACGAAGATAAGCAGCATCAGCTGGAGATATTGAATTGGATCCAGGATAACACAGGTATGCTCGAGTTATAAAGAGAGAGTCATGGACTGGAGAGGAAGTGGGATGGAGGCAAAAGGCATTTAGAGAAGAATTTGCTTTTTTTTGTTTTTGGATTGGATTTGCTTTTTTGAGTTGTGATTGAGTTGATAGAAGTGGACAATTAGTTGACTTTCATTTGCCTAAGCGGTTGATCGAAATCCAGTGTTGGGCTGGCGTCTTTGGGGCCTGCTCTGTGGGTGGTGTAGACGACACTACTCTTCAAACCCAGGCTCGTTCTCTCCAGAAGCACCAGAAGCACCACAGGCACCAGAAGCACCACAAGCACCACAATGCCTGCGATTATATCTCGGAGTGCTTTGGGCAGCGAAAACACGTTCGCAGCTCGAATCCCGCCGGAGGAAAACGCACGTTACGTAATACACACGCTGTTCTGACTCAGCACCCTGCACACAGTCTGGAGAGCGCTGTTTTATTTGCTCCTCCGCTGGGACTCGAACCCAGCACCGGCACGATTAGCAGCACCCCGTTGATAAGATAAAGACATAGATATAACCAAATAGCAGCATACCTTCTCAGGCCCAGAAGTGTCAACAGTGATACTCACCAAGTGCTCAGGTATTTGGTTACGCAGGCGAGTTGTATCGGAGATAATTACAGCTGTCTGTCCTCCAGGCTCCTCTCCTACCTCGCTCCAGCAGTATATAAAGCTGTTGGTTCTCCTCTGATTTATCATCAATATGATCTCCATTACTTGATCTGGGTCTGCTCTGCTCTGCTCTGCTCTGCTTTTTGGTTTCCATCCCTCTGCTCCTGCTATCTGCTCAATGTTTGCTGGTTCTGCTTTGAACTCCTCTCTCGAGAACGTCTACTCGACCTCCCCAACCCTCTATCATGACAACCAGGAAAAATCTGGTACTGCTATTGTCATGTATGGAATGGGCGAACCCTTTGATTTATCTGAGACCCACGACTTCATCTACAGAATGATAACCGACACAAACATGAAATCAAAATGGAACTTTTTGAAACCTTTGATTGGCAAGGTTGTTGCTGATATATACACCAAGAAACTAAACAAGATTTATGAAGCAATTGGTGGTGGTTCACCGTTGTACCAAATCTCTCTTGATCAATGTTCTCAAATTTGTACATTACTAGACAAGATTCATCCCTCCACCTCTCCCCATTTGCCTTATATCTTCCACAGATATACAAACCCTTTGCCTGACCACGTATTGCAAAATTTAATCACTGATAACGTCAAATCCGCTGTCGCTTTATCTCATTCACCCCAGTTTTTCTATCCTCTTGCTGGTTCATGTATCAATGAAATTTATAGACAATCAAGAGTATTTGATCCCACAAACTCAATCTCTTGGTCCCTAATAGAAAGATGGCCAACTGCAATGGCAAAGACTTTTGCTAAAAATATCAATGAAAAGCTAACTGACTTTAAAATCCAATTCAATCTCAAATCAACCAACAATATCTTAATTGTCTTTTCAGGACATTGCATAAACACTAAAATTGTTAACGAAGGTGACCCTTATGAAGCTGAAGTCGGTGCGTCGGTCCAAGCTGTTATGGAAGAACTAAATTTCTCAAACCCTTATCGATTATGTTGGCAATCTGGCCCCTCAAAGGAATCTTCCGATTATCTAGGTCCAATCACAAAACCATTCATTCAGAAATTCAATGAATCCGATTTCTATGATGGCATCATTTTAGTCCCCATTTCCTTTTCTTCTGACCATAGTGAAACTTTGTATGAAATTGATATAGAATTAGTCCAATCTTTGAAAAAACCTGAAAGATTTAAAAGAGTTGAAAGTTTAAACTGTGATAGCTTATTCCTTGACTCAATGGCTGAAATTATCAGTGACCATTTAGATGGTCTTGAGAATGGCCAAGGTTTTAATGGAAATAAAAAGAGATATGGCAATCAATTGGAGTTGGATTATAAGATATATAAACCAAGAACTAACGACTGCTTTGATCAACCATCAGATTTTTTTAAACCTCTATAACCGCTCACCCTTTAAAGTCTTTATACCACTTATACTCTTTATACTCTTTATACTTTTTGCAATTGTTTTCTGTTTTCTGTTTTCTGTTTGTTTTCTGTTTGTTTTTTGTTTGTTTTCTCTTTTTATGATTGGATAATGAATAGTTAAGAAATATATGCTTTAATCTTTATTTTATTTTGCTATTAGATGAATTTAAAAATTACATAATCAATTAATAACCCAAAGAAACCCATCAATTTGAAAAATGTTAATATGAAATTTTTTAAAATATAAAATATAAATAATTATAAAAAAACAACAAATAAAATGAAGTATAAAATCAAAATAAACAATACACTATAATATTGAATAAATGTAAATAAATGTAAATAAAAAAAAAATTAATAAATGTAATAAAATTAATAAAAGAAAATTAGCAAATCAACAAAATATCAAAGTGTAAACCAATTTAAGAAAAAAGAAAAAAGAAAAAAAATGATCAAAAATAAAATAAAATAAAATAAATCTAAATCCAAATCCAAATCCAAATCCAAAATCTGCCAAACTTATATTTGTAATTATGGAATAACAAATTAAACACTTGAATGAGGTGGCCTGATATTCAAATTTTGTAAAGCGATAGCTTCATTCACAGGACTTGGTTTGGAATTGTTGGAATTATCATCAATTGGATTCAAAGCATTACTTTTAAAAAGGCTATTATTTCTAGAAATTCTTATTGAATTTCTTTGTGTTGAAACAAAATTGGTTGTTTCAGTACTCAAAGTGTTGCTGGTTTTAATTGAATGCAAATTTTGACCTAAATTTGGACTCTCACTGAAGTCCAACTGGATATTATTATTATCATTATCGCGATTACTCAGCGAACTGTTATTATTGTCACGACTGCCATTAGGATTATTAGGATCAAGAACAAGATTGTTTGACGAATGTAATGGCAATATAGAACGTTTGCTTAAGTTAGACCGGCTTATTGCTTTTCTGTTATAGAAAAATAAACATATCATAAAGGCAATGAGAAATATAAAATATAGGGCAGTCAATTCAACCATGTTGAATATCAAGGTTGTATTGAAGGAATTGGATTCCTCACTGATCACACCCATTTTCAATCTGCGACAAGTATTGGTTTGCCAACAGTGTGATAAGAAACAAGCAGATGGGCGAGTATTGTATCTGACTATGCCTGTTTATAACTATTTTCCACTGGTTATAAGTGGTTTCTTCTATTTGCTTTGATTATATCAACTTTCGAACAGGTAAATCACAAATATCCAAACAATGAAACAGCGAAACTGTCACTGAAACAGTCGGCTGTGCTGTTTCCGGAAAAAACAATTTACACGAAGACAGAACGAAAAAGATACGTAAGTACCGAGCATTTGCGAAACTTTACGTCATACGGATTCGACAACGGATCAAAACATCGAGCACCGTATTCTCCACGTGATACATATTTTATTTTTGTGCCCAAAAGGGTATTTCTGGGTTGAACCAAACCTGAAAGAAATGAGCTGAAGAATAGAGATTTATGATTACGCAGAGAAACTATTATGTTTGTTCTTGAGACTTTTCGATAGGATATGACAAAGTTACAGGAGAAGGAATACGAGGATGACTTCAACAGAATTGTTGAATTTAGAGATCAAATGCTTATCATCGCTTCCAAATCGCGAAATGCTACCACCTTGAATCGCTATAATAAACTTGTAGATGATAAGTTGATATTTCAAAATTGGCTAAATTTGGAAAATTTGGAAGGTCCAGATCTGCCCAAGCCAAACAGTGTCAAAGACAATAGTTATGAACCTACTAACGCTATAGATGTCTTAGATACTGTAGACACTATAGACACTGTTGGTAATGCAGATACTATAGATGCAGCTACTAAAGGCAACACCACTTTAAATATTGTGGAATCAGTTGAAAACACAGAAAAGAATTCATTTCAAAAAGAGGCTAATACTAATATATATAATCATGCAGAGGCTTCGAATATTCAAAGTATTCCTGTAATCCAGCTGCAAAAGTCATTTCAAAATCAGAATCAGAATCAGAATCAAAATCAAAATCAAAATCAAAATCAGATTTCTTTTTTTTCTCACTTTCAAAATCACAATCAAAGCCAAAATCAAAATTATTACTCCAACATTCCATTTGTACCTAAAACCAATAAATCCTCTTTGAATGTTGATTCTCTTATGCCTTCCAATAATTTTTTCAACACCGATAATTTTTCACTGATAAAATCTAGCAATTCTGGTTATTTACCACCTTCTAGCCATCAAATTAATCACTTCAATCATTTAAAACAGATAAATCAGGTCAAACAAGTGAATCAAGTGAATCAAGTGAATCAAGTGAATAAAAACTATGGGCTTTTTCAAAATTATAATCAACTTCTCACTTTTCCATTTATATCATCAAAAATAAATAAAAAAAAAAAAAAAAAAAAGAAAGTCAAAAATTTACAACAAACAGACAATAATTCAATTGATTTGCAATCAAGTTTGTTGCAAAATCCCAATTTTTTTTTTGATATTAATACCAATCCTCAAATTTCTTTGAACGATCAAATCTTTTTAAATCAACAAAACCAGAATCAAAATCAATTTCAATTTCAAGAACAAAACCATAATCAAAATCAAAATCATAACCAAAATCATAATCAATTTAATAATCCCATTAATCTATATAACGTATATAACACTAATGGTAGTATAAATCAAAAACAATCAACTACCAAATTTGATGATCATTTTGATCTAGATTATTGACTGTTATTTATTTGATTTCATTTATTTTTTTATATACTCTTTTAATTTGTGTTTTTCATCTTTACGAATACATGTGTAATATTAATCTATTTGGATCTATTGTATTATAATTTATGAACAAATAACGAAAAAAAAATAAAAAAAAAATAATTACAGCTATATATCAGCCAAAAATTTACAGTATATATTACATATAGCACAATTTAATAGTTGCTAAAAACAAATCTATTTAAAAATTCTTGTAGTAAAATTTTTTTGTCCTCTTGTCTTTATATGCTTCAGATAGATAATATTCCGCTTTATTAACATCTCCAGTTATTTGACTATTGATTAAATTCATATCACCTAAATCTAATTTATCGCCCAGAGTTAATGAATCAATGACTTTTGATCTTGGTTGATAACTATATTTGGACAAATCAACTTTTTTAAATGTCTTTTTCAAATATGAATCTTTTATTTTCAATAATTGTTCAATATCAATCGACTCTCCTTCAGGCACTGGTTCCGAATTAGAGGGTGTGATGCAATCAAGATTAACCTCTTTTCTTAAAACTTTATCAATATCAATTGCAGAGAAAAATGCACAAGATTGAGGTATATTGTCAATTCCAATTTGTTGACAAAATAATGCTCTCGTCCAGATGTTACTTATTTGCAATGCCATCGCAACCCTATATTTATCTTGTTCTTCAACTAAATATCTAACTTCATCATGAATTGTTAGTGATAACCTTGCTTTCAAATTATACACATCAATAAGATATTTCATTGAGGATATCAATAAATGTAAATAATCAACTCCAGATGATTGAATAGCCCAATTAATTCGTGATGGCAAAAACAACATTTTTTTTAAATTAGATTTCATTAAGGCTTGGGTGATCCCTGCTCCCAACACAGGAGTCCTTGGAGATTCTTGCTCTGCTATGTTTTCTAATCTATTAAACAAAACTGATTCTGATCCACCAATCCATAATTTTTTGTTTGGTAAAAGGTTTTTTAAACCTCTTTTAACTACTGAACCTTTAGTTTCAGAGAATAATTTTTCGCAAGTATTTCTGCATTCATCATCTGATAAACTTGGGTTGAACTGCTTTAATAGTGTCATGGTAAACCTTAGCCCGGCTCCATAAATTCTACCATAATTGAAAACTTTAGCTTCATTTCTAGAAATTCCTAATATTTTTGCAGTTTTAGAATGAAGATCAGTTCCATTGCTTTTAGTACCTTCCAAAGTCATCCATCCGATTGGGGTAGCTCCATGTAAATTAAATACAGAGTCTCCAAGCAAACTTGCAATCCATAACTCTTCAGAATCAACATCTGCACCCACAAAACAATAACCAGATGGTGCTTGAATTCTTGATTTCAACTCTGAACCAATTCTTGTTTTTTTGGCGTTTGATGCAGTTAACCAAGTGTTTTCAACTGCTCTTCTAGTAATGGTTCCCATTGTTTGAAGCATGGGTATTATAATACCTATTTTATCGTCATCGTTGTTATTATCAGTTATGCTTTTGGCCTCAGTTTCAACTTCACTGTTATCAATATTAACAACAAAGTCATTTGTATGCTCATAATGAGATCCCAAATTGGTAGCGTTAGAATGCAAGGAAACATCGTTTTTGTTTTGATTTTCGTTCTGGTAAACTACAAATTGATTCATGATTCTACTTCTTGATGATACCCAATAACTTGAGCTGACGTTTAACTCGAGTGCTTCTTTTGCGTATTCAAATTCACTTGTTAATATTCCCTTTTCAAAGCTTTTCAAGAAACTTTTTGAAGTCATGCTTGTTACTCTTTTATCTGGACCACCTTCATGAGGAACTTTGAAATAAACAAAACCAGGCTCGTTTAAAACTTCAAATGTTTCATAAGTTGGATCAATTTCAATATGCAAGTAATTTCTAGAAATCAAGTCTTTTGCAGATGATTCAGGAGCTTTGAATAACCATCCATATTCTTCTGTCCATGCTAAAGGATAACCTTCCCATTTCAACTTGAGCAAAAATGGAATTATTCTTGTTTTAATTGTTAGACAAATGGGTGAGGTTGCAGAAGAAAATAATTTCCTATACCATTCAGGATATCCAGGAAACTTTTGATTTTTATAGATTTCACCATTTTTTTTATATTTAATTTCTTTAATAGTCCAATCTAGTTGTTTTAACCAAGGATCATTATTATAAATTTCTGGTTTATCCTTTAGGGACTCAGCTAGATTTGTAGCATTTTCATGTAAAATGGTTTCAATTCTATTTTTATTTTTTCTGTACAAAGACTCTGAGCTTTGAATGTAGTTTTCCCAGACGTTCTTTTTAGTTGGTAAAAAGCATTGGCCCAATTGGCCCAAAGCACCGAAAGAAATTGGATGGGGACAAATATCTAGAAACTGAGGAAAAACTTTTTTATAGACTTGGAAAGTGGTCAAGACATCGTTGGCACAATAGTTGATTAATTTTTGCAAATTTCCGGTAATGTCAGTTTTTTCAGTTGTTTTAAAGTAATCTCTATCAGCTTTATTTACGTCAATGTTGCAATGTAGCTTGGCAACTTGAGCTAGAGAGTTTGGAGAAGAGAATTCTACCCATGGGTTATCTTTATCATTAACTCCTTGGAAATTATCGTCTTCAAAGATGACACCTTGGGAGGAGCATAAATCTGAAAATAGCTGTAGTTCGCTTGAATTGTTTGAGGATTGGGATAATTGCAGTTTTTTTTTCTCTAGTTCTTCTAGTTTTGATTTTTTTGAATTGATCCAAATTGGTCTTTGTCTTGAGCATATTCCACTAGTAGCAACATGAAGTGACATTGTATCTAAGAAAAAGGTATTTGATGGGTTAATGTCATATTCCTCTTTAATTCTTGCACGATCGTAGGAAACATTGTGGCCAATGATTAATTTTTTCAAGTAAGGGTCGTTTGTGTTCATTGGGATCAAGTGGTTGTTCTCTGAGGATTCGTTTGTCAAATAGGGAGACAACCAACAGTACCAAGCGTCGGATGATAAAGCAGTGGCCATTACAGGATAGCTGGATAGTTTGTGCATGACTTCAACATCGAAGATTAGGGTGTCTTCTAGAGGATAGGGAACACTTTCTGGGTTATCTAGAGTATCATTTGTATATCTGTACCAACCCGATTTGAGGAGCCAATTATTTGGCTTGAGTGGCAAAGAGAAGGGGGATTTGAGGGTGTCGTCAGGAGTGTAATTTAGAAAGGATTTGGCATTAGATAAATAAGGGTCAGAGATGTAGGAACCGATTCGAGAAAAGTGTTCATCTAGAGAATTACCAGCTAGTTTGGGTAGAGACAAATCGATTGGATTTGATAGCTGAGTTTTTTTATCTAGGAGGTCGTGTCTTTTTAGGTACATTTTGGATAGTTTAATTTTTTCGTTGAGAATTTGGTTTGAAAGGAAGTTTTTGTCATTATTGAAGGAGTTTTTTTTGGATGAGTTTTTTTTAAAGAGTTGGTTGTATAAGTTATCTGATAGGTATTGAATGCCTACTTGGTTGATGGTAGGTAATTGAGCGAACTTTGTGTTGTTTTGAGCATTGAAATCTTTTAGGATTGTTTTTTCATTTAGGCGGTTATTCTTTTTTAGTAGTTTGTTTTGAATTTCAATTTTGTGGTGGTTTAAAAGAGGGTTCTTGTTGATATCGAATTTCAAAGATGAGAAGTTATTGTTATTTGTGGTATCAATTTCGTTCAATTTGGAGAACTTGTATTTTTTATTGAATTGGTTTGTATTGTCGCAGTTAGCAAAGATGTCGTTATTATCACCATTATAATAATTATTATTATTATTATTATTATTATTATTATTATTATTATTGAGGTGATTTAGAGAATCGAAATGAGAGATACTATTGAGGGAGTTAAGGTTGTTGATTGGGATATTTTGATGAGAAATTGGATTTTGTTTGAAATAAGAGGTATATTTTGAGTTTGGATTAATTATTGGCGGTATGCTGACTTGGATTGGGGTCAAGGAGGATTTATTGATGATGGTGTTGATATTTGGTTTATTTTTGTTAAAGCCTTTTGATTTTTTGTCATAGTTTTTACTAGTGTTGGTGTTTGTGATGCTAGACTTGATTTTATTTTTGTTGTTGGTCGTATTGAAATCATCAACAGTAGGATAGCCTTTAGTATTTAGTAAATCGGGGGCACTTTTTGATAGAGAAGGCTTTAAGCGAACCGGCGAAATGTGGTTATCGGACAGAGGATCAAGAATAAAGTCATGGTCATTGTCGAGAACAGTGTCGTCTATTGGAATAGGATTTGAATCAAAGTCCTGAAAGAACTTGTTTAGATTCTGAGACAAGAGATGGTTTCTTGGATGAAAGTATCTTTTGTAAGTGGTAAAATTGTGCAAGGTAGTGAGGGAGAGTCTCTTATGAAAAGAGAACATTTTGAGGGTGTTAGAGTTAGAGCATTTGGAGAAATAGTTAGTGGTGTTAAATTTAGACAGTATCATTTCATTATTATTGCAATATTAATCTGTGAATCGTTTGTCTTTTCTTCTGTTTATAATGTTTTTCAGATCCAATTCCTTTGTCAAAAATTTAAAGAAAAATTCAAGACATTCAAAAAAAAAAAGGAAAAAAAGAAGTGACTTGGTGAAAGGATCAAGACCAGCAATGCGGATGTATACGTATGTATCACGTGACAAATTGATCTAGGTCTTTCTGTAGACACACGTTTTCACACGCTGGCGTCTGCACCAGAGCGCTCCAGAACGAGGTTTGAGACAGAATAAGCTTTTTCTGCACCAAGGAGGCTGTAGCGCAGACCGAATTCTGGATTGGGACAAGCAAATAGCCTCTTTTAATATGAAGCGTAGCAGACAAAAGTGTGGGAGAGAGCGGAGGAAGAGTGTGCTGGTGTTGTGGAGATGCCAGACCATCCCAAGCAGCATGAAAAACAAGAGCAGAGAGTGAGGAAGAAGAGGCTACCGAAAAACATGCTCCGGCAACACAGCGCAGGCCCAGCGCAGAACCAGCGCCAGAGTCAGGCATAAGCCCTGCAGCTGTTGTACCGGGACGGGCACAGCTGCTAATAATAGTGTGCAGCGCGGTGCGCTCCCGATAAGACAGTTCATCTGCAGAGTGTGCGCTTACTGGCGTCTTCACGCAGCACACCGCGCCAGGCCCGCGCGGCGACCCTCTGCTGTGGGAGTATAAATTCCAGCGAGCTCGCTCCAGCTGTCTTCAACTCGACCATCCCCTGCTGTGCATCCTCTGCTGCCGCTGCTTCTCGTCTCTCCAACGCCTGTGCTTCTTGTCTTTCTTCTGCTGCTCGCTAGTCTCGCTTCCTCTGCGTTTTTTGTGCTTTTCCCTCCGGCGGCATCCAATTCTATCTTTCACTCAGAATTTGTGCTTTGGGAACCACCTCTCTCGCCAAATCCTTCTTGCTTGCTTTGCTTCCTCATCTCCTTTCCTGCACTTTCTTCATTTACTTCTCCTGGCCCCCCTGCTTTTGCGCTTTTTGTTATATGCTTGTTTCGTCCTGATTTTCCTTCTACTCATTTTCCAAAATGCATCCCTATAGACAAAATTTGCCTGCTAATAGTCACAATTTTCATCCTAACCAAATTCACGACAACTATCCCAATGACCAATCGTATCCTTCCCAAAATCAACAGACCCAAAAAATTCTGTCTCCTTATCAACAACTAAGACCTCAAAATCAAAACCAGAATCAATTTTACACCCAAAACCAAAATTCAAATCCTAATCAAAGCCCCAAACCAAATCAAAACCCAAATCAAAATCAAAATCAAAATCAAAATCAAAATCAAAATAATTTTTCAATAAGACTACCACATCAACAAACATACCCATTTCCATCATCTCAACAACCTTATAACAATAACAAAAACAGTATCAACAAAAACAACACTAATGGTAATAATGGTAATAATGGTAATAATGGTAATAATACTAATAATACTAATAACAGTAATAACAGTAATAATATTCAACTATACAATAACAAAAAATCTTCTTTGCCCCAACATCCTCCACCTCAGCAACAATACCCACCTTCAAATTCTCCCAACTCTTTAAAACATCCAATTCCAATTCCAAACCAAACCTCAAACCCAAACTCTTCCAATTCTTCTGAAAGATTCTACTCTCCCACCAACTCTAACTTTCCTTCTTCTATAAACACTTCTCAAAATAACCAAAATTACAACAATTACAACAATTACAACAATTACAACAATTACAATAACCAAAATAACCAAAATGCGCCTCCAAAAACACCAGACGCTTTTTCTTTCCAAACTGTTGACAAATCTCCTAGTTTTCCTCCTTTAAACTCCACAAACAATAACAATAACAACAGCACCAGCACCAGCAATAAAAACACCAACAGCAGCAACAACAACAGCAACAGCAACTCATCTCCCTACTATAATATCAACAATCCTTATCTTTCAAACAACAACTCTAATCCCATCCCTAACCGTAACATTAACTCCAATCCACCCTCTAATGCTAATACCCCAATAACCTCTTCTTTCAATCAAAACATCACTTCTGTCAGCTCCAACACTGCCAATTTCTACGACTCAATCGATTTCGATAACAACACTTCTGCCAAAAATATCCCCCAATTCAAAGAAGAAAAAGTAAATGATATCCAACCACAGGTTTTATTCTCTGCTGATCCTTATTCTCAATCTGCCTCTCCCATCCCTTCTCCAATACAACAAAATATCCCTAAACCTCCTGTAAAACCCTTTTCTCCACAGCAAACTGGCTCTTCCAACTCAGCATCCTCCTCTACTTCCGCTCTTAATAGAGAAATTAATAACGTAACAAACAACTTCAATAACTTATCTCTATCAAACTTAACTCAACAGCAGCAACAACAACTCAATTCAAACACTGGTGACTCTCCTCTCGCTTTACCAAAACCACCTACAAATCTACAAGCCCCAAGTATCTACTCTAACACTAGAAACTCCCACTATGAAAGAGCTGACTCTCCTCCTTTTACTTTATTCAATGCTGGCGGTGTCTCCGAATACTCTCACTCAGTGTACAATCAATTGGTTGGTGATAACGCTTCTCTACTACCAAGAATTAAAACTATAGACTTGTATAGAAAAAACGCAAAGAAATCAAACGACCCTGGTGTTTTATTCCAATTTGCTCAATATCTTCTACAAACTGCCTTAATGATTGATCCAAATGAATCGGCCATCTCAGCAAACAACTTATCCCAAATCCCAAGCACCTCAAACAATAATTCCACTTCCAATAACAATCAAAGCAATCATAATTTGACTGGAAATACTGTTCAAAGCACTAACCAATCCAGTAACCTAAATGTTTCAACTAATAACAATGGTCTAAGCCTGTCCCCATCTTTTGTGGATTTATCTCGTATTCCAAGCAACACCAACCTTACAAATTTATCTGGTACCGATATCGATAATCCAAATAGCAACCTAAACTCATTGCCAAATTCAAATTCAAATTCAAACACAAATTTAAATACTCCTAAATTCTCGCAAAATTTATCCGTCTATTCAAATAATACCTCAAACCGTTCTAATCTAAACGTAACTGCAAATGCAAACGCAAATGCCTCACTCAACCGTCAACAACTCTTAAAAGAAGCTGTACATTACTTGAAAAAATTGTCCGACAAAGGTTATTCAGAAGCACAATACTTGTTGGGCGATGCTTATTCTTCTGGCGCTTTGGGTAAAACCGACAATAATAAAGCTTTTGTTTTATTTTTAGCTGCTGCCAAACATGGTCATATTGAAAGTGCTTATCGTACTTCCTATTGTTATGAAGAAGGTTTGGGTGTCTCTAGAGATGCTAGAAAATCCATCAAATTTTTAACTGCTGCTGCTGCTAAAAATCATCCTTCTGCAATGCTTAAATTAGGTATCTATTCCTATTACACAAGAATGGGCTTAAGTGATAACATTAATACCAAGAAAATGGGTATCAAATGGCTAACAATCGCTGCCACCAAAGCAACAGAGCTAACTTGTGCAGCTCCATATGAATTGGGTAGGATCTACGAAACTGGTTTTAAAGATATTGTCATTAGCGACAGAAGATATGCCTATGAACTATATACACAAGCTGCTAGTTTAGGTCATATTCCATCAGCAGCTAAATTAGGAAAGATTTACGAATTTGGTACTGATATTGGTATACCTGCAGATTCTAATTTGTCTATTCACTACTACACTCAAGCAGCTCTCGGAGGTGATTTGGAATCAATGCTAAGTATGTGTGCTTGGTATCTTATTGGTGCTGAGCCTTACTTACCAAAAGATCAAAATGAAGCGTTTGCTTGGGCTTTAAGAGCTGCTAATGGAGGTTTACCAAAGGCTCAATTTGCAATTGGGCATTTTTACGAAAAGGGCATTGGATGTGAAGTCAATCTAGCGGAAAGCAAAAAATGGATAAACGAGGCTGCCAAAGGGGGTGATGCAAGAGCGATTGCAAAGTTGGGTGGTAAAGCTCCAAAACCTGATAAAGATGAAAAATGTATTATTATGTGATAGCCACGACAACAAAAATAATGACACTAACACAATAACAACAATAGCATGAAAACCATAACAGTTTCCATTATATTATTACAAATTAATAACATTAATGATTTTAAGCAAATTTTTTCTTTCTTCTTTATAATCTTCTAATACTAGCCATTTGAATTCGACAATGGTGTCATTTGACATACAAAATATCAGCAATTAAAACAACGGCAAAAAAAACTAATTCAAAAAAAAAAAAAATAAAAAAATATGCAGTTGTTTTACTATTTAGTTTCTGTATCAGTTTTTGGTTTTTTTTTCCATATTTTCCAGTTAATTTTTCTAATGTTTTATATATTTTTGTTTTTCTCCAGTGAGTTCATCAAATGACTATTTCAGCATTTTTTCTTTTCTCTTTTCTTCCTTTGTCTTTACTTTATTCATAAAACAAAATCAATTTAATATCTTTTGCTGTCGCTTGGCACACTGTCGAGCTTGCCACTTGTAGTCTGCAGTTGATCAAAGCAGAGTGAGACTGAGTAAAAGTGAATAACAGTGAGTAAAACTGAGTAAATTTGAGTAAATTTGAGAAAAGGATTGAAAGGAGAGGATTCGACAACGAAATCGCCTCTTTAGAAATAAACTTCAGTTTGAGATAGGGAGAAGGCCCAAGTGTGTATTGTTCACTGCAGAAGAGAGTTCAGAAGGGAATCCAGAGAAGAATTCAAGGACTGAAGAATGGAGGGCATTTGTTGTCATTTGTTGTCATTTGTTGTCATTTGTTGTCATTTGTTGTCATTTGTTGTCATTTGTTGTCATTTGTTGTTGAAAACAGACAATTGTGGAATAGAGGCAGTTAAGTGGAATTTGCATGGGATATTTGGTAACTCGTAGTGGTCATTGGGAAATATCTGGCAAAAAGGCGAAAACACCTCTCAAAAAGTCCAAAGAGTTCAAAGAGTTCAAAGAGTGTACAACCGAATATTTTTTGTGTGTAATTGGAGATATATTTTAAGAGGGCCTTTGATAATAAGAATAACGTTTGAAGATGGAAAGTATGGCAAAGATTATGAGGGTGCAAAGAAAGATTTTACAATCGTAGATTGCAGATTATTATTTGAGAGTAAAGTATAAATTATAGGTGTAAAATATGAGTATATAATATGAGTATATAATATATGGGAAAGGGTGAAATGAAGTTATGAAACCCGAAGAATTGAGTGTCGTCAAGTAGCGGAGTAGAAAACAAGATAGAGATGGAGATAAAGAAGAGAGAGATGAGGATGTAAGTAAATAAAGATGATCGAAAGATTGAGATGCGAATAAGTATACAACTAAAAGAAATTAAAAAGATGAGCGAAAAAAAGAAAGAAAGAAAGAAAGAAAGAAAGAAAGAAAATTGGTCAAAGTAAAATACAGAATGAGTTTATTTTTTTATTAAATTAAAGCATTTGAACAGACACTGAGCAATAGACCATCGACTTGAATGTTGTTTTGGTAATCATAGTTGAGATTAATATTGTTATTGACAAATTTTACCATTTGGTTTGAATATTGCAAGTTCCATTTACCAAGATAGATCCATTTTTTCTTGTTGAATTTTCTGATTAATTTTTTGTTGTTTGAGTTGGAAAGATTGTTGTTGAGATTTGAGAGCAAGTAGTTATTAAGTTGGAATTTGTTTGAAGGAATGAGGTCCATATAGTTTATATAATCTGACAATTGGAAGTTGAAGATATTATCTGAGATTATTACTGAGTTTTTATTGATTAGACCTAGGGATTCGACTATTTTGAATGAGTTTAGAGATAGTGAGGAATTTGATATTGAATTGGTGTTGGTGATTGGGTTGAGATCATTATCAGGGAAATTGGGGGCGAAAATGTTGTTATCGTTGTTATAGCAGTTTGATTCAAAGTTGATTAGATCTAAATTTGAATATTCGTTATTCAAGTAAAGCAAATTTATATTTGAGAACTTGAGAGTGTTGAGTAGATAAGACAACGAGTCATAAATGGAGGAATGGTTTAAGAAAATGAAGTTTTTGGGCAAATCTTGAAGTGGATAGACGAGATTAATCAAGGACTGGGAGAGTTTGAAGTAATAGTCATTTGGTTCGATGGTAATGAAGTAGAAATTGTTGAATAGACTTGAATTGTTGAATTTCAAAAACAAGAATATGAAGAAAATGGTATTGTAGCCTATATTTGAGTTCAATTCAACAAATAGCTTTTTCTGGCTTTGATTGATGTTGTGTGAAAAGAAGTTTTTCACGAAATAGTTTTCTAAAAAGGAGTATTTCTGGTCAATTAGAGATTTCAAGTTATTTTTCTGGTTTTTGATTGAATCCAAGTAGTTCAACAAAGACATGGGATTGTCTTTAAAGGGATTTTGGTTGACAAAGTTAGAGTTGTTGATTATTTGAGTGGAGATGTCATTTAAATAGTTTGGGTTAATGAAAGAGGAGTCCTCTTCAAAGGATAATAAAGAATTTGAGCTGTGATTTGATTGAGAGTATAGATTGAAAGAATTTGATTCAACTAAAGACATTTTTGCATATGTTTAACCAACAAAGAATAGTCAGAGAGAGTTTTGTACAAGTATAAATATAAGGAATGTTGTATTATATTATATTATATTATGTTATATTTTATTACAGAAAATAAAAAAATGAAAAAAATTAAAAAAAATAGAAGAAAAAATTCAGTATTTATAGTACAGTCATTTATAAAAATAACCAACTCCTTCAGAGCCCAGCAGCAGAGAAGAAGACAGAACATAAGTCCATAGAATGAGTTTGCTGACTGAATTTTATAAACTTGTAGTGAACTTATAAACCTATATTAAACTTGTAAACTTGCAAACCTCTTTATGTCTTGCTCTTTATGTCCCACTTTTAACGCTACTTTAACGCTATTTTAACGTTATAATCACACCTCCGCTGAGCAGACTGCTCACGTGGTGCTATTCGCCTACCGATCCCCGACTGCGGGGCACCGCAGACACAGAGGGCCCTTCCGCTTTGGGCGGGTGTGCTGCTCGTGGTGCTTCTGGTGCTCAGCAGAAAAGAGTGAGCAACGTTTCCACAATCAGCCGGAGCTCGTCTTTCGAGATCTGCTTTTTGTTGCGGATGGCAAACCCCGTGGATTTGTACGTCTGGTGGTAGATCTTCTGGAACTCCTGCTCGTTGGTTTTCTTGCTGATGTTTCGGATCCTGAGGCCTAGCAATATAATTCGCTGGATATCCACCTTCAACTTTTCAACATCAGCACCAGCGTTGTTTTCCTTGTGGTTTTTGGCATCTTGATTCTTATCATTAACAATAATGTCTCTGCTATTGTCGTTATCATCATTATCAGTGTCGTCGATGAACGAACTGTTAGCATTGAACTGTAAATATGATGGGAGTCTCCTTCTTTTGATGAATTTATCCAATATGTTGATATTTTGCTTATTCATAGAGCTTTGGCGGATTAGGAGATTATCCCTGCTAATCTGATCCCAATACTTGTCTTTATTATCTTGGTTACCAAGACTGTTGTGATCTAATACTATCCCATCGACAAACTGGTTGTTCATCGACTTATTCAAGTAGTTGGTGTTAGTTTTTTGGAGATTTATTAGCAATTTCCCAACGTCTGGGTTTAACTTTAACGGGATGAGTTTAATAATAACATTCTGGTTGTTATCGTCATTGGTTGATACATCAATGTAAATTAGAAATAGATCCCCACTGTTCTGTAATTTGACCAATAGCCCAAATTCAACGTCGTAATTGACAAGAAACTCCCTGAAAAACTCGCTCGAAGTTGGATCGTTAGAATATATCTGGTACGAAAATGAGCTTTTATTGTCAACAACAAACACAGGGCATATATCCTCCAACCTGATAATCGCCAAAAATCGCCATTTGAACTCTTTGCTGTTGATCAAAACGCTATCGGTGCTGTTGTCAATGGGAGGACTGGTGCCAAATATCTGCAAGTCCCGAAGCACACCATACTGCTGCTGCTCCAGCTGGAATTTCGGATCAAACACCAAGCTGTAGCTCTGCACGTAGTTCAAGCTTTTCATTTCTCATTCTCCATTCTCTACTTTGCACTTTCATTCTGTGTTTATTCTTCATTCTCTTGTTTAACCCCAGCGTTTTGGTTGTATCCAACTCCTTGGTTCGGGCCCACTATTGCGGTTCTCTTCTCCGTTGTTCTCCATTACCATTACCCGTACTGTTCGCCAGTTCTTGACCGACTGTTCGTGTTCGTCAGGGTCCGTCTCTTCGTCTTTTTTCTATGCTGTCCTTGCTTCTTCTGCTTCTTCTTCCTCTGCTTTCTCTGCTGATTCTTCTTCTACTTCTTCTCCTTCCCATATCCTCGCTTCTTCTGCTTCCTGTGCTTCTTCTGCTGCTGCCTCTTGTATTTTCCACCACTCCATTCCAGAGCCTTTCTTCATACCTGTTTCCCTCCTCTTTTTATCTTCCACTTTCAACCTCCACCATATCCCATATCCTATATTTCATTATATTATATTATACTATATCTTTTCTGCTATTTCATACTTATAATCATAACCACAACCACAACCACAACCTCCTAAAGCTTCTTTTTCTCCGGTTTTTATCCTTATTTCCCCCTCCTTAGATCTACCACATTTTCTATCCTGTTTTTGTTTCCCTTTTGCTTATCTTATTATTACTATTCCCTTTTTTTATCTTCTTCTTCTTCTTTTTCTTTTTTTTTCTTTCAAAATGGAAAAATCAAAATTATATTTATTAACTAAAGAGGAGTTATTACTCAATCCTTCAAGTATCAAATTAATTGATCTAAAATTAACTTCCATTCCAATTGAAATCATCGATCTCCTTAAGGATTCATGTGAATCCTTATCTTTAAGATCAAATTTCCTAAATTCTTTACCCAACTTTTTTAACATCTTATATCAACTCAGATATTTAGATCTAAATTTCAATAACTTTGAATTCTTTCCAAAGATCCTAACCAATTGTAAAAATTTAGAAATCCTAGAAATTAATAACAACTTTTTATCCTCCTTACCAAATGAAATCGGTTACTTGAAAAATTTAAAAGTCCTCTTACTATCAAATAATAATTTCAAACTAATCCCTCTTCAAATTTTACAAATGAATCATCTAAAAGTATTCAACATCGATGGCAACCCACTTATAAAACCTTGCTTAGCTGTGGTTAATCACATTAACAAATTAATCATTGAAAACAGTTCTAATAACCAATTTGATCCCAATGATAATATTATCAGCAAAAACAATAATAATATCAATAACATTAATATTAATAATACAAATAACAATAATAATAATCCAAATATATTAAATCGATTGAATTTTAAAGATGAAGATTACAAACTAATGTATATCAGTGAAATCAAAAGATTTCTATCTTCAAAAAAAGAGTTTTTAATTGAGCAATCAAAATTATTAAACAATGAAAATTTAAATAACAATGATAATATTAATGATAATAATCTTAATGATTCTTTAATCACTAATAACAACACTTCCTCTAATAACAATAGTAAAAGTTTGAACATGAATTTAGTAAACTTAAAATCTTTCTCTCTAAATGACTACAACCAAAATAAACTAAATTTGCCCATCTCAACTCCAATAACAACAACTTCAAACCCTTCCTCCAACTTGAAAAACCTTGACAATGTCCTAACAAATTCTCATTTCCCGGATTTGGAAAGATCAAAATCAGTTTCAGAGTCCTTTTTAACTCAAAAATCTGCTAAAAGAATGGGCTTTATCTTGAAAAGAAATTTACCATCAAATAACCAATCAATTATCAAAAATGATAACGAGAAAAACACCGACAATGAAAAATCAATTCAACTTTCAAATAACAATACAAATAATGGAATCAACACAAACACTAACAATATTACCAATAATAGCAATGATATTACTCTCCCAAAACAACCTTCCAATAATTTCGATAGCTTTATTCAAGAAACTTTTCACAAACATATAAACTCAAATTCAATTCCAAATTTTAATAACAGCTTCACTTCAACACAACTCCCTCCACCAAATAAACCTCCACCGCCTCCTCCAGCAAAGGACATTCCCAATAGCGATTCTTCTATTTCAAAACGATTAAGATCAAACACGATTACAAAAAACTCACCAAATCTATCAAATTCCAAAAACAATCCTCCTTTACCAAATTGGACTTTTTCTGATCAATATCAATATCAATCCCAATATCAATCCCTACCCCAACCCCAATCTCAACCACAACTACATCTTCAAACACATTCTCAAAATTCTTCTCAATCACAATTACCTCTATATTTACCATCTCAATATCAAAACCATTCATATTCTCATTCTCATTCTCATTCTCAATACCCATCCCAATATCAATATCAATCCCAATCCCAATCGCAATCCCAGTCTCAATCCCAATTTCAACCTCAATATCAACCTCAATTCCAAAACTTTCAACCAAATGGTACCGATCTGCAGGATACACTAGGTCAAAATGATTCTAATATTAAATCTGCTGTTTACTTTAAAAGATTGTCCACTTTACCTTTAACTAAGCCAAAACTCACTTTCCAGGGTGATAAACTTCATAACAGTCCTAAAAATACTATTAATAATAATAACAATAATATTAACAATAATATTAACATTAGAAATGATAATCTTGGTAATATTTCTTATTCGAATGGTGTTACTGCTAACAACACAACTAGTAACTATATCTCTGACAGTAATGCCGCCAACAATATTAGCAAAATCAATATTGGTGCTAACTCTAGTACAAACAAAGTTAATAACATTAATAATGCTATAACAAACCTTAACTTGTCCTCAGGATTAACAAATAATAGCAATAACAATAGTAGTACTAACCTCAAATCGGATGAAAATTTTTCTTCGCAAATTAATATTCAAAATCTTATTAATCCAAATTCTATTAACTCCAATAAGGATACAGATCGTTCTCATTCTCGAGAAACTTCCTTACTGTCTCACTCCTTTGCCAACAATAGTGCCCAAAAACTAACCTACCCTTCTAGTTTAAAAAACTCTTCTGTTAATCTTTCCAAAATGAACATAGTATCTGATTCATTAAAAATAACAACAGGTAACTCCAACAGTTTGACTTCAAATGCCAATTCTAACACCAGTAACCATGGGACAATCTCAAAAAACAGGATAAACAGTTTTAACAACGAGAACAATTGCTCACATGAAGAGATAGACACCTTAATGAAATACAAAATTCTAGAACTTGCCAGAAAACTACTTTTTGCCGTTAGTGAAATTCACTCAACAGTAGTCCGTTTTATTTTTTTGTCTAACGTTTCTAGCACTCATAAAAAGTTACATTTTAGGATGCAGTCTTATTTAAAAGCAGGAAAAAATCAATTAGATTTAGTGGTTGAAATTTTAGAGAAAATTGAAGATTACACTAATGGAAATGGTAACACTATTGATGGGACTAATAATGATAATTCAGACAGTAATGATAATGATATTCTTTCTGCTGATTATAACACTACTGAGATGAACGAGCTGATTTATGAGTTATTGCAATGTGTAATCACCTTATTAAATGTTTTTGGGAAAATTCACATTCTTTTTTTTGATAATATCAAAATTTTAACCGAAAAAACGGATGATAGTTTTATTCGAATGTTATTATTGTCGATATTTGGTTCATATAATGAATTGTTTAATGCGTGGATGATTCTCTTTCCTGATGAAATCAGTTTAGCAAGTTCTTTTCAAAAAAACTTGGATGGTGGCTCGATTTCAACTTCAATTCCTCCCTACGTTCATAGCAACCTAATTTCTAATAATTCAGTGACAAATCTTTCAGCGTTGAATCAAAGTGTCAACTCAAATTCTGTTCAATCACCAGTTGTTATCGGAGGTGGACCAAGATCTATTCCTAGTACGTTGCATTTATCAACATTAAATTCACCTCTTCCCACTAATATAACTCAATTACCATCTTCAGCATTTCAAAGCTCAATTTCGTTGTCCACTACCAATTTACCATCTGTTGTGACAAGCGACAATGTAGAACAAGTTGATGAACAGCTATACAGACATACTATAAGAGCCATTGAGATGACAGAAGTATCATTAGAAATTATTGATTGTGCGATCCTTGAAAATGATCGAATGGAAGAAAATGAAATCAAAGACCAGAATCTGAAAATAAAACCTAATTTTGAAGAGTTAAAAGAGGCATGTTTTGCTTTGAAAAATATTATTGAAAAAATCAATACCGCTCTTCCATATATAACTTCTGGCAATGTTGAAAAACTAATTAATCAAAACACAAACAAAGACGCCAATGATTATTTTAATTTTAGATCAAATGCAGCTTTGCAACAAAGACACAACGAAAGATACCGTAAAATATTTCAGGAGGAGATCAATAACTATGTTAAACAAACCATCAAAGTGATGTCATTATTTGCTCATTCAATGGACGATTTGCCTTCAAACAAAGACTTTGATTTGAAGGCTAATTTTTCAAATTTAACTCGAATTGCTAAAGATTTAATTTATGTTTTAGAAAAATCTTCATATGCTTCAAAATTTAATAAGTTCAGAGACCCTCTTACGGGACTACTGGGGCTACCAGGAATCTCGTCTTTTGCTAATGAAGAGTATTCTTTGACTCCTATTTCAGGTATAGTACCAGGAGGAGGTTTGCCCAATATAAATTCTCAACCACAAACAACAATTATTACCACTCCATTATTGGCGGCTTTGGGACCAGCAGCTCAAGCAGTGTTGCCGAACAATTCCATGTCGAATAGCTCGCTATCAAATAATCCATTACCAAGATCTGGAAATCAGTAGAACTGAGTTTTTAGCAATTACGATATTGGAAAGTTTATTCAATGAAAAGTAGATGAATACGAAATATTAATAACTTTACTTCAATCAATTTATATTATCCCTATGATTTATTTCTAGTATGCTCATTCATTTCTACTAAGTTATTTATTTACTTATCTATTAATTTTTTAATTTTTAATTTTTGTTTGAATTTAGTTATTATATATATAGATATTATTTATTTATTTATTTATTTATTTATTTTTTTTTGAATAACAACCTTCACTTCTTGATATATTTTTAGTTTTATTGTTGTTCAAAATTGTTTTATAGAAAAAAAAATAGAGTTCTTTGAATAAAGTGGTATTTTTATTGATTTATTTTCGCATTAGATCTTCAGTAAATGTTGAAATAAGTTTAAAAATACCATATATTAGATGTTGATTGTAAAAAATAAAACTAAATAAGACTTATTAAAAATTGATAGAAAAAATAAAGTAGATAATTCAGTTGAAAAATAGGTATAAAGTAAAAGGTAAAAAAAAATTGAAAAAAAAAAGGCAAGGCAAAATAAAATCTAAAAGAATGTAAATAAGGAATTTCAGGAGAAACTGGAAACAAAAATAGAAACAGAAAAATAAAAAAATGTTTGAAAACTACCCAGTAACAATTCATTGAACTGGTAAAATATCTAAAAATTATTTTAATTAGATATTTAAATTATCATCATCATCGTCAGGACCAAAAGCAGAAGATTTGTTCTTGATTGAAATTTCATTCAAGTTTTTAATTTCAGGTAGTAAAGAAGATAATAAATTTGTGGCTTGCTGATGGTAAATTAATTGGGCATTGACTAATTCTATAAGTTCATTTAAGGGTTGAGAATTCTCAATAACAGATTTCATAATTGATACAGCATCTTCAGTGGCAGAAGCAAATTCATCCTCAAGAGTCTCCATTTGACTTCTTAAACTTTGTTCTTTTGCAGGATTTTTACAATTTTTTAAAGAAGATCTTGCAGAATCATAGCTTAATCTTTTTTGTTCAACCAAAATTCTTGCTCTTTGACAATTCTTTAAAGAAGTCTTTAAGGTCTTTTGCATTGGTAGATTAAAACGGGATCTGATCAAATTATCTTGAGTTAATCTGGCTTCACCAATTTTTAATTCAGTAGAACCGAATTTATTAAGGGCATCAATGAGTGATAAATTAAATGTGGAATTATTAGCAGAGGTATTTTTTTGCAAATCTTGGGAGCCAGTAATAGCAGCTCTACCTAAAGCATGATTCAAAGTTTTTGGAGGAGCTTTGTTTTGATTGGAATTTCCACCAATTAAAACCGATTCCATTTCTTGAACAGAGGTGACTTTTGATAAATCTCTTACTTTTTCGACCACATTATTAGACAAATCAATAAAATTCTCTTTCAAATTAGGAGGATAATCATAATTTTCATTTTCGTATATCATGGTGATATTTAACAACTTGTTGTAGATCAATTTTATTGAATCAATTTTCTTCTCCAAATCAACGTAGTCTTGTGGTAATTGAGATACATCGTTAACATTACCCAACTTTTCCTCAATTAATCTCTGAGTTCTCTTAACAGATGGTATAACTTGAGAACCAAAACCTTGTACCTGGGTACCAATCCCTTGGATTGACCTGCTAATAGAATCAAAGCTGAAAGGGCTGTTGTTCATTTTAAAGAAAACTTTTAAAGAAGATCAAAACTAAGAGAGGCGAATTGGATGTATTATTTTATCAATTGAAAGAAAATAAAAGGAAACGATTGATACAACAGCCAGAATTAACACGAGATGCTTAGCTGTGCTAAGATTGTAATTCTAATCATTCTCAGAAGACAAGGCAAAAACAAAACACGTGCTAGGATGAGAGTGTCGTGACCCAAAGTTTTCGTGAAGATAATAACCTCCGACAAATTGCCTAATTGAGTTATACTCCTAATTAGGCAATTCTATTATCGTCGCGATAAATGAATAAACAGATAAATAACTCTTTATATAGTTTACATGTTGTAGCGAATCCATGATATTGTATCAAGGAAACAAACAAAGGAATCGAGGGGCATCCCTCTTTTATAGGGAGGGGCTGGGTTAGAGCCCTAGGTGTCACGAGAACAGACCGATGACATGTGCCAGGCCGTCTGTTGCAACCGAATCCAAAAGATCCGGGCTCCTTACTACACTAGATCCACAGGGGAGGCACCTGCATGTATCCAGTAATAAGGAAGGCCGTTTCGAAGTGACCGGATATCACATCTCGGTTGCTTAACACTAGTTATGACATGCGACCGTTCTGACCTCGTGACCTTTTGGATTTAACCAAGGTCCGTATAAACGGCTGTTGTAGATTAATCTTCTTTCTTTTCTATTTTGACACACTTTATCAAGGATTCGTTCGAACAAATCAGTGCACCTTACAACAAAAACAATTTTATTTAGACAATAGAAATTTAATGCTGTAAATTTCACATCTATGTTTTTGTTCTTTTAATAAATAATTACGACTTTTTTCACCATGGAAATGCTTCAACTTGAAATGGATCGGTATTTCGCAGATGGGATGTGCATTCAACTCTGAAAGATTGTAATTGAAAAATTCAAATCTCTAAGACTAGTGTAAAAGGTTTATTAATGTCTAAAAAATTCAATTAAAAAATAAATCTATAGATACAGAAACCAATAATATAATGCTCAAAATAGAATTTGTATTTGCCAAATGAATAAAAGTTACTTAAAATATTTCTTCACGTAGATAAAATACAATAACCGTATATATTATTATTTTGGCAATATCAAATTGCTAAATTATAAAAGGAAAAATACCGAACTGACATGACACAATTTAAAAGGCAGGAGGTCATCCTTAATTAGTTTATATTATTTTATCGCTTGCAGCGATTATGATTATACTAGTATATAGATCGTAAATCAAATCCAATCGCAGATTTTATTCTTTGCGTAGAATGAGTGGATGTGGAAAACATATTAGTAACTGAAGTACATATTATATCTGTTAAGCAAATTTCTAGAAAAAATAATATTCTTGATTAGTTTGATCACTTGAATATTAATTATGTGTATGAATATTTTAAAACATTTAAATTTAAATATCAAAATTACAACGGTCGAATTTTCAGAAGTCGGAAAATATCGATAAATAATAAGTCTAATTCATAACTCAAGAATGATATATAATTGATTGGTTTGTATTAAGATTCAGAGGATCCGAAACTGCGACACCAATTATCAAATTTTTTCAAGTTTTCAGAAGAAACACTTGGTCGAATATACTTTAAGCTTGTTTTAAAATCATTAAGATTAATAGCTCGAATCTCCTTTTTAGTAGTAATAAGCAATTTATCTCCCAACTCTCTTAATGGGTTTAACGCAGCATCTTTGGTTAACGAAGTGATGTCACTTCCCGAAAAACCATCAGTTAAGTTGACTAAAACATCAAATTCATCTGAGGATAAATTGTTAGATTGATCTGACAAAAGTTTAATGAATTGAGATCTTCTAGTTTGTGGTTCTGGTAAAGGGATGTATTGTCTTCTTGCAAATCTACGTCTTGCAGCCTCATCGATTACCCAAGGAATATTCGTGGCAGCCAACACTAATACTCTTTGTAAGTCATTTCCGCGATCCTTTCCAGCTGCAGCATGAGTCAAGTTGCTCCATTGTATCAAAAATTCATTTTTGATTCTTCTTGAGGATTCATGTTCACCTTCTTGATTTCTTGTTCCCAATAATGAATCAATTTCATCTATAAAAATGATTGAGGGAGCCAAACGTTTTGCTAAAATAAATAATGTTTTGACTAGTTTTTCACTTTCGCCTAAGTATTTTGAGGTTAAAGAAGAAGCTGTGATTGAGAAAAAGGTTGACTTTGATTCGGTAGCAACAGCTCTGGCAAGCATAGTTTTTCCTGTTCCTGGAGGACCAAATAGCAACATTCCTCTGGCAGGTTCTCTTAGACCAGAAAATAAATCGGGCCTTAAAAAAGGATAGACAACAGTTTCCTTTAGGGAATTTTTGGCATTTTCTAAACCACTAATGTCATCCCAGTTGACATGATCGCCATGAACGACAATTTCCTGTAGTATTTGCTTAGCCAAAGCCTTATCAATACCCTTTGTAGAATTGATAATGTTGTTAAAATTGGTCTCTTGATCTTCAAAATCCTCAAAAAGTAAAGATTTGGAAGGCATTAGAGAATTGTGGGTATAATCAGTTGTCTCATGATTTGAGTCAAAGGAATCATCATATATCAGTGAAAAGTTGTCAAATAAATTTGATTTTGAATCAAGAGGTTTTCTGGATGGTAAATGTGTTTTTCTGCTATCTAGAATATTTGAGTTGTTATTATACAGTTGTTTGGAAATGGAGGTTTCATGCTTTTCTTTGGTTTTAGAATGGGATAATTCATTTGAATTATCAATTGAGGGGTCTAGTCTCCGATGTTGATGAATTGAAGGGGGCAGTGAAGAGCATTTCATTTTTATATCCAGAATATTTGTGAAATCATTGGCTTTAAAGCTCAGAGGAGCAATTATACTTATGCTTGTTTTATTATTTGAAGATAAATTTGAGATATTCACTGGATTATTTGAGCTATTTAGTGAATCATTTGAGTTCAAGTCAATTAAATCAAAATTACTTTGATGAGAAAAATTGTTTTGGATTGTGTGAGTGTTTTGATTGTTGATGGAATATTCAGAATCGTTCCATATTTTAGTAGCGGCGGTTAGTGATATATCAGGAGTACTGGAGTAATTCTGCTTCAAAGAGCTGTTCGTATTATTTTTGATATTATTCAGTAAATCAGAACTCGGAGGAGAGTTGCTAGAGAGTTGCTTAAGAGAGGTTACAGATTTTGAATAGGCTTTAATGAAAGAAGCCTTTGATGGAGATTTCGAAGAAGATTTCGAAGAGCGAAGAGTTTTCAACATAGACTTTGGTCTAAGTGGAGAGGAACTGGAGCTTGAATTATTCATTTTATTGGAGTTGTGCTTATTAGTATTGTGGTCCTGAGCGAAGTTGCTATTATTGGAATTGCTTGTAACTGAAGTGTAGTTGAAGGTGGTATTGTTGTCGAGCAGCAAAATTGAATGGATCTTATCATTTAAGGTGACCAAGTTGTAATAAAGAGAAGCTTCCTCTGAAGAAAAGGACTGGGAGTCGAAACTGGCGTCAATCAAGTCCAAGTTATATAGAATGTTAGTGTGCAAGGCCTTCAACGAGCAGTAATCAAAGTCACCACGACGAGAACAGAGGCTGTGGTGGGGAGATTTGGCGATGTTGTATCTGGACACTGAATCATTGAGGAGCAACCTGAGAGAGGCCAAAGGTTCCTTTTCTTTCTTGGTGATTATATTGGTGAGCATCAGATCAGTTGAAGACCAGAGAACAGTGTCCTCACAACACACAGATCACTCATCCAACGGCCCTCGCGCCGCGAAATAGCGGGAGCACTTCTTGTGTCTGAACCGCGGACCGGGTAACGCTGCGGACATTTCTGGGGATCGGGCGGCGTTTTTTCTGATTGTGTTTCTTCGACTTCCTGTACTTCTTGTGCTCCTTGTGCTTCTTGAGATCCTTTTATCCTCTGCTTTGTTCCTTATCTGCCTGCCATGTCGTTGTTCAATCCCCTTCCTGTCACCAGAAGACCCACCAAGCAGGAGATCCAGCATTTGTACCATCTGTTTTTGAAGACGTCCAAGGCCTTCTCTAACTACAATTTCAGAGAGTACTTTTTGAGAAAGGCCAAACATGATTTCGAGCAGAGAAACAAGCTTACAGAAGACAAAGATATCATCAACTCATATAACCAAGCTTTGAAAGACTACGCTGTTCTTAAAAGGCAATCCGCCATTTCCCAAATGTACAAGTTTGACCAGAATGTTGTTGAAGCCAACCCATTGTTCCACCATCACCAGATCAAAGACGACTGATGATCCTGCATTTGTTCTTTTTTAAAAGAGATATGATTTTCTGTTATTAATATATAAATTCAATAAATTCATCCAATTATTTTTTATCACTTCCTCAACTTCTAATCTCATCGCTTTTCTATAATTTTTTTCAACCTTAATCAGATCTGGTCACGTTTTACTGGATTCTACTTTGGGCAGCAGATATAATCAGTGTCGTGTGTTTTTATTTCAAATCAAGAAATACAATTCTTTCATTTTCACCACAAAAATGGTTAATTATAATGATTATTACAACGTTCAAACACCCATCCAGGACACTAATGAATCGAGTTTTTTGGCTTCTTTATTGACTGGATTCGTATCTTATTCCATTGTTTTTCTTAATTATATTCTGGTTTCTCTCTACAATTTAGCGATTTTTTTGCACACAAGTTATCCATTTGCCTCTCGACTATTATTTGTTTCACTCATTGTTTACATTGTTTTTTGTCTATTTAAAACTTCAATCAGATTCTTTATCAATTCGTTGCTCAAATTGATAAAGTTTTTTGTATTTCTTGTAGTTTTATTAATTGGTTGCTGGATTTATTTACGTGGCACTCAGCAATTTATCTCTGATGTCACTGTCATTTACAACTTGTTATTTAACATTTATAATTTCAAAAATTCATATGACATGAACGATAATCATAACAACTACAACAATTATAATACTTATCAATATCATAAAAATGGAAATTATAATAGTGATGTCATTGCAAACAATCAGTTTTTAAATGATCTTTTTTTCAAAGTAGTGAAAAATATCAATTATGACTCCTTTTTGATTTATTTCAATTATTTAGTCAATTATTTAAATTCAAATAATATTGATTTAGCAAATTTCAATATAAATTATAGCGTTGATGATATTAATTGGCTTTTAAATTATCTATCCAATGCTAATGCTAACGCTAATGCTAATGCTAATGCTAATCATAATCATAATCAAAACTGATTATTTGGTTAAATTTATTGAATTTCAAAAATTATTCATTATTTCTCTTGGTTTTTTTCGAGATTTACAATCATTTCTATCATTTGGTCTCTTCCTGGTTTGTAAAATAATACTATAGATATTATTGTGTTTTTCCGTAAATAAATCTTTAAATAATTCTAACATTAATATAAAAGCAAAAAAAAAAAAAAAGGAAGACATTGTTTAAAATGAAATAACAAAACGAAAATAAAATAAAATAAAATGGTTGAAAAAAAATAATAAAAAGACAAATTCACCCATTGCTTTTAAGAAATGAATAAAACCAAAACAAAATTCAGCATAATTTGTATTTAACAATAGCAGTGTGACAAATTTTTAGATGTTGAACTAGAAAAACAGGTTAATAATTATAAGAATAATAACACTAGGGATGAAAATTATAATAATATATAAACATAAAGGTATGGAGGAGGAAGAAAAAATTATTGGTAACAAATGGCAAAATAAAAATGAAAACAAATAATACATAAAAAGTAAATAAATTAATAAGTAAATAAGTAAATAAATAAATAAATAAATAAATAAATAAATAAATAAATAAATAAATAAATAAATAAATAAATAAATAAAGATAAAATAAAGATAAAATCCAATAAAAATTTTTGAAAAATGTTTGAAATGATAGAAACCTTAAACTTTTAGATAAAAAAAAACCAACCCAATCAATTGGATATTCATTCATTATAAATTATCAGGATTTGCAACTTTTAATCTTGGTCTTGTATAGTCATCAGGGGGAAGACTTCCTATTGATACCCTACTACTACGATCATCAGCGGATAGATTATTTGGATTTCCAACAAAACCTGAGTTTGATCTTGGGTCTAAGAAGGGATTTGCTAGATGACTATCATTGGTATTAATGTTGCTGATATTTTCATTGTTATTGATAGGATTGTTTGTAGTGTTGAAACTATCAAGGGAATTAAGGGCAGTTGAATTGTTATTTGTGTGGACATTGTTGTCGAGAGTTCTGTCGATGATGCTGTTATTTAGACTATTGTTGTTTGCATTACCGTAGTTTGAAGGAGGGGGCATGATCATTCCATCGTCATCATCAGTTCCTAGGCGGTTATTTTCATTTCTTTTCATTGTTGCAATGATATTAGCATCAGCATCCAACAAGTCTCTGTCTTTTTGTCTTTGTCTTCTAATGAAATAAATGGCGCATAGTAGAGCAGCAAGAGCCACCACACCACCACAAATGCCACCAACTATTGGAGCTATTAGTTTTGATTTTGAATTGCTGCTGTCATCGTCGTCAGAAACAGTTGTGACAACCGAAGTTGTGACAGCGGTTTTTGAGTATGTGACATAGACTACTTGAGTTCCACCAGCGGTGGTTAGCTGGGTGGTTAAATAGACAAAAGTTGACTGGGATTCGGTAATCAGAGGATCATCTTGAGTTTTCGTGCTTGAGTTGGAGTCATCATCATCATCATCAGAGGTGTCTTCCTCCTTTGTGGTTGTTTCTGTTGATTTAGAGGTAGTTGTTGTGGATCTTGAAGTTGTTGATGTTATGGTGGAGGTATCAGAAGAATCAACGGCGGATAGGTCGCCAAAGATTTCATAGGAAGTTTTACCACCACAAGTTAAGGTGCCATAACCTGTACAGGAACTGGTACAGGTGCCATCAGCATCACCAGATGGAGCTTCATCACCACAAAGACATTTGTTTCCATTCGTTAAAGCAAAGAACGGATAGTCCAGACATTGGCCCTGACAATAACCAGAAGTCTGAAAAGTGTAGGTGCCTTTAGATACGTAGCCATCAGGTAGAGAGGAGTAGCAGCCTAGATCTTCATAGGTGTAAGCAGAAGCAAAAGGAGTGAATAGAGAGAGAGATAAAGTTAATAACGTTATTGAAAGAGAGAGAAAAAAATCATCAAAGGGCAGGCATGAATGGAGCATTATCTAGGAGATTGAAAAGATTGAAAAGATTGTGAGAATTGTGAGAATTGTGAGAATTGTAGATAAATGCAAAATTAACAGCCAGTATAAATGGGCCAAATAAAAAAGGTAGAAAAGTAATGTAAGTGTGGATAGCGATAAATATGGATAGTAAGAAATTAAGACACTGAGATGCTTATAGTATAAAGACCATTATTGGATTAAACGAGAGATAGCACAAGAGATAAAGTGGAAGTGAAAGGCAGATAATAACAGGGTTTAAAGATAGCGATGGGAGGGATGAAATAACAAAGCAGAATGAGAGATGATTTTAGTAGATATTAAAAGACGAACAATAAAAAGTAAAATTAATATTCAATAATCGCAACAATAAGACGAATCTGGTAAAGTGTTTAGAAAGATGTGGAAATGAAAAGTTGAAACACACAGAGAGTGTCAAAGTGTAAGAGGAAGATATTTGGACGAAAAACAGCATGGTCGGCAGCTCAAGCCACGCGGCTGTGGCGACGCAGCAGCAGATCCCACACGCCATGGAAGTTGCTCAGCTCTCTCTGCGTGCATCAGCACCGCCACAGCCACACCCTTGGCGGCGGTGTCGGTGCTGCTTCTGCTGCGTGTGCTGCGTGTGCTGCTCGCGCTCGGGACGCGTCGGAGGTCGCTGCTCTTCTCGAACACGCGGGCTATTTTTAGCAGACAGGGCTATATTGCTTGGCCGCTGCTTCGCTGCAGTAGCGCATAGGCGCTGTACAGGCATTGCGGTGCTGCTGCAGTGCTGCTGCGGTGTTGCGTCTATATGCTTCTTCTACTCCAGGAAGTTCCTTTGCAACTCTTGGAGCATGATCTTCTCGTTGGGATCTAGAATCTCCTCACCAGCCCTATTGTAGCGCTTTTTCTTTTCATAGCGACAGTGATCCACACGAATGACCTGTCCTAACACCCTGATTCCGTTGAAGTTGTCCACCGCCAAAATGCAGCTGTTGAACTCCTCGTACTCCAAGTAGCAAATGCCCTTAGATTTGCCAGTTTGAGAGTCCCGAATTAGTTTGATGTAGATCGGTACTCCATATTGTGAGAAAACCGCCAAAATGTCTCCTTCAGTCAACTCAAAGGGCAATGACCCAATGAAAATGTAGTTGCTGTCTCGATATTCATAGTGCCATGAGGCTTCATATGACACTCCATTCTTCAACTCTATCTCGTTTATCCGCTCAATCTCTCTGACATTACTGCCCAAGCGGTGTTAGTAGCTATTTCTCCTGGCTGCTAGCCCAAAAGACTCTTTCCATTGGGGGCTGCTGCACTTACTTCATGGTTTCCTATTGCTTTTTCTGATTCTGCTGATTGCTCTAATTGTGCTGCTTTTGCTTCTGCTGCTTCTGCTTCTGCTTCTTTCTCTGAGGGGCTTCTTCCCTGTCGCCTGAGAAAATTTCATCTCCTTCCTGGTCCTCCTGGCCCCGTGATCTTATGGTCTAGACCCGGCCATGGCTTTTGCGGTGTTTGTGAGCGCCTTTGGAAGATCTGCTTTTGCTCACTTTGGCCAGGTTCTTATATTCTTCTGTGAGCCTCTCCAAATGTTCTGGAAATGACTCTAGATCCAGAGAATGAATAACGAGAATAACAGTATTTAGAGGATAACAAAAATACTCAGAATTGCAAAACAAAAACCGTAATTGTTAGTAATTGTTGATAGTTATTGTTGTTGATCACTCTTTCAAATATACTCGTAGCAAACACACTAACCATTTTCCAGATATTGTTATTTAAACCACATAGTTTTTAATTCTGCTTTTTTGTATTTTCAATCTTCTAAACAAATTTAGTCATTAATTTTCACCTTTTTGAAATCACCGTTTCGAATACATTTTTCAATTTTCAAGTTTCTAGCTTCAGATATTCTTTTTATCTCTTGTAGCCCATTTCATCAAAAATTATAGTGCCTGATACTGCCCACCAACTGCTCATATTTCTGTGTTTTTATTGTCCATCAAAATGTCTTCACTAAATTCTCACCAAATCTCCAGAAAAAATAGATTGGACGCTTTAAGATCAAAAAAACGTAAAATCGCTTCTATCGTTGACCCCAATGAACCAAAAATTCAATCCCCAACCGCTCAATTATCTAATGATAATGATAATGATGAAACCATATTGAATGAAGATGATAATTCGCCTACTCAACCAAACACAAAAAAAATTAACCTAGTCTCAAGAAACTTCAATCAATCTCTGAAAAATCCTACAAACGCATTTTCAAACATCTATAAATTAAACGAAAACGAAACTGTCGAATTCCTATCAACTAAAATTCAAAATCAAATACTCCACAAATTGTCAATTTCAATTCACAACTCCAATACTTCCAATACTTCCAATACTTCCAATACCTCCAGTATCATCAAAAAAAAAAATAAAAGAAACTTGGATTTGAAATTAGACTTAAAACCCCAATTCGACCAATTGGAATTGCAAACAAACTTAGCTTTATCAAATATCCTCAAAAATAAATATAAAACCGATTCCTAATTTCTAATTTCTTTTCTATTTTTTTATCTTCTTTTCAACTGCTCATTTTTATTCTTTAATTCTTCATTCATCATATCCTTATATCCTTATATCCTTATATCTGTAATTGTAATTATATATAATTGTAATCAAAATTCTAATCAAAATTCTAATCAAAATCGAAATCCTAATCATAACCTTCTTCTATTTCTTTTCTCGTTTTTTTTTTCTTATCTTCTCCAAAAACCTCACTTAACCTGCTTGATCCAAACTTAACATCCTCAAAACACTTCTCTCCATCCCCAACTTCAATCCTCTATCTTATCACATATACCTTATAATCACATCACACCTTATCATGTCCTTATATAATAACCAAGATATTATAGATTCGCCACTTGAAGATACTTTGGCTGCTTTACTGGACTGTGTCAAATCACTCTCAAACTGTGCTACTTATGTATGTATCTCCTAATAAAAAAATAAAAAAATAAAATAAAAAAATAAAAAAAAAAAATAAAAAAATAAAAAAATAAAAAAAAAAAAAATAAAAAAACATTTCTGCTAACTTTCTAATGAACTCCTTCTTTAAAGGCTGAATCTTCTTCCAATCAATTAGACAAGTTATTGCAACCTATTCCAAATTACTCTAATAATTCCTCGTCCAATTCTCCAACAATAGCCAAAAATGAATTTGAAAGATTATCAAATATCCTAAAATACCAAAAAGTATATAAATTATATCCAGTCTCCCTCGTAAATAACCAAATCAAAAAATACAAAAATTTTAAGAATAACGAAATAATACTAATAATCGAAAGATTAAATAACCATTTGGATATTAAATTCGAAAAAAGATTAAACTTAATTAACCAAATCGAATTATTAGAAAAAAATTTAAAAAAACTACAAGATTATAACAACAATTTAAAAACTGCTTCAAATTCAAATAATCAATCCACTCCTAATCAAAACACAAATGCCAAAAATGAAAAAATTGAATCTGATTTAGACATGAAAATCCCCTTAAAAGTTTCCATCACAAATCCTCCTTCAGAGCAATTTTCAAATGACGAAAATCCCAATCAACCACTTGTTTATGACAAATGGCTTGATTTGAGAGGCACTCAAGAACAAATTGATAAAATAAGAAAATTAAGAATCGAAAAGGATAAACTAAATTTCCAATTGAACTCTTTATCCTCCAATATTTATTGATTATAAAATACACACTAGCAATTTATAAAAACTAATAAACACCAATATTTTCAGCCAATTATCCAACGCATGCCAGAAAATCTAGATCAAATAATCGTGTATTTAAACTATAGTATTTGAATAATAAACAAAGAAAACAGAAATATTAAATCTTGAAAGTAAAAGAAAGGAAAAAACCGGATAGATATAACTAAAACAAACAAAGCGATATTAAAAAAAAAATATCAACCAAAAAAATTAAAAAAAACATAAAAAGAATAAAAAAGAATAAAAAAGAATAAGAAAAAGCACTTCCTTGAAAATAGAAAATTTACTTCAATTGAAATTATATTAACGACTGAGTTTTTTTGTTTTTTTCTCTAGCTTGGTCTTTTAATTTTTGTATATTGTCAATTTTTTGAACTTGTTATTTTATCTCTTAAAAACTGCCTCTTAATATCTGCGAAGTATTTCTTTTAAGCGTATCGTTAACTGAACAAATGTTTAGTTCATTTTCATGGCTATCATTTTGGAAGGTATTAATATTGTCAAAATTAGTAGCAATATTGTTATGACTATTGTAATTGTCGGTAATATCGTTCACTACGTCTTCGAAATTTTCGTAATCATTATTAAACTCGTCATCTTCCTCATTTTCGTCTCCACTACTAACAGAAAATTTTGCTTGAGAACCAGTACCTAAAAGTGTTTCCTTTAAACTAGGCTGTTCTTCTTTCAATGCCAAGGTATCTAAATGGGACATTCTTCTTATAAAAGAAGCTTTAGTATTAAGTTCTTCAATGTAGGAATTGTTCCTTTTGGGCCTGCTAATAAAAGCATTCGATATGGTGGGTGAAACATGATGGGTGATGTATGAATTAGATCTTGATCTAGAGCCTATTGATTGGTAGGATTTAATTGAAGATGGCGATGATGGAGAGTTTGCACCCAGTTTGCTATTTGGAGAGGCGCTAGGGTTGTTTAGTGCAATATTGCTCACAATGTTAGGATTTTCATAGAAAGCTGAGTTATTTTTTGTATTGTTGTTATTACTATTAGGATAATTTAGGTGAGTTAGTGGAGTATTTGAAATTGAGCTTTTTGGGGGAGGTTGGAGTAAAGAAATGGTTTCATTAGCTGAACCATTTTCCAGAGCTGAAGATAGATTGTGATTATGTAAAGAATGAATATTTCTCTTTGTGTTGCTTGAGAGGGAAATAGGGGAGGTTAGTGGACTGCTATTATTGTTTGAAATGTAGTTGTAGTTATTAGAAGCCGAAGAGTTTAAGAAAGAGGATTGCAAAGCCATGGAGATGGAAGGTCGTCTTGAGGAATGAATGCTAGCAGAAGATGGGAAAAGAGAAGCAGAAGCAGAAGTTGGGGAGGTATTGTGAGAATTGTGTGGATTTGAACTATAGTGATTAAAATTGAGGAAATGGTCAGGAGCAGAAACAGGAGTAAAGGAGAAATAATCATTTCTGTTTTTTGAGGGCAAGGGAGTTTGATCGTTTGATACCATGTCAGCGTATGAATAGAAGGATAATTGTTGTTTATCGTTATCTTTGGGTTTGTCCTTTTCTTTTTCAAAGTTAGGATTATTGTTGTACTGTGAGCCTTGATGGTTTAATTTTGTGAAATAAGTAAAAGAGCTTGTTCTGTGAAAGGTTTGGCTTGGTGAGCGATGAGGAGGAGGGAAATAGAAGCTGTTTCCTCTTTTCATGTTGGAGGGTTTTGAGTTTTTGATTGTGGAATTTAATACAGTTGAGGGTCTTCTGTTTGAAGATATTATTTCTACTTTATCCAAATCCATATTTTCGTCAGTTAATATCGAAGTGGTAGCATCCAAGACAGGGGGGATGAAATCTTCGGCAGTATGTTGGTAAGAAGTCAAGTCCAAGACTGAATGGTGATTTTTCTGGGAAGATATATTGGGATTTGTTGTGTTTGAGGTATAATTTGAGCCGAAAGAATTGACATTTGTATTGTTATTGTCATTGTTATTGTTATCGTTGTCTGTAGTATTAGTAGGAGAGTTGTTTTTTGAGTTGAAAGCAATGCTATTATTGTAGTTGGAGGATTGAGAAACAGCTTTTGCTAGGAGAGGTAAATCGTTTTCTTTTTGGACATTTCTTTCAAAGATTAAAGAGGAATCAAAGGATTGATCAGTTGCAGTGTTTGGGTTGAAAAAATGAGAGTTGTTAAGGTCAGAAAATAAGTATGAGTTTCTAGCAGAGCTTGTTTTGATTGAGTTTGTTCTGCATTTTCTTATATTAGTAGATACAGGGGATTTTTTGAAATTTTGAGGGAGGAAGATATTGTTGTTAGGGTTGGGAATGTGATTGGGAGAAGTGTTGATTGAATGGTTTGAGGAGATGCTACTTATTCTCTTTGCAGGGGAGAAGGATATAATGTTGTTTGAAAAGGAATCGTTTGAGATGGAGCTTTGGTCGCTTTTGATACTTGTTATGTCGTCGTGGTTCATGTTGATGTTTTTTTCATTTGAGAGGTTGTTGTGTGTATTTACAGATAATTTCGAGGTTAAAGAGGAAACGTTTTTTCTGTGGTGGGTATGGTTATGAGTATGAGGATTAAGAGTGTTGTTATGGTTGAAATTGGGGTTAAGATTGGGATTGTAAGAATGATTGTGATTATGATTGTGATTGTGACTGTGACTGTGACTGTGACTGTGAGTATTGTTGTGAGAGCTGTTGTTTGAAGTTGTTCTTTGGAGAGAAGTGGAGCTGTTGTTTCTGAGAGAAGTATTTTGAATAGGAGAAATGTTATTGTTTGTGTTATTAAAGTTGAATATATTTAATCTTGTTTTATTGGGACTCAAGGAATTTGAGAGAATTGAGGAGGTCATTTTTGCTGGTAGAATAAAAGTGAAAATAATAGAAACGATAGAAATAGTAGAAAGAAGAAAAAGATAAAAAGATAAAAAGATAAAAAGATAAAAAGATAAAACCAAAAGGAGAGATAAGAGAAGAAGAAAGTTTTTTCAATATCGTATAATGAAAAGTTGGAAGAGGAAGCAGAGGTTCATAAGAAAGAAGATGGTAATGTGGGCCAATTGTGAGCGATAAAATCCATTCACAGGTAGGAAGCAGAGATGGAGAAAATACGAGATGTTGTGAGTATATATTTGTATATATATAAATATGTAAATATATAAGTATGTAGCAAAGGTTGAGTGAAATATTGGGTTGTGTGATTTTGCAGGATTCTTGAGATAGTAGGAATTGAAGAAAGCTGATTTGAAAATGACCATAAACAATTGCTTATATCCTTTTCATGCTTTTAGAAAAATAGCAGTGGTTTAGCTCAGTAAGAAAGAAGATTGGAGTTGGTGATCTGGGTTCTGTTTCGCTCATTTTCCAGCGCTTTAGCTTTTACGCTTCATGGCAACTCCCGTTAGAGTTCCTCTGCTGCAGCCCCGCACCAGTGGGAGGCCACTCTGGCGCACGGCAGATTGTCCTTGCTGCAATCACAACACTTTTGGTAGGGTAGCCGTCGATCGCCACTGCGCCGGATGCACACGCGCGCGGGTCGTAGATGGGTCGGCCGTTCTCTGCAGATAAACAGTGCCCTGGAGCCCTATCTGCATACCGTTTTTGCGTTTGCTGCACTATCTTATAAGCTATTAGCTCGAGATAGAGCACGCTTAATTCACGGTCGCCCACTCCAGCAGGGCCATTACTTAACGGGTGCACCGCCCACTGTTCCCGTCATTACATTGGTGCCGCTAGCGTAAGCAGATGGTTCTGGTACCAGCAGGGAGATGGTGCAGCACTGCGCTCTGGGACATCTGTAAGCAAATAGTTCAGGTTGTGTTGATTTTGTTTGTTTGAAAACGAAAAATAAATCACTTTATATTGCCATTTGTAATGGCGATCATTGGTGAAAAAAAGTGCGTTAACGGTGTAACTCCCATACCCCAATCGCTCCCTCACTTTTGGTGATAGGTTCAGCTGAGTGAAATTTGAAATGTGGTTGACCGTTTATCAATAATAAAAGTGAAAAACCTATCAGTGCAAATTGCGATCATTTGTTGAGCAACAATCAAATCACCATCTGTCTCTGGGTATGGGTATTGATTAAGAAATGCCCATTGAGTCCATATTTGAGTTTAGTCGTTGGAATACATTTACTTTTTCGTTCTTATCAAAATGATAAGAACCAAATTCAAATACTATCGTACAGCGAATCTATGTGCAATCCGGGAAGCATGAGAAAGAGAGTTTGGAAATGGCAAGTTAGCAAGCTGTGAACAACAGCAAAAGAGTGGCACTGGATGACCCAGAGGAGGATTGCACTTGGTCGGGGGTTGTGTGGTGCTGGGTTCAGGACAGGGTGCTTTCTCCGAACGTCTGCAGACTGGGATTGGTCCGCAAGCCTTATGAAACGCTCAAAAGCCGAAGCTGGCTCGTGATCGATGCGTTGAATTTCCGCTGCCCCATGCTAGTTTTGCACATTTGTGTCAGCCGTTACGTAATGCAGTGCGGACTCCCCAGCAATGGATCTTCGCGCAGCAGGGGCATCATCCCAGGCCCCAAAGAAAAAAGCAAAAGAAAGGCTCTGGAAGGAAAGCAGCAAAAGGAAACAAGCAATGAAGACCTCATCAAGTAACCACAAAACAAAAAGCACAGAGAAAGGTGCGTTTGTTTCAAAACCGTATTTTCTCGCGGGATGCTCTTCAAACGGTGTCCTTTGCTGGTATGCGGTTCAATTCTGTTTGCGGTCATCTCTCTCAATTTTTGCTTGATTTTTGCTCTTTTTTCCCTTTTTTCGCTCCCTTTTTTTTTGTCTTTTTTCACTCTTTCTTTGATGAAACGTCACCTCTTATCTATTCTAAACAATTGAAACGGTTGTTGCATTCTCTCCTCAATAATTTATCACTTTCCCTTTATTTGTTTATCCCATTTCCATACTTATTAAATAATATATATTATTACTCCGTTTTATTATTTCTTTTAAGTTTATCTTCTTCAAATTTAAGTTACATTGAATTATTCCTGATTACTTGACTTGATATCACTGCATTATTTTATGGACATTATGATCCTCTTTTTTGAAAATTACATGTCTCTAAAACTTAATTGATACCATTATTATTATTATTATTATTATTATTATTATTATTATTATTTTGATGGAATTTCGCAGAAAAAAAGAAATAAAAAAATTAAATTTTAATTAAATTTTAATTAAATTTTAATTAATATATTATTTAATACATTAACTGTAATGAAGTTAATGATATATGATAAATGATAAATAGTAAATAGTAAATAGTAAATAGTAAATAATAAATAGGAAAAAAAAATATTAATAATTATTAGGAAATTACTTCAGACAAAAGTATAAAACAAAAAAATATTACGATACTTAAAAACTCAATAGGCTAAACAACTTCTAATCTTGTTCAATCCTTATCATACCTGGGCTTTTTCTCCATTTTCCACCCCTGCTCCATACTGATACTGGTATTGATATTGATGACTTTTCTTACTCTTATTTTTCTTATTCATCGCATCAAACATCAATTCCTCAAATACCTGTGCTTCCTCTTCTTCCAACTCAGATCTTTGCGCATTTTTAAACTCGCTACCAATTATAAGCAAAACTTTAGACCTCAATGTTCTTGTTTTGGAATCAACACTCTTGTCATTCAATACTTTATCGCAAACATCTCGTAATACCCCTTTGATTTCATACTTGCTTGAAACCCATGCTGTCGCAATAAATTTTCCTGTGATATTTCGTTCCATCTCAGCCTGAAGATATGGATCAATCTCACTATTCGAATTTGATAGTTTTTCTTGATTTTTAACCATTTCTTCCATCGCAGACTGCGCATCCATAGCAGTAGATAATATATTCCAAACTCCCTTGACTTGCGATCCCTTTTCCTTTGCACTGCTGAAAATCTTAGCCAACCCAAATGTCTTTTGCGCCTTTAAAAAACTAGACGCCTTTGAAATATAAATCTTCCCAATAGTATGCAACAATTCAATCCCAAAACTCTCCAATTTCATCGATTCAATCTCCAAATCCAACTTCTCTTTAAATGCTTTTTTCGATTTCTCATCCAATTTCGAATTCACTAAAGTATCCATCCTGTCAATCAACTTCTTACTTAGTTCCTCAACTCTTTTAGCTTTGGCTTCCTTTCTTTCCTTCTCCAACCTTATAAGCTCTTCTCGTTGCTCCTTCGTTAACTTAGGTCTCTTTCCCGCCCCTGTATTGGCTCCAGCTTCGGGCTTAATCACTTGTGTATCTGTCTTGTTGGGATTATTAAATTTACTGTTTCCAGTTTCATTGTTTTCATTAATATTAATTGTTTCCAACTTTGGTATATCTGTTGATGGATTAGTTGAATCAGTTTTAGTATTATCTGTCGTTGCCCCCGCCGCTGTTGTTGCTGCTGCTGTTGCTGCCGCTGCTGCTGCTGCATTTGGCTCTAAATTAGAATCGGAATTTGAATTGCTATTGTCATTGGCATTGTTAGGACTGGCTCCTCCACCATTTTCGTCCTTCTCCAAATCCGATAATATATCAGAACTCTTGGTTAAATCTTTCAATAATGACAACTCTCCTATCCAATCTAAAAACGCTTCACCACCAAACATTGTCTTAAAAAAATCGCCAGGATCTTCAAATCCTTCAACTGGAATCGCTTCGTCTTTACCAAATTGATCATACTTCTTTCTTAATTCTGGATCTTTCAAAACTTGATATGCTTCACCGACTTCTTGAAAGTTTTTGGCTGCATCTGGATCATCTGGATGCTTATCTGGATGGGTCAACATTGCCTTTTTCCTATAGGCTTTCTTGATCTGAACCTCATCAGCATCTGGCGAGATTCCCAAGACGTCATAATATTCAGTGTCTTTAACCATTTTGATTTATTTGTATAAAATTTTGCAATCTATTGTGTTTTTTCGAATTCGTCTTTGTCTGACTATCTCAACTAGATACGATACTACCAGCACGATTTTGTGAAAATATAAAACAGAAAAAAAGAGAAAAAAGAAATTTAGTTCAATCGCAAACTAAATCAATCCCGATTGTTTAATGAAATCAAAGTGAAGTGTCTACCAGTTATTCGCAAGATCAGTGACTTGAAGCGCACTAATTATTAACAGGTATTAAATAGCAGTTGATCTCTCTCTCCTATTTGGGGAAATTACATAACAATTCCAATTATAATCCATGAAAAGAAAAATGCAAAAAAGCTGAGCCACACCACTGGCTATGAAGATAAAACACCATCGCAATGGGTCTCAGCCGCTTTGGGATGTCTCTTTCCATCGCCTTTTTTTTCTTTAGAATCTTCCATGAAAAGTGTGTGAAATCTTGCTGGGGACTATTTTCTTTTTGTGCAAACCATATATCGCGTCGAAGTTCATCCCTGGGGCTGCTATTGGCTGATTGGCTGATGCCGGATTATGGTTACTGGCTCCAACAGCAGCTTTCTTTCTTTTTCTATTTCTCCCTGAAATCTGAAAAGAGTTTTGTTTGAAGACGTGATTTAGGAAAAACAGGTACCCGAACTCTACACTCCAAATCCTGCAACGAAATTGCTCGCTCAAAGTCTGGATCTTTCGTCTGTTTCTTTTACGTCTCACCCAAAAAAGCAAGAGGTTGCAAAGCAGCATACAACCATCTGATTAAAGTATCAGAAATACCATTACATAATCGAAGAGCAGCAAAATGTTTCAAAATAGCTAGGGAACTCTTTTATCTTGGGCTTTCAACTGCGAATTCAGTCGTTTCTTTTATGCCTTTTTTTTCTTTTCTTGAAACGTTTGGTGGATAAATTAACCAGTATATCGAGCTCATTAAACCTGAATATCACCAATGTATCACAATTCAATCGAGGTACTAATGATGAAAAAAAAAAATCACAATATAAAAATGAGAAGTAATTCTGCCATTTTCGATATTTGATATTTTGTTTTTTTTATTTGATATTTTTTTGACAGCCAAACTATTCTTTATAACCCCAACATTCATTTCAAAGCTGTTGATTAAGGTACACTCTTTTATACTAACAATAAATTTTTGAAACTAATTTTACTCATTTTTTCTATTTCCCTCCTTTCTATCTTATAACTGTCAGATTACTTCAAAACTTACTTTCCTTTATCTTTGGTATCTAAAAAATGTTGTTCAAAACAATCAGCGTCGCTTTGTTATTAGCTTCAATTGCTAACTGTCAGCCCGTTATTAAAACATTCAATGCCACCCACCCAACTGGTGCTAAATATTTATTTGACGAAGATGGTATAGTTGCCATTTTAGGTGAAGAAACTTTGGATGTCAATTCAACAGCCACAGCAGAGTCTTTCGGTGTTGAATCATCATTAGCTTTGACAAATGGTTCAACTTTAGTTTACCCATATCTAAATCAATCTTTATCAACATATCCAAACCAAACAAATTATTCTACCACGTTAGTCACTAGTACTGTTGGTTTATCCTCATCCAGTGATGAGTCAGCTAGTGTTATCAGTGGTTATGATGTAGGAGGTAACAAATTCGGAAATAGACGTTATACCACCTACCTTCCATATCAACGGTTTAGAACCACACAAACAAGTGAATCTGATGATGATTCCACAGCTTTAACAACATTAGTTTATACACCAACCTCCACATCAACTGCTACATCAATTGCTACTTCAGCCGCTACTTCAGCTGCTACATCTTCATCTAGCAGTAGTCAAAAATTCACTGGTAGAGCAACACACTATACCCCTTCAGCTGATCATTGTGGTACTTCATCTAGTTCTTCGGACTTTGTTGTCGCAATTGGCTACAACTTGTACATGTCCAACGACGTTACTAGTCGAGGAGTGTCTGAATATTGTGGAAAGACTCTCACTGCAACCTATAATGGCAAATCAGTCACTGCCAAAATTGTTGATTCATGTGCTTCCTGCAGTGATGAGCAAATAGATTTCAGTCCTGTTGCTTTCCAGCAATTGGCAGATCTTGATGTTGGTGTCTTGCAGGTCGAATGGAGCTTCGATTAAATAGTTAATCACTAAATAGAAACACCTAATACATACACTTTTTTATTTATTCTTCTGTCTAGATGAGGATACTTGTAATTGTGCGAAATAACTTGCAACAACAAACTGTGTAAGACAGAAAAAAGCAACATCCACACCACTGGTCTTGAGTTTCTTTAATTCAAAACTGAAGAACTGATCTGCTCAGTTTCCACTCCACCACCTATTTCTCCATGTAATAGTCCTTCATACACAGAAATATCGCATATTCCAGTCATGTCTGCGAGAGAAAGATTCCAGAAGTTGAGAGAGTTGAAGATCAAAAAAAACTACACGTTGATAGAGAACAAAAAAGAGCTTATCAAAGAGTATAAAAGAAACAGAATCACCAAAAACAACAAAACCAACAAAACCAAAAAAAGTAGCTCAAACCAAAACCATAATGGCCTAAATATTCTGAAATTAAAGGCCGAAAAGGAGCTAATTGAACTAAACTTATTTACTAATGAAAAGAACAAAAACGAGTACGAGAAGCGAAAACTGTTGAACTACTCCATCGAGGACCATGAAAACTGGACCTGTAACCAGAAACTCAAAGACGAAAACGCCTCTAACAACTTCAAATTGCAAAATTACAACCAGCTAGCCTTGCAGACGTACTTGAAGGATGTCAAGAAGATCTCTCTGGCAGACAGCAACAGCATCTCTGCTCTGCAAGGCGAGACAACGAGCGATCTGTTGGATGGCCTATCAAAGAACTTGATCAGTGAAGACCAGCGAAGAATGGACAGCAAGAGAAGGAAAGCAGAAAAGGAAAGCGACAACACTTTCTTCACTTACATTAATCGTAAGAACAAAGAGTTCAACCAGAAGTTAGCGAGAGATTATGCTCCATACACAAAGCAAACAAAGGACAACTTTGAAAGAGGAACTGCTCTCTGAGCTCGTCCATTGCTTTCATACCCCATAACCTATTCCTCACTGCTCGCCATTAGTATCATGAGTGCAACTGTAAGCTATATACTCAACAACGCTCTCTGCTCTCTGGCTTTACCACAGATCTGCTGTAGGAATATCGATTATTCGCTAACCATTGTATATGTTGGCCTTTGAAATTCCTCCCAGCATGTTGTTACTATTAAACTGCTCGTTATTTACCCTTTCTCCATCCTTCTGAATTTGACACATTGGAAATTTAAAAAATATTTCCTTGCTGTCTGCATTTTGACTGCTTTTTTTTTTCCTACTCATTTGGCTGTCAAATCTATCGTTAACTAACTGGTTGTTATTTACCAAGCACTAGCATATACGCTGCTGCTTTCTACTCACTACCTTCAATTTATATATATAATACGCTTTTCTATTAATTCATCAACCTTACCATTTTTTCAAGTCCTACATCACTTGCCCTAAGTGACTCCCATCAACATTACGCTTTTTGTTTAATCACACTTCTACATCAATCTATCATACCAACTCCTATAATATCACTTAGAAAATGACACTAGTAGATATCAACTCATTGGAGCCACTTGCTGACCCTCTAGAACAAGCTAAAAGAGCAGCAGCATATATGGCTGTTGATCAAAACGTCCCCAAGGATGCTAAATTTGTAGGTATTGGTTCAGGTTCCACTGTGGTCTATGCAGCTGAAAGAATTGGTCAACTCCCAAACAAAGATCAATTTATCTGTATCCCAACTAGTTTCCAATCAAAGCAACTAATCTTTGATAACGACTTGAAATTTGGTACTATCGATCAATATCTAAACGTTGACATTACCTTTGATGGTGCTGATGAAGTTGATTCTAGATTAAATTGTATCAAAGGTGGTGGTGCTTGTTTATTCCAAGAAAAGCTAGTGGCTTCATGTTCAAAAAAATTGGTAATCATTGCTGATTACAGAAAAAAATCTCCTCGATACTTAGCTGAAAACTGGAGAAAGGGTATACCGATTGAAGTTGTTCCTATTGCCTGGATTAAAGTAAAAAACGATTTGATTAATTTTGGTGCAAGAAGTGTTCAACTAAGACAAGGTGGTACTCAGAAAGCTGGCCCTGTTGTCACTGATAATGGTAATTTTATTATGGATGCTGATTTTGGTGTAATAGATGGTGATATCAAAGTACTAAATGATAAAATTAGAGGTTTGGTTGGTGTTGTTGAAACTGGCTTATTTGTCGATATGGTTGAAAAGGCTTATTTTGGAAATAAAGATGGTTCAGTGACTATTCTATTTGGTGAAAATGTTGAAGAAACTATTTAATGACATTATTCTTTTTCTTTTCACTTTTCCAATTCTTTCTATTTATCTGGTCAACTATTTTTGTTTTCTCATACATATTTATATTAATGATTATAACACTATAAACTTCCTAGTTATGCTGATTATTCTTTTGCAATTTTTTATTAATTTGTTAATTTGTTAATTTGTTAATTTGCTAGTTTCTTAACTTTTCTTTAATTTAAGTCATTCTCAAAGAATATTACCACAAAGCCATTGGTATATAAACCACACTTTCATTTAATTTGTAGCTCTAGTCATTATTTCTAACTCTCAATTTATTGTTCAGTTGTGTTACTTATCTTCATAGAACAATAGGAGATTTTGGCGCTAAAATACAAATTGTTCCTTTTATAAATTCTATCATTTATTTCAACTATATATACAACATAAATCTCATGATATCATATTCTATTACTTTACTACATATACCTTTATAATTGATATTACCTTCATCTGCAAAACTCTTGCATCAGAATGAATTATTTTTATAGTCTTACTTCTTTATACTGGTGAAAACTGATCTTAAAAAGAAACCTCAACAATTTCATCGTAACTTCATTTCGACTCTTGTTATTCTAATCAAATAAAATTATATTACAAATAATTATACTACTATTTAACTTAATTCAAAACCAGGTTATGAAATAATCCACAACAGTCTGTTTTTCTATTAGAACAGAAATTCATATTTATTACAATTCAAAAACAAATATTTATTGTTTAGACCATTAACATTATGATTGTTTTATTTAAAGATAAAACCCTATCTATTAAACATTTTTATCCAAAAAAAAAATTAAAAAAGAAATGAAATTGAATGCAATTTTAATTCAATGTTATTTAGCAGAAATGTTTCACTTGCTATATAATGTCCTCTTTCGAAGAAATTATATTCTTATGAATATTCAAAGGTTCAACTGTAGAAACTAGTCTTGGAAGTGCAAACATCTGAAAAGCGTGTCTATTTCCAGGTATTGAAGAGTTAGAGAAATCTCTATTATTGTGATTTGCTTTAGCCTGGTTATTTTGTGATCTCGAATCCAAAAATTCCACATTGCTAGAATTACTATTGACATAATATTTCATTTCATAAGGATAGTTATCAGCATCAAGAGACTGCACTAAACTCTGATTAATGTCAACATTAATCATTGGGAAAGAAGGGGTTAAACTCTTATTTGATAAGTTATCTAGACTATTTCTCAATTTTGCAGACTTTGAATAAATCGAATTGTTCTGGCTACTAACAATAATTGGCGCATTCTCTGGACGAGATATTGATATTTTTTCAGAAGCTTGACACAATTCAGCATTCGATTGTTCATAATCGTCCTCATCAGTGTCTTCATTATTTTGAAAATCATTATTGACCTCCAAAACAGGTCTTTCTTCATTCTTGTTTTCAACGATAGATCTATTTTCAAAATTTCTTTCATTATTAATCAAGCTTTGATCGTTGTTATTTTCAGTATCTTTTCCATATTCAGACTTTTCTTCGTGATTGCCTTGATTTAAGTCCAAAGAGCAAGGGTTTTCTTTAAGTCTTCTTTCATCAACGCAAAGAATTAACCATTGACAATGCCCAATTGGAGATTTAAATTTTGCAAATATAGTAGCTTTTAATTTTTTTAATTGAGTTTCCAATTTCCATGTATTAACCAACCACTCATTGACTTCTATTTTTGAAACTTTGATTGGGTTTTCTTCGATTTCATACCTCTCAGGTTGGATTTTTGGGGATTTCCTAATATGGGTATCATCAGTATTTATATTATGAGCTCCAATTGTACTGTTCAAAAATTCATCCACTGAATAAAGTTGATATGAATTTTGATTTGAATTAAGATGATGATATACACCATTCATGCTTTTAATATTACTACCATCATTATTTTTTCTTGAAGAATTTTCTAAATATAAAATACTTGGATCAAATTTTGAAAGATATTTCAAAGATATTAAAGAAACAAAGCTTTTAAAGGCAGAAAAGGGATTTTCTATGAGCTTATCAATGAAATGTTGTTCTTCGTTTCTGAAAATTGTTTGTGATGAGTAAATTTTGCAATTACATGAGACGACATTTTGAATCAAATTTTTGTAGTTTAATTCAGTTGTATAATTATTAGATTCAATATAATCAGAAGGAATGGAAAGAACCAAACCCATTTCCTTATGAGGTGATACAAAAGGTACTGGTGGGTATGGATTTAATGGAATATCATTAAGAAAACTTATTGATAGATCATTTTTAAAATTTGAATTGTCATAATCAATGTTTCGCACATATGAAAGGAAAATTCTTTGAAATGCTCTTCCTCGAATGTAGTATAATTGTCTATTTGAATGTATATCTTCAATTGGAGGACTACCATTGGGAATAAAATCAACTTGATCAGTATCAGAATTAGTAGGGTGATCATTCAAACTTTTGTCAGTAGTATTAGTATTAGTATTAGTATCAGCATTCGCATTAGTATCATTTTGAGTTGGTAATTCAAAAAATAATTGGGCAGCAGTGTAAAGTAATTCATTTAAATCATCGATATTTCCAATGCAATTTTTGTAACAAAATAATAAAATAATGTCTAGGTACTCTTGGATGATATATGGATAGTCATTACTTGGTAAACAGAAGGGTAAAATCTGATAAAAAGAAGTTTTCGGATAACCAGTTTCTTCTTCTTTTTTCACAAACTTTTTGTATGAAGACCAAGGAAATAAACCATTTGGTAAATTTGCCCAAATTAATTTTAGAGAATTTATGATGATTTTAATATTCTGATGTGATATGATAATATCCAATTCTTCGCCCTTCAAGGAACAGCCCTCGTATGGGAAAAGAGAACTTAAAAATTCTTTGGAGTCTTTCAATATTGAATCCTCTAATTGCGATAATGATGGAGTAAAGACATCAAAAGGGAGAATCCGATCTTCTTGTTTGATATTACTAGAATAAGATTGATCTGAATTTAAGTATTCTTTTAATTTTCTGGTTAAAGCATGAATAACCACTCTTGAAGTGTGATGATTAATACCATTTCTAATCAAGATGTTAAATGGTAATTTGTTATATAAAGATGTTTCAAACAAAACCGAATTGAAAATATGATACCTTGCATAGCATTTCATACGATCTCTATTAATATCTTGAATTAATTTAAAAAGAAGATTGTTATTATAGAAATCAAAACTTGAACAATCAGCAGAAGTAAGTGAGTCAGAATTGGCATGGCTACCAGTAGAAAAATTTGAGAAAATGGCATCAGAATAAATGTTAGAGACATTTGATGGCTGGTTCCTTGTATGGTTTTTAAGATGACCATTTGTATTTTCATTCATAGCATACCCATTAAAAGAGATTTGATGTGTAAGAGCAATATTTTTGGGCAAAGTATTTATTATTGAGTCGTTGTAGTATGGGGAAGAGATGTTATTGTTATTGTTATTATGTCCAAGACTGATGGGATAATTTACAAAGGTTCTGAAGGAGTTTTCCTTTTTGAAATTATTATTGGAATCATGAGAGATATTTTTCGGTACTGTATCTCGTTGAATTTGGAAATCCAATGGGTTCAATTGGGAATTAAGAGTTGGAGATGGATTTGAGATTGGTAAGTCTCTGTGAGATGATTTCGAGTTGTTTATTTTAAATATATTAACTAACATGGTAATCTAAAGTTCTTTTAAAAACTGTGTTATGTAGTTGAATTGAAATGGATACTCTCAAACAGAGAAAATATATTTGGAAAAGAGATGAACATATGGGTGTATTTATAAAAAAATAAAACCATTAGGATAAAGAAAAAGTAGAGATAGCAATTTCTGTTTCATTTGGAATTTGTGATGTCGGCAACCAGGATAAACTGATATATTATTAATTTCCTGACCGTAGGTTTCTATAATAAAATTAACAATCGGATTATATTTTTCTGAGAGAGAGTGAAGCTGATGAGTATCACAATGGTAAACAAGTTGAAACATAAATGGGTTGTTCTGGAGGTGAAACAGTTTCAATTTGGGTAAGCTGCATATCGAGGCAAGTACATGCGTATGCACGAAGTTCAATGTATCCACACCGCTGTGTCCCGTGACCTTTCAGTCTCAAATTTTCAGGCGCGTTTACTGATAACACCTTTTCCTTTTCCATTTCAGAGCTGGAAGAAGAAAGAGCAAGCAACTGAGTGGTCATATTGAAGACTCTGGGTATTTGTGAGAGGATTTGACATATTATATTGGTATTGGTAATGTCTTGGCTTGAGGGATTCATAGAAACATACAAAAATGACGTTTACGAGCGTTGGGCAACCCATAATTGGAAAATGGAGGGCTATCTTTTAGGTTGTCTATTGGTGTTTGTTGTCACTCATACGGTTGGTTATAAAATCAACGAGAGATATGTTAGCAACTGGGTTGATTATATGAAGGATTATTTGCTTAGGAGCCAATTTTTCAAGTTTGGGGTTTCCCCCAACAATGATAATAGGATTGTATCGTATATTAGAGACAATGACCAGTTATACACCACTTATTGCACTGGTAGAGTGAACATCAAAGGATTTATCATTAGATTGAGATTAAAGGCTAGACAAAATTTTATTCTTTATATTGTGCAACAGGTTTTCTCGTTTTTCTTTGAAAGCTTGAAACCTGATGAAGACGCAGTTGAGATCAACGGTACATTTCATGACAATATTTCAGTAAACAGTTTTATTTTTGCTATTGTTAATAAAAACAAAATGAACGAAAGAAGAAATGAAAACTATAGTTTGTCCTTAACTAGGACAATTGATTCTCCCAAATTACCAAATGAGTTTGTGTTTATGTCTGAATCAGCAGAGATTAATGAAGCTGTTTTAAACAAAGCAGAAGTATTAGATCAATTGGCAAAAGTTGGAGACGTTTTACAATATTTGATTATATCTGACCAACCCACCTATCATCCCACCACTATTGATGAATGCAAATCCAGACCTTCATTTGCATTAAAGCTAAGTTTAAAATCATCAAGTAATGGTGATTTAGAAAAGTCGAAAGATTCAATTGAAATTTTATTGAAAGTTATTGATTTGATTTCGAATAATAAAAGATTTGAAATAAGACCCGAAGTTTTCAAAAAGATCAATAACGTCAGAAAACAACAGGTTGAGAAGATCATTAAAAAGATTGAATTGCAAAAAAAAGAAGAGTTGGAAGAAAAAAAATTGGAAGAACAAAAGAAAATAAAAGACGAATTGAAGAAAAGCAGCCCAGCCGAATTGGAAAAGTTTGAAAAACTGCAGAAAGCCAAAAAAGAAAGAAGAATGAAAAATAAACAAAGAATTAAAATGTAAATGGTAAATACAAGTTTGTTTTGTGTATGCTATCTGCTAAACTTTTATGAAATTTCTTCTCTTTACATTATTTTTATAATAACATTTTAATGAGATTCGTTTTGACCCTTTCTTTTAGTTTTATTTATGTTTCCGCCGTTGTTTGTGGTTTTTTTATTTTGATCTTCTCATAAAGTTTTCTGTTGTTCGTTTAGTTTTAGTTAAAATATCATCATTTGCATTGCAGTGCCAAAATAATATGTTACTACACTCTGTTGTCTCCACTGTGCTGGTTGTGGAAGAGCGGATTCGGATGACACCGCGGTCGGCTGATACACGGATGAGTAATCACTGACAGATCCAGTCTGACTTCCGCCCTTCCTGCAAAACCCACCGTTGTGGTTGGTTGAAAAGCGTGCAGGATAAAAGAAAAGGCCATCCAATTTTGTCCGGAGTACTGCAGTGCTGAGAATGACTGTGCAAACCAAGCTGGAAGCCCTTGAGCATCGAAGGTCGGGCTTCTGACAAAACACAGCAGCAGGAAAAGCTCATGAAGGCTCGTCAGGTCGAGGAAGCGAGCTGAGTGATTAACAATGGCAGTGATGGTATTGGTGTTTGAGGCAGCTTTCGTTCTTTTCCTCCTGCTTACAGTTTTGAGTTTCCTTCGGCACGATTAGCGCGGACAGCTCTGGAGCGCCGTCCGCAGCCAATCAGCAACAGCCAAATGGTCAACTCACATACTCAAAACCGTCTGGGACGTGGATTTTCCCGCCAGACCGCTGATTTGCTGAGTGTTGGCTTACCACAGCTTAGAGAACATTAGTATCAAAAAACAGTGGGTGAAAAATTTTGTATTTATATCTATCGTTTCCTGCTGGAGGTGTTTTTTTTCGTTTCTTTCTTTTGTTCTTCTCTTTCATACTCCTTATAATATATCCCTGCGTCTCCTTCTCTGTACATAACTTATAACTAATCCTCTGTATAACCTCACCGTTTTTCTTGAACATATTCTCTAAGCTCCTCTTCATTTTATCTTAACCACATCCACAATGCCCCCAAAATTCTCTGAGTTCAAAAAAGGTAACGCTAAGAAAGGTGCCAATTTATTCAAAACCAGATGTTTACAATGTCACACTGTTGAAAAGGGTGGTCCTCACAAAGTCGGTCCAAACTTATCTGGTATCTTTGGTAGAAACTCTGGTAAAGCAGCAGGCTACGCGTACACTGATGCTAACATCAAGAAAAACGTTCTATGGACCGAACAAACAATGAGTGATTATTTGATCAATCCAAAGAAATATATTCCAGGTACTAAAATGGCTTTTGGTGGTCTTAAGAAAGACAAAGACAGATTCGATTTGATCACTTATTTGGTTGAAGCCACCAAATAATTTTAATCATTTTGTTTTCTTTCCCTAGCTTCTCACTTGAAGCGATCAATAATCAATCATTGTATTAGTAAATATTGCAGAAAATACAAAGTTTTTGTTAATGATTTAATATTCCTTTAATTCTTCAATCTCCAGTCTCTACACATCCTGTTTTCCCTTTGTTTAATTTTCTACGACTTTAAACTACATTTTTTTTTTGTCTATTTTTTTTTTTTACAATTAGATTTTTCAACTTACATATTTTTTTCTATTTTATTTATTTTTTTGCTTAAAGTTTCAATGATTATAATTTTCTTAATCATCTTATTGTATATATTTACTCAACGAAAATTTACTTGTCATTACGATTTTATCAAAAAATTAAAAAAATAAAAATAAATATAGAGTTAAATTGATTTTAAACCAAATCAAACATTTTATTTTATTTTATTATCTCTTCCTCATCTCTTCCTGTAGCCTCGACCCTCTGCTATCCAATCCGTTTCTCACAATTCCTTGTTTCCAATTTCTTTAAGTTTATTCTCTTATTCTCTTATTCTCCTAGCCCAAACCTCCAAATGCTTGGTTCTGATTGGCATACTGCTCATCTTCCACTGATAGCACAATTCCAATGTAAGCACCCCAGTTTTCCACTACAATTCACTGGCTTCCTCTTGGATCTTTTTAGAATCCTCTTTCTTTTTGATTTCTTTCTCTTTTGTTTCTTCTTTTCTCTGTTTTTTCTGCTCAAACCTTCGTCATTTGAGTCTTTTCTTTGCTTTTGCTGCTCATTTTTTTTTCTCGTCTGAAATTACCTCAAAACGTGGGGTGCGCTCACACCCCAAAGCACACTAAAAACAGTTTTTGCTCACATGTTTGAATTCTTTGGAAAAAGCAACTTGATTTTATCATCGACATGAGCTTTCTGCTTTTTTCAATACTTTTTATTTTCTTTCCACCTCCATTTTTAGTTTTAATTATTCTTATTTTGTTTTTATTATATCAAAATCATTCTTCATTTGGTTTATTTCATATAAATCAAGAACCAGTCCTTCAACAACACATTTTTCATGTCAGAATCACTCACTCCCACCACAACTTTCTTGGATTTGTTGTATAAATTTCAAAATGCTATACCTTCCTTTTACTTTAATTTGATTCTACATCACTGTCCTGACGATATTCTCAATATCGACTACACTAGAGCTGTTCGTTTAATTATAATAGTTTCTGCTTATATTTTTTTCAGAAAACTATTTGTAAATCATCAAAAGATTAAAACTTCTAAAAATTTGCTTAAAAAACATACTGATGCAAACAATGTCGACTATTTGTTTAACAATTCGCTTGAAAATCAAAACCAAAACCAGGTTCAAAATAACATTACTCATAACCAAAATCAAAATGATCAAACAGACAAAAACAAAAGCTTTTCTTGGGGAAAACAAACAAGAGAAAAAAATGCAAAAATATTAAACACTTATAAACAAAAAATTTCAAATTTTAATAACGACGATGATCTAGATGACATTAAGGAACTACTTGAAGACTAATCACCTTCCCAACTATATTTCACTATTAATAACCATTTTCTATAAAGAAGTATAAAAACAGTATAAAAACTCTTAGAAACTTTGGCTGTTGGTATCAATTTATCATATTTTTTTCTCTTTTCAAATTCTAATTTACAAATACTTGTTCTCACCCAATCTTACATGCACTCCATAACTTTTCTATTATTAATATTCTTTTTATTTTTATTTTTTGTTTTTTTATTCCGTTTTTCTGTTTTTTACTTGTAACTTTAGTATTATATATAATTAATTCACAAATATTCCCACTCGAGAAACCAACTGATGAATAAAAACTTAAGGCTTTAATGATCTATTTAAACAACAATTTTTGAAAAAAATATCGATAAGTCAAAACTAAAAAAAAACATATAATTTAACTAATAATTTATCCTGCCAATGTTTCAATGAATCACTAAAAGTACGAAAAAAAATAAAAAAAATAAAAAACAATGAAAAAATATAAAATATAAAATAAAAAATGAAAAATGAAAAATGAGAAATTATAAAAATGAATAAAGATTTTTGTGAAAAAAAAATGATGAGGAAAATAAAAAATTATCAAAATTATTCCAGATAAACCTTGATAGTAAAAATCAATCTCTCTTTTATTGAAAACCTTAATCCCAATATCTTTCTATTGCGGTGAGTCTTATAAAATATTTTCACCAGCAGCAACTTCTGCTTCAGGAGCACTGCTTTTGAGTTCATTGACACCTTTTGTTCTACACAATGGACAGGAATTTTTTCCTGTCGTTAGCCAAATGTCAATGCAATCCTTATGAAACATATGTTCACATTTTCTTAGCTTTCTTGCAATGTCATCTGCTTCATACTCAGTCAAACAAATTGCACATTTATCTGTTTTATTGACATACACGTTATTATTATTAATATCCCTATCCCTATTCTTGTTATTGTTATTATTCTCATTAACATCCTTATCAACTGTATTTTTTTTCTTTTTTTGAACATCTTCATACATTGTCTGCCTTTTCTCTTTGCTCTTTATCTTATGCGACAATTCTTCATAACTGTGACTTTCCTTCAACTTTGTTTTTATAACATCCAATGATGATTTACTTTTGCTTTTCTCATGCTTCTTAAAATAGCTAGGAATATATGATGATATTCTTTTCCTTGATGAAAATGATTCCTGATCATTCTGCTCTGACTCTTTAGATTTGCCTTTATCAGCGATAAAAGATGAATTTTCCAGTCTATTCTCTGAATCAATTTCCATTGACTCATCAGATGACCCAATACTGCTTGGATTAGATTCCAATTTAGTGTCATTCCTGATGTGTACTTTAAGTAATCCGCCAGCTTCATCGACTTCTGCTTGGGTCACTGTAGGTTGTTTTACATTTCCAAGCAAATTTTGTAACGCCAATAAATCTTCATATGTTGGATTTTCTGTCATAAGTGATGGAGCAGTAAGAATTGGATGGTCTTGTGCATATGAATTGCCAACTACAAATATCACCCACTGTCTTGCCTCATCTGTTCGATCATTTGCACTGCTGTTAGCATTATTTTCTGTTGTTTCACCTGTAGTGTTTGTATTATTATCACCATTGCTATTATTTCTAATGTTATTTATGGGATTATTAATTGAGTTAGTACTTGTGTCATTAATAGCGGAAGAGAAATCATTAATTGGGTTATTAGTTGAATCATTAATTGGATTATTAATTGGATTATTAGTTTGATTAGTGATTGGACCATTATTTGAACTAATATCTCTAGAGAAGTCAGTAGTAGGTGAGATATTACTGTCAGTATCATTAATATCATTTCTTAATCTGGTAACGTTATGTGAAGATAGGTTATCAAAATTAAACACAGAACGGCTTCTGTTTGATCGCCTTCCATGCTGTCTTCTTCTACGGAAGAATAGAAATTGTGAGTTATCTCTAGAATCAGTTGGACCACTATTTCGGATTAGTGAATCATCTTCGTCGTTGCTGTTGTCACTATTGTTAATATCATTGACTGATGATGAATATCTAGCAAGTGGACTTCCAGTGAGATGTCTAAATGACCTTCCACTTCTATTTGATGACGAATAAAGAGGTGAGTAAAACCTTCTTCTTGACTCGCTTCGGCTTATTGGCAGAATATGATCGACAGGTCTAGTATGGTAATCCAAAGAATTGAAACTTGAACTAGCAGTAACAGTTCTATTGATACTAGTTGAATCAAATTGATTTGCATTTATACTGTTACTATTGATTTCTTCTGAGAAATTTCTTCTTTCATTTTCATGATTGTTGTTATTAGATAGAAAATCTGTCATTGGTGAATCCGTATCAACAGTTTCTGAATTTCCATTATCGACAACTGTAGAAGAGTTATTTTCTATATCATTATTATTTTGGGTATTATTGTTGTCTTCGTTGTGATTATTGTCATGGTGATCGTCACGGTCAATATTTATATCAGTTGCTATTCCCGAGGAGGAGTTTGTATTTTCGAGATCATTTGAATCAGTGGTCAAATCATTTCGAAGTAAAGAAGCACGTAAAGAGCTTGTTATATCATCATCTTCAGGAGGACCAGATGGTATTGATCTAACAGCGACTATTATAACCGGAATTAGAGAATTTTCCTGTTCCGTTTCTTGATTCATTGAGTCGAATCTAAATGCTCTGAAAAAGGACATTGGTTGATTCCTTGCAGTCTCATTATAGCTTTGATCAGTGACGTTTGGGGTTTCGGTTTGATTTCTTTCTCTATTTCTTCTGTTTAAAGTATTTCGTACACTGGATGATAATTCGTTGGCTAATAACCCATTATGTAAAGCACTTATAAACTCTTGAAAAGTGGAGTCTGAACCATCAGCTAAAGTGGAGTTATTGTGATTAGTATTTCTATTGATTAGGTGAGAGATTGAATTTGTAACTAAGGATAAAGGCGATTGCGAATTATGAGTGAGGTGACCGTTAGTACTATTGTTATTGTTATTTGTAGGGGAGTGATTGGATTGATTTGAACGATTTTGAGTTTCAATCAAGTTTCTATTGTCGATTCTTGTTCCTTGGAAATCAGTTGCACTGCCAACCATTGTTAGCAAGGTAGAAGTTGCGGCTATTTCTAATAGTCTACTAAGCATGTCAGCTTGATTTTGAAAAGATTCTGTTTCTGCAGGATTAGCTGGTGAGTTATTTGTTATTGTTGTTGTAGTAGTCGAAGTATGATTGTTAAGGTTTATAGGATTATTGACATTAGCATTTGAATTCGCAGAAGAATTGTTATTGTTGATGTTGTTGTTTTCGGTGTTTGTATCAGTAGTTTGAGTGTTATTGTTGTTATTTTCAGTGTTATGAATAGGATTAGAATCTTGAGTATGAATTTCAGGTGGAGAAATGTTGTTGATAGGACTAACATTGGAGTTATTTAATATTGGAAAGGAAGAATCCGGTAGTCTAGAAGTGGTTGAGGTCACTTCTATGCCAGCAGTAGTGGTTATTGGAGACTCGTTTGTAGAAGTGGTTGGGTTATTTGGTCTAGCCAATCTTAAATTATTTAAAGGAAAACTGTCAGAGATTTGATGATTATTGACTGGAGGTGGATAGGAAACTGAAGTAGAATCTAGCGAATTGAACAAGGAATGAAAGGAGCTTCGATTTGGTAATGAATTTGGGATTGAATTTATAGTTGGAGATGATAATGAAGAAGAATTTGAATGAGAGTGTATATTGTTACTGCTGTTATTATAATTACTATTGTTGGTGTTGTAACTGTTATCATTTGAATTATTATGTGACATTGAATTAGATATTGAAGAGATTACACTATTGAATCTTCTCCTTGTATTTCTTCTGGAAAAGGCGTTCAAACTTTGGAAATTTGAGTTGAGAAAGTTTGTGGTTGAATTATTTGAAGTGTTATTAGATACAAGATTGGAGGAGGAGGAGGAGTTTGAGCTACTTGTCAAATTTGCATTTGTGCTTGTAGTGGGATTGGCAGTGGTATTATTACCATTATTGGTGTCATTAATATTGAATTCATTATTGGGTCTGGGATCAGCATTATTGGTATTAGTAATACTGTTTGAGATTGAGTTTGCTCTGGTCAAAGAATTGGATCTTCTTCTTCTCAAGGAAGATCTTGACACTGATTGTGTTGTGGAAGACGGCAAGGAATTGGGGGAATCAAAGGTAGGCAAAGCTGAAGGAAGTGCAGAATTTGCAGAGTTAGATATGGCAGATGAAGAGCTGGGATGGACATTGAAAGAGAGGTTGGTTTGCTGTAGATTTGAAGCAGATGGATTGGCATCTGGATTGAAAGCAATGTCAGAAATAAACGTTCCTAGGTTAGGGCCATTGTTGGTTGTAGTGGAGGGGCTGTTGGTGGTGATGGTGGTGTTAGTGTCATTGTTGATGGCATTCCGATTTGAGGAGAAGTCCATAGTGGAACCAGTGGTTGTGTTGCCAATATTTCTATTCCTAATCCGGACTCGTTGGTTGATTTGAGATGAAACAGAGTGTCTGTTGGAATGATTACTGAGAGTAGACGAAGCAGTAGGATTGTGGGATTGGAACTGGCTAGTGGAGTTGGATGGAGTGCTAGAAGATGAGTAATTTCTGCTTATTGACTGTCCCATTATTCATTTAAAAGGACGTAAAGCCACGCTTTTCCCAAATAAATAGACAGAAGAAAATAGACCAGGCAGACGAAGAAGCAGGTATGTGTCTATATATCCTACAGCTGCTGGAGCAGAAGAAGAGAAAGATGAGAAAAGTTAAGGCAAAGAATTGCTGATGAAGCGTGGAGGTCGGCCTTCGCGCAGCTGCGCGCGAGGAAGGGGGAGCGATACTGCACGCCGGGTGCTGCGGAAGTGCATAAGAGGTGCATATACACACAGTGCTAGCTCGGACCCTGTGTGCTGGACCGTCTGTGCTTGTGCTGCCGGTACTGTTTGTGATGCTCGTGCTGTTTGTGCTTAGAGTCCTGGTGTTTCGATCTCACCATCCACCTCCATCTGAGTGCTGCCACCGGGGTTGTTGTTTTCGTGCTCAAATTCCTCCACCACAGCGCCATTTCTTTCGTCATCAGAGTCCAAATCAGCGAGATAGCTTGTGGAGTCACAGGCTGTATAGGCATCAATGAGATTTTGAACACTTTCTTTGCTGTCGTTGAATTCCTGGATCAACTCATTGTTTCCACTAGAACCCTCGGAGAACAAGCTTCCTGCACCCTTCTTGTAGTTTTCTAAAAATGCGTTTCTTTTTATAAGTTTATCGAAATTTTTCAAAATCTTCTTAAATAGCACCACTATATTAGTTTCATTTGAAAGCATTAGCCCAGACACATCATTATTTGAATTCATATTTAATGGTTTATTGCGCCCATTATTACTGCCGCTGTTATTATCACTATTGTTAATATTTCTCTTGGAGTTTCTGTTATATTTCAAATATGGCGACTTCTTTGTGTATAGTAAATTAATGTTTGAGGTGGCCCATGGCACAAAGCTCACTCTCTCTTGAATTTTCAATATTGCTCTTTGGATATCATTTTGTTCTTGAATCAAGTTATTATTAAATTGGCTTGAACTACAATTAAGAAAACTTAGCATCGACAAGTAATTCCCACCGTTACTGTTGGAAATTTGAAGCAATTTATTATCTTTATTCAACAACTCTAGCAATATCTCATAAATTGAGTTTTTCCGGATTTTCTTAACGTTATCCACATAATCAATAGTAAACGGATAATAGCTTGGTATCAAAAAATGTAAGTTTGGCAATGGTATCAAGTTCGAATAAATACTCGTTAGCGAATTATACATATAATTTGGAAATCGTATCGAATTAGTCAAATTAGATATTATTGTTGAAATCAATTGATTAATCTCATTGAACGATATCGATTGTTTTAAAAACTCGTTTTCATTAAATATCTCAATAGATATCTTGGTCAATGATTCATTATCCATTAAAATCGTACTATCCGAAAATTCAATTAATCTTTTCAATGTCAACAATGTATTATATGGTTGAACAACAACATCGCTACTATTATTCCCCGAGTTTGATGGAAAAATAGAATAAGTGTTAATCAATTTTTTGGGAAAATTATCATTTAAAGACTCCAAACAATATGATCCCAACCCAGATCCTGTCCCCCCTGCAACTGAATGAATTAATTTAAATCCTTCAAAATTATCACAAGAGTCTATCTCCTTATTAATCACATCAAGCAATTCTTCATTATGTTGATACGAATAATTGAATCCTGATAACCAGTTATTTCCTGCTCCGCTTCCATTTTTCGCACTATAATAATTTTTCGGATTGAATAGGTTTGGCAATTTATTTTGAATAGTTGATAAAACTCTAGGTTCAAGATCAATTAATATTGATCTTGGCGTATATCTATTGTTATCGGACTCATAAAAAAAAATGTTTTTTCTATCGTCAATCAATATATTATTTTCATTATAAAAAGGGCTATTGCTACTATTATTATTATTAGCAGAATAAAGAGATGCATCAAATTCTCCATCCAAAGATATTCCATGCTCAGCACATATCTGTTGCCAAAACTGCTGTCCAATTTGGTTTCCACATTGACCTGCTTGCAAAGTAATAATCTCTCCTGGCATCTTCTGCTTCTTTTCGACTCTCCAGCTCTTTCTTCCTTTCAAAACACTTTACTTTTTCCTGTTTTTTCTGTTTATCATCTTTCTTTGGTCGGAAAACATTAAAAACACCACGTGTTGCAACCAATAACCTGACCGGATCTGGTTGAAATAACCTATCCACATAAAATATTCACAGTCACAAACAACTCATAGATTTCCACTTACTTTCATATATATGATTTACTACTGTAAATAATCTGAATTTTACTCACTTATTTAATGACAACCAAAACCCAATAACTTAAAGTGGACTGGAAACCAAAACATCTCTAATTTTAGACTCTTTATGTTTCGGAACGTCTTAGCAAATTGCTTATCTACTCTTGTGAAGTAAACACCCTTAGAATTTCAGTATTTAACAAACAAAACCACATAAAATAAACTAAAAGTGTGATGATGTGTTTTCGATGTGGTATCATTTGATTGGTCCTTCCTTGCTCTGCTGTTATTGTTCACAAAACGCAGAAAGCAATTATAAGCAGGATTATGCGCGCTTGAAAGATATGATGCTTATCAGCTATTTCTCTCAAATTCTATATTTGCCTTTCTGGAGAAGTGCTTTCGATTCAATGGTTTTTATATCCTCTACATCGTCATCTATTGATCCAGAAATCATTGAATTGAAATCAATCCAATACAAAATGGAACTGAAATATGAAAGCGATTCAAACACTCTTCTTTTGGCTGAATATTGTGATTCAACATCTATATCTAGGTCTCTTTCATCGGTTGATTCATATAGTTCTCTGGAGACCATATCTACCACATTTTCTTGTTGCTTCCCCTCTTCTTCTGCATTTACTTTTCTCCTTTCTCACTTTTCGCCAAAAAAAGATTATAATATCTATTACCAAAATCCTTCAATTAAAGATTTGATTAATAAGTTTGAAGCGAACATCGCTCAAGAAAATAACCTAAACAAATCAAAGATCATTCACTCAAATAAAACTGAATTGATTACTTTCTCCAGTTTTCTGAAAAACGATTCAGATCTAAATAAGCTGAATCGTTTCATTCGAAACTATAATAAACCAGTTCAAAATTCAATTAATATTCCTGATAACAATTCAATCAAACAGAATCCAAAAAATAAAAACAGTATAAAAAATAAAATTGATCAAAACCCAGAAATGACAAGTAAAACTGATCAAAAATCAAATAACTCACAATTAAACTTAAGAAATAATAAAATCAAAAAAGATAAAGAAACAAATCTCAAAAAACAACTTATTGAAGGGAAAACCACTCAATCAAAATGTATAAAAAATTCCCAAGTACAATACAATCATTATCGTCATTTAATAGTTATGATTTGGTCCTTTTTGACCTTATTATCATCGTTCATTATAGTCTGATTCATAACTTGAAAATTTCATCCCTATTGGTTTTCTAGTTAACTCAAATCATTGAATAGTAAATTTACTTTGAAATTGAAAAAGTAGTAAAAGTTCAGTAATATCACTTTCCACAATTTTAATAATATTGTGATTTTAAATTCTGTAATTTATTATTTGCCAAAACGGCAGCTGCTGAACAAATGATTTTTCTTTTTCTTATATTTATACTCATTTTACCACCCAAATCTTAACTGAGAGGCAGTAAAAGTTGGGGGTTTCCAAACCAACTTTTCGCTGTCAATATAATGCCTTTTTTTCTTTTTAAGTTTTTCGTATTGTTCAATTACTTGATCCGTTAAAACAATTATATGCTGGCCTTTATAATATCTTAGCATATTTAGTGTTTGTAAAGTGTGCAAAATATCTGCCGTTGTCATTGAAGTGATTGATGAAATTTCATCAATGGTTATATCACTTCTCTTATTACCAATTAATAGTTTAACAATTGTTTCAGACCAATAAGCTCTGTAGGATAATAATCCTAAATCCGACAATGGTTTCTCAGGAGATCCAACTTTATGTTCTCTTTTACTTAATTCATAAGAAAATTGAATCAAAATTTTTCCATATCCATGTCTTTGATATTGTGGCAATGTTAATATACAAGCTAAATTATAGCCTTCAGCACTTTCTTTTTCTTTTGAAAAATATCCGACTAGGTGATAGCCTTCTTCATCTTTAATTGTCATGCAATAAAATAAAAACGGATCAACGTCATAGTATAGAGTTTTATGATCTAAAAATAATTTTGATAGTAAACAAAGGTTTCTACAATAAATTCTTTGTTTTTTACCATCAATTTCAAAAAAGGAGACCAAATCATCTCTATAGATTTCGTTTCCTGGTGGGTGTCTCAAAGTGCATTTTGATCGAAATCTTTCAAACTGTTTCTTGAAACCAAAATATTGCAAAGTATATTCACAAATATAAATCTCATCTTCTTCAGTCAACTCAATTGGATAGGGAGAAAAATACCAAGGTTCAACTTCAAATTTTCCCATAATGATTTTATTTAAATTTCTAATTTTGGAAACCTCCAAATGATTATTAGCTCTTGATCCTCCACTTCTAAGTTTCTCTATTTCTTGATTCCGAGTTAAGCCGTCTTTTAAATTCAAGCCTTGAACATCAAGATCATCTAGATCCATTATATCTTTGCTTTCCTTTTTAGAGGTAAATTTATCTAGTTCAACTATTTCATCAATTTTATCGTCAATATCAGTAATTTCGATTAGCAAATCGTTATTTAGTTTTCTTTTTTTATTAGCAGTAGATTTTGTTGCGGTCTTTGAATTTTTAGAGTTTTTTGAAGTTTTTGAGACCTTTGACGCCTTTGAAGTCTTTGAAGTCTTTGAAGTCTTTGAGCTAGAAGCCTTTCCCTTTTTAGCAGTAATTTTGTCTGTCTTTGAAGTTGGATCATCTGGCCTAATAACCGGTTTTTTCAAATTGATTTGGTTAATATTAATCCATTGATCAAGTCTCTTATTATAATTAACGTAGTGAACATAAAATAATTGTTTTCCTTTTCGTAAATTTTTCGCTAAGATTTCGGCTAATATTTCTTTTTCATCTTTTAAAACAAAAACTTTGGCACCAATTATCAAATCATTCGGTTTGATTATATCAATGCTAGTGGTGGTGTCATCATTATCGATGGTATTTTGGAGATCAAGAACGGTATTTTTGTTTATATCCTCTCCACTATTTGATTTAGGATTATTTTCGTTTCCATTCCCATTGGTGTAGATATCAATGCTATTCTCTAGAGTATTGGTGCTGGTTATAGTTTTATCAGCTGGCTGATAAGTCGTCTTCTGACCATCAGGAGTTTCAGGCTGACAACCCACACTGCTGCTTTTGCCACCCAAAGAGTTGTTGAGAAATACAGGCGTGAGTAAATTGTCACCGGGTTCTATGCTGGTGCTGTTTCCAGTGTTGATGCTGTTATCATTATTAGCCATAGCAAACGAGGAAGGAGTGTTTTTGTGAAATAACAACAGAAGACAAAACGATGGAGGAAAAAAGACGGAAAAAAGCAGAAAGAGAGGTAAAAGTGTCTGGTTGGGATTCGAACACGGACTCTTTTTTTGTTTTTTGATACTCTGTTAAAGAGCCAATCACGAAACCGTATTATTCAGAAAGATAGAGAAGATGCTCTTACAGTATCGGTGTGGATGAAGGATAGTTCGATATTTGCTGATGCGTTTTCAGTGTTTTAGTGAGTGATTTGTCGTTTGAGAATAGTAAGCGAGGTGGAGCAGAGAATATGAACAAACAAGATCGTTAAATAGAGAACAGAAGAAGATCAGACAAACGAATAAAAGCAAAGACTAAATCAACAAATAAGTTGAATAAGTAGCTTGATTCAGGCTTATATTGTAAATTTATTTTTAAATTTATTTGAAATTGTAATTGTAATTGTAGTTGGAATAATAGTTGGAAAGAAAATAATAGAGAAAAAAAAATGAACTAAACAAAAAAAATCAAAATAACATTATAGCTTCAGAACCTATAGATTATACCAAATAATATTACTGAATATATTGATTATCCCGATTATATCAAGAATACTGAGCATATCGATTGTATTAGTAGATAGTAGTTAAATTATGGAAATAGCTCTTCTTTTAAATCAACACCCAACTCTTTTCTAACATCTTTTAATTCTTCCAAGTAAGCTTCATATTGTTCATTATTTTCAACTTTGACTTTCAAACCTTCAAAGACTCTGACAGCAGTTGCATAATCATTAACTCTTCTACAAGCCAATAAAGCCTTTTCCAAAACAGATGGAGATGGAACTAAATCATATGAAAAACAATTGTTTAAGACTCTTTGAACTTCAAACAAATCATAGGCTTCTTCAAATTCTTTTTCAAATCTGTAATTATGTTATAAAAAACTGAACGTTAGTAACTCTGATATATAGCATTGACATGGGTCTAATAGGAAATTAAATTGGACTATTTGATATTAATTTATATTACTTTATATTACTCTATATTAACTTATATTAATTTATAGAGTTTCAATGGCATATAATAGGATGCGATATAATAAGATATGATTTTATATATTAATCAACTCTGCTCAAGTCTATCAAATAAAAACATAACGCAATGCAATAATATTATGACACACTGCTATCGCTAGAATTTGAAATTGATTTTAAATTTTTTTTTTTGAGCAAGTGCTCTTGCAATTTATCCATCAATAATTTAATAACTAAAATAAAATTACATACCTTGTAGTGAATTCTTCAAAAGTTTCTTCATCATGACTGCTACTATAGTTTCTAGTAGCATTAAATCTAGTAGTATTATTAAGGAAAGTGGAAGATCTTAATGAAACAGATGGTCGTAAAAGAATAGCTCTTCTAATGGCTGGAGTTTTGAAACATTGTCTTAATGGGGCAAACATTTTTATTTAAATAATTATAGTTGAATCAATAATGAATATGATTTGGCTCTGATTCTGAAATCGATAATGATAATAATAGAAAATGGGAGAATATAATCTAAGGAAAAATGATGAGTTAATATTACTTGTTTTTATTCGCGAGAATTGATGGCGGTTTTAGTTTATAACTCTGAAATCTTTAATATTGGTGTGATTAATATTTTGAAAATCAATAAACTAAAAAAATAACACTATTATAACTAACAATTATTATTGTAATTAAAAAAATGGAATAGAAATCAAAATATAAATCAGTAGCGCTAGAAATATTATATCTTACCTTTTCCAAATTGCAGAGTGGTTGAATATCAAATGAAAATTAATGAATTTAATTCGCCAGTAAATCTTCAAAAAAAGCACGATATTCTGCTTATAAAGTTTTGCTATGTTCCATTCAAACTCTCCTCGCACTAAAAAATTTTCATTGCCAGATTATGGCTCTTTGTGAAAAATAAGATGCTTTTTATTTGTGGCCGTGTGATTGGCTGGAGCCGGTGGCCGGAATTTGTTCGACAGAAGAAGTCCGCATTCAAATCCCATTGCTGCGGATTGGAAACACAAAAGTGCGGATATCAAATGGTGCTTGACGGATTTCACGGACATCAACATCAGGATTCTTTCCGTGATAGGTGCGGATCAGGCTGGAAGATCCGCGGACGTCACAATTGCCTACTTCACCAACATCAGCACGATAAAATAGTAACAAAGCATTCTTATTTATAGAGTCAACAGAAGCTAAAATAAATCAGCGAATCAAAGCTCAATTCAATTCAATTTAGATCAACTTGAAAAAAAAATAATAGAACAAAAAAATAAAAAACATAAAATCAAAAAATAAAATGAAATAAATTAAAAAAACCAAAAAAAAACGTTTACACATTAATCACCAACTCAAACGACATTAAACAACATAAAAACAGTAATAGGATACTAAGCTAAATTAACCACTTTCTAATACTCATCTTGATCTAGATAAAACTCATCCATTTCGGCATTATCGTCAAGAACACTATTATACTCATAATCATTTCCACCAAACTCATTTTCATTTTCATTTTCATCTTCAAAGTCAATATCAAAGAAATCATCATCTGACCCAGTTATCTTTTCATACAAGACTTTGGCTTCTGTAACAACTCCATCATAGGATAATTCACTGGATGGCATACTGTTAAATATAATATCTTGATAAATGTTTCTCTTAATTCGATTTTTATCATCCTGGTTTGGACTTATCTCATTTAAACTTTTCTTTTTTGGATTATCAGTGTCTCCGTCATCTTTTGTAATCTTTATATCTACTTCTACTTTATTACTTGCTGTTTCGGAAATCTTACTTTCATTTAACTTTTCAATAATAAACTCTTCGTCTTCATCTTCCAATATCGACTGCTCATTATATGGATTTCCTTTTTTATTTATACTGTCATGTTCATTCTCGCCTTCATTGAATATCTTGGGATTTACAACTCCAAATGGTGGAACTGAGGTTTTTTGAGTAAAATAAAATTTTAGTAAATACGTTAATTTTTCCTCTGGAACAAAATTCATCAAGCTTGATCCCAATTTTAGACTATTGTACATTTCGTATCCCATTCCATTTCCATTTCCAATTCCAATATATTCCATACCAATATCATCAGCATTGAATTTGGATTCTCGTAATAAATTTTGTTCTAAACATGATAAAGCAGATTCTAAATCAATTTTACCCTTGGATCCTCTTTCAATTGTTGACAAAAACCATGCACACTGATTTTTGGGTACAATTTCAGAACCTTCGCCCATTATCACAACTTGCACAGCATACTTGTTGAAAGAAGGCAATGAGTTTTCTGGAAACACAACAACACATGCACTCTCATTTTCTGCCATCCATTCTTTACAATCACTATTAACGATAGTTATTAACCTGGACACTTCATACTTTTGCTTTGGTTGATATTCTTCTAAAAAGTTTGGAATTTGAGTTGGTGAAATAACAATTTTCTCATTGATTGTAATTAATGAATCATCACTCAATTTAGCCATTTTTTTTATTGGATCATAAGCTACTAATGAGGTATTCAACTTATAAGTAGTACCGGCAACTGCCGCAGATCTACAAAATCCTTGAGAAACTTCACCAGGCCCACCATACTTGGTGTATAAAACTGGGAAATTTCCATATACGTCAAAAGAGATAATATATCGTTTAATCCTTTGCAAAGCTTCAGGGGTGTTCAAATTTGAGGAAAAACATAAACCGATTGCAAATATGAATTCATTAATTTGAGCTGTTTCTAGATGGAAAACTTCTTTTAAAAATAAAGAAATTGGTTTTTTCTTATATGGAAACCATATATTATTGCTGTTGTTGTCTTTGTTGTTGTTGTTATTGTTGTTAATACTATCATTATTATTAATATTATCATTATTAGTAGTATTATCCTTGTTATTAGAGTTATTCAATTCATTTGTAGTATCGGTTTCAAAACTTATAATGAATTTTAGAAATTTCATTAAATTTCTTTTTATTTTTAAAGGTAAAGTATTATTTACAAAAATTTGTTGTTTTGAATTTATGATTTTCTCGAAATTATCGTTTTCAAAAGTATGAAATTGAGATAAAGATTGAAACTCCAAATATTTAAAAACTCTTGATTTCAATAGTAAAGATAATAAATCACTTTTACAGAATAATAATTTTTGATTCAAATCGATGCCATAATTTTTTGAGATTAATTGAGTGGGTCTTGGAATATATAATCTTGCATTTTTAAAATTTTTATAACCCAAGGATGTATTCTTAACACTATTCTTAGTATTACTTGGAGTGTTGTTAGCATTAATATTATTATCGTTGACGTTTTTAACCCAGTCTTTTATTTGGTCTATTGTTAGAGTAGAGTTTGTATCTCCATAATAAGGATTCGAGTCTATATGTAATACATTGGAACCCTGCCATGCTAGGGCAGCTGCTAAGATACTTTCAACCAAACCAGTGCCAATAATTAAAACATCACAATTATCAGGAGTATAGTCAGGAGGAGGCAACTCTAAACATGCTAATTGTGGGATATTAATAAAGGGTTTGTTATAATTGGATAAGTTTGAAGGTCTTCTTTCTGCCATAGATGAACGACGATCTGTTTTGAGATAAGAGTTGTTAAATGACGACATATCTTGTTTACTTAATATACTTGATATACTTACGATTTATTCGATTTCGCTTAATTTAATTTAACTTGAAAAATAATATTAATCGATAAACTTTAATTAAAGATTTGGATTACAAACAAGAGGACTTTTGAAAATAAGGTCGAATATTAAATAAGATGATTTGACATTTATATGAAAGCACTAAAATATAATAAACGGATAAATAAATGAGAATAATTGAAATGTTAATAGTAATGGCACTGAACGAAATAATAAAAATAGAGGCAATAGTATAATAGTCGTAATATAATAATAAAATAATAAAATAATAAAATAATATAATAATAAAATAATATAATAATATAATGATATAATATCAGGATTAAAAATAATATTTTACTGGAAAACTAATCAATCAGTAGAATCTTGGGCAAGACAGGAGAGTATAGGGATAGGAAGCTGAACAGAGTTGAGAGTGGAATCGTATAAAGTGAAACAGGAAAATAAAATGGAAAAAATTCTAATAGGGTGCAGTGAAATATAAGTAGATGTTGATTGGTATTGTTTCGAAAACACTGATTGTAGATTGAAATTGATTTATGATGTGATAAATTGATAAGTGGGCAAAGAAAGAAAATTTTTTTCTTAAAGTTTGATTTGGGCAGTGCTTCGCGCGAAACGTCGGCGATAAACCGTTCCAGGACTGCGGATCGACCCAAAAAGAGGTACGTCTGATCAAACTGAGTTCCGGCCACCAACTGAAGCACCGAGGAGGCGTCATAACACGTGTAGCCCCTGGCTGCAAGTCAGCTCCTTGCAACCGATTTGTGCCCCGCGTCCTTCCGAATCGACCCGCGCACAGCGGCAGCACGTTCTGGGATTGAACCAAATTAAATAAGCTTTTCGAAATATCTGTCCAACGTTCTATCGATTTGGTGTGGCTGAAATGGGAAGCATCATCCAGCATCTGCAGAGATGTTTCAAACTCATGATATCTGTGCAAAATCAATCGAAGTTCTGGCGGAAACAACTACAGATTGTCCAAGTCTATTATTTTTATAAAACCTTTATTGAATTTTTCTATTTCATTTTTCAATTCTTTTCCAACATCACAATTAGATGTCTAGGTATAAAAATATTGCTGAGAAATTCAATTTGATTATTTTCCAAATTGAGCATTTAAGTTCATTCAACCTATCCAGATCATCAATCTTTTGTATTTTATTATCATCCAAAAGCAAATCAATTAAGTCAACTCATACGTACCTTCATTTTTTGGAATACAGTTATAGCTCAAGTCAAAAAATATCAAGTTTTTCAAATTTTCAAATTCGACAATCTTATACCCACTTATAAATAGCATTTTTAGATTGGTTAAATTATCGAAATTCTCAAGCTTTGTAATTTGATTGTCTTTAATACATAACTCTTCAAGATTTGTCAATTTATCTAAATTCTCAATTTTGGTAATTTCGTTATTATTCAACCAAACTTTTTTAGATTAATCAAGTAGTCTAACTTTTCGAGCATCCTGATATTATTATATCCAAATCATAAACCCGTTAGCTTTTCTAGTTTCTTGATATTCTCAATTATTTGAATCACATTTGAACGCATATCTAACATTTCCAACTTTTTTAACTGATTAATGACACGTTCAATTTTTTCTATTTAGCTTGATTAGACTGGTAAATGTTTAAGCCCAACTAAATCAAACAACAGTCTATCAATGATTTGGATACTATAACAACTAATATTTAACGTTTTAAAATTAATTAACATTTCTGATCTCCCGCCTATTTCTATCCTTGGATTTTGGCTTAAATCCAATTTTTTCAACTCAATTAAATGGTTCAAGCTGTCTAGTTTACTAATTTGTTACACCACATATTTAATACTCCTAAGTTAATCAAATGTTCCAAATTCTGGATCCTACGTATCGAATTATGATATAACACCGGTTTTCTTAAATTAATAAATAAATAAATAATTGATCTTATCACCGATGCTTTCAAAACTGATAATACTTTTCCAATTACCACAATTACTATTTTTATTATTTCCATTTAAAAGTTCTAGAACCAAATCAAAAAAACCAACATATTCATCAAACCAATTGTTTCATAACTCTGAAAATATGTTTTCTACGGCAAAAGTGCTTTAGTAAATGAGTCAAAGTTGTTTCTCAAATCCAGGGTTTTTTGCTCATCCTTGAAATGTAAAACTGTCAGAGAGTAAATTATCAACTTTCTATAGAATAATTTAGAATAGGTTTTGAAATAAAAGGAATCTTTCTTACTCAAAATCAATGAACTTTGTGTAATAAATGATTGGCAGATATTAAAATTTTTTGCATCATGGTTAGTCAAGAAAACTCTCAAAGTTTGAAATAGTGTTTTCATACATAAGAAATGCGCTGATCATCTACCAGTTTGAGCAACCAAACAATATTAAATAGCAAATGCTCTACAACTAACAGAAAGGGATAGAGTGGAAAATTGCAAAGTTCATATCAGTAACTGGCTTGCAATTAAAAACCCAATCTGTCAAAACCAAAAACTGGGTTTTATTTGAGCTACTAATGAAATTGTTTCGCTATAGTTATATTTGTTTCTACCTGGGGCAATTGCGGTAGATTTTTAATCTCTGCGATTCTGTTGTTGCTTGGATATAGCTCATCCAGCACAGAAAGATAAGCCAATCCTTCAAGATCAGTGATTCGATTATAAAATAGATCTAAAAATGTTATCTTGGTTTGTTTAGCTAAACTTTCTATTTTCTTATTAAAACAGTGTTGATTTTCAAAAATTTGAGCTCAGTTAATTCATGGAAATTTTTAATTTGGGAACCAGACTATTAGAAATGAATGCGTATCAAAATAAATGACTATTTTACAACTTAGAGAAAACTAATATGGAAAGTCATTGTGTTGATTAAGATTACTGGTCAAATTATAGATGGGAAAATTGGTATGATGATGAGCATTTGATGCGATAAGAAATGAAATACACCTGAATTCAGAATTTGACAAATCTTTACAGTGTAGCGATTTGTGAAGATAGTTTTGATGGAATTTTATTAGACTATTCAGTATGTAGTCATTAATAATATCAGTACAATTGCCTAATATATTTTGTGATTAGGAAATGTATCAATATATATATATATATATTTGATTATGTATGCAATATATATATTTTGATGATCAAGATTAAATTCAAATTGTTAAAATTCATCGAAGCATTCAACGATTGCTTTAAAAAGATACAATGATGTTATTGACTAGTACTCTAAGAACTCTCTCAGATATTGCATATATATTCATAGCTCGATAATGACAGTTATTAATGTAAAAAATCAGTTAAGATAGTTTAGGATCATCAGGTTTTAAGATTAGATCTACAGATAACGTTTTTAAAGCTATGGAAACTTGATTTCGCAATTGGAAAAGAATATTAAGGGTTCTTGCAAAATGATGAGAATGAGCGGAATACAAACAGAAATGAAGTATTAGTAAAAGAAAAAATGAGAGAAAAAGAGGGATCAAAAAAAAACACATACAAAGAAGAGGTGAAAGACATTTTATAGGCTCACAAGAAAAATATATCAGAACAAACAGGAAAAAGAGAGTAAGTTTTTTGTTAAAAACTCCAAAATGGAGCAGCGTATATATAGGGGATCTGAAGAAAGAAAAAGAGAAATGTATGGCGTAAATAGAAGCTTGTTGAGAAAGATGTAACTGGAGCTTGAGATGAGATGAATTCAAACCAAAGCCGAAGTCTTTTTTAGAGCAAAGAAACGCAGGTTTTGGATTCGATTTTAAGTTCGATTTTGAGGTTGATGTCAAAATACCTGCCATAGAATTAGAAGCACCAATCAATACTTTGAATCCAACTGTCAATCAAAATACATTATCATCCTCAGAGGTTAGCTTCAAAACTTCTTTGTATTCAACATATAGATATAACAAAATTATTAATAAATTATATGACATACTCCCATGTCCACAATCAACCCAAGTTGAAATTCAACTCTTACTTAACGAATTAAATCACATACTTAAATATAATTTAACACATCAAATCTTTAGAAGCAATGGTAGAATATGGGACGAGTAGATAAAACTAAAATAATAGTTTGAAATTTTTCTCAAAAATTATTCCAGCTTTCTTAATATAACGTGTTTGAGATACGTAAATCTATTCGGCTGGGTTAGACTTATTGATACTTCAGCTGCAATTAATCTAAGAACTTCGATTATCGTTTATAATTAAATATATCTTTGAAAACGTATCATTGGTACCACATTAAAATCTAAATCTATGGGGAAATAAAATGAATCAGATGAACGATGTATCAATGTTAATCAAAATAAATATAATGATATTGAATACCTTTTGAATTGCTTTGATAATAATCAATCCAACAGACATGATAGAACTGTTATTCATTTATTACTTTGCTTTATATTGAATAATTATATTATTTGTGTTGTTTAGCTAAATTTTTTTAAACTTGTTTTGATACTATTAGGTGTATAACCAATGCTGATTTGATGATGAACTGTAATCCGTTAAATATATTAATTGATCTGTTTCTAATTAAGATTGATTGTGTGAAGTTGTTTTTAGAATATAAATTAGTTGTATTTTACTTCTTGTAATAGAATTCTGATATTGATTATTGATATTTTTCTTTATTCACAAACAAATCCGAAAGTAACAGATAATTGAATTCCGACTGATTTCTTTAGTATGATATATTTAAAAGTATTTCTTTTAAGTTTCCAAACTAAACACCTAAAAGAAGCTGGATTAAAATATAATCATTTGCCTGAGTATAATGTATTGAGCTTTTGGATTTAGATTTGGTTTCTGAATTAAATCTTTAAATTTTTTCAGATGTATCAGGACTTTATCAAAGATGTGTTTTGAATTGGCCTTTTGCTGTTTATCAATTGTTGTCTACATATTTAAATCTCTTAACAACTAACTACAAAACGTGCATTTCATCTTGAGTTGATAATTTAATTTTTACTGAATGGGGAATCACTGTCTTATGTGGCATATAGTGATTTCTTTGATGTGAAACAGTGTTTTCTGAAGAATCTCCACTACTCAACATCTCAAATACAAATAACAAAATCCTAGTAAGCCATTGATTCAACTTCTTTTGAATTATATTACTTTTTAGTATTTGAGCATTAATATTCATTGAAATTAATCTTCCCTCTTTTTGTCTTTCACTTGGACTGCACGATATATATGTTCAATTGTATATTTTATAGATTTGATTTTGATAGACTAATGAAGTTTACAATAATGGAACAACAACCAAAAAAGAGCAAAAGGAATAAATTCAGGTTAATTAAAATGTATATTGGTTTTAACTTAAAAATACGAGTTCGGAAATTTTGTCATAGAATAAAAGACTACACAACCTAGATTGCCTCTATTCATAAGATGTGCACTGAATAATAAAAGAAAATTATAA